GTGAATGGTCTCAATCCATTTCTCTGTAGTCCAGAGAATGCCCCACAAATTCCTTAAAGTTTCGTTGTCGAAAGCATCAACTCCGTTGCCGACATATACATGCAAGCCCATCGATTCATTTGTGACGACTTTATAGGTGGAGGCAATGATCCCCCAAACCCGTTTAACATCGCTTAGCGCTTCCTCGCTGAAGTAATAAACAGGCGATTTGATTTCGAGCTTATGGTAGTCATAGATTGACTCATTTGGGAGGTCAATACTGATGTCAGTCCCGATAATCCACTTGCTGGTCATTTCGTTGGTATACCCAGTCTTCTGATATTCTGCATCATCCATATGTATAGCTGGGAACCCAGCGCAGCTAAGGGTCTGTGCAATATTTTCATACACACAAAACCGGCTCTTTGCTCTATATGAGCGTTCTGCGAGGGAACTCTTCCCAAAGTTCGCTGGTCTTGGATCATGTTCCAATGGAGGTGAGTTAGCAGGACGACTAACTCCGTAGACTCTACGGCCATCTTTTGGTGTTGGGTTTTGGCATATGTCCCTTAGAGTACCAACAGCAATCTCCAATTCCACACCAAAAGTTAAGCGTGGTGATTTGCCAGTTGATCCTGGCTCCGGGTATGTGTCTCTCAATCCCACATGCGAGATGTCAAGAGTCTCGGCTTCAGCGTGCGACTCGAAATTGACCTCCACCATGTGAGTTGTCGGGTCTCTCTTGGTATCAATTGAATCCATATTGACAAGCTATGACTTTCTTCCACAAATTCTCCGCGAAGTGTGTTGACTGTAAAATAGCTCTGAGCCAAGCGGGCTTAAGAGATTTGACCAAATGGATATGGAGAAGGAGTTATTGAAATATGGAGTGATTCTTTGAAAATATATTATGAGATCGGGCGGTCGTGGTGGTACTTGAGTTCAAGAGTTTCCTTCGTCAAAAAGAAGATTAAAATCTTTGTCTGGGTTTACTGATGGTAATCATTTTTTGGTAAACTGAAAGTTGCAGTCGCCTGTGATCCTCACTTCATCTCATGTAACCAAGATAAGAACTTTTGTCTGGTGATGAGAGCTAGTGGTTTGTAATTTTGACATCGGCAGGGCGAGCATTTCGGTGCCTCACAGCCTCGAGGACATATGAATTGTTCACATCTCGAGATTTTTGTCACAAGTTGTGTCTTTGGATCGAACCATTGTAACCTTTCAAATAAAGAGGGTCAGTTGTTATTATTTGGATGCGGGATATTGCTTCTTATTAATGAGAATCCCTTTCAGGGGCTCGGCTGGTGTTGATTGTGGTATCTTTCTCATTTTCCTTCACTTTGGGAACGGTTTTTATTCCAATTTTCTTTGTAGATAGCTGACTGCCTATCAACCAAGTAATTTGTGCAAGTAATCCTGATAATGACCTTATGATGCAATATTTTCAACTTTATTCCAGGGTTGTGATTGGTCAACGAAAGGAATTGTGAAAAGTTGCTTGCTTTGAGACTTCACAAGTCCTATACTGGTGGACTTGTTTTTATTTTTGTCGTCCTGTAGTACTCTAGAGAATATGCTAGCAGTGACATATTTGTAGTGAATCGTCCGTCGCTGAGCTCCTGGGCTCGGTGGATTTTCTGCTTGGATATAGTTGAGGAAGCTGGATATTCTGTGGACTAGTTCAACAAGATCTTGTAAAGCATGCAAAAGCAAACGGAGGGTTCAATCCAAAAATATTCAGAAACACATTCTTTTCAACCTGGAGATCGGCAATAGGTATCGAAATATGAGCCTTACGAGAGGGTCTCAAATTGCTTCTGCAATGGTATGAAAGCGCATGCAATCCTTGGAGCTTATTAAAATCAGCATAAGACTCTTGTCAACGAGAGGGATGCGATTTCTTACCCCAGTATGATCATCCTGATAGTACTCGTTAACTTTCAACTTGGAAACTCACGAAAAACTCTCTATCTCGACTCTTTCGAAAATTGCAGTCAGTTTCACTCACTGCCCTGGAAGAAATACAACTATTCGTCGGCCTTCGATTGAACGTGTTGTGTATTAGCGAAGTCGTAGATGACGCAACTATCATTCTTGATGTTAGTCGCCGCTTGACTGACATTAAGAAAGTTGGTTTTCAGCACTGATATGAACGTCTTTTCGAATCACTATATGAAGCGACAGTTCTGTGGGCGGTTTCTTACCCCTGTCTAATATATAAGCTCTCGGCAAGAACGGACATGTCAGCCGACAGCATCTACAAGACGGACGAGCTGTTGGCCAGCCGCATGAATCGGTATGTGTTGTCACTTCATGAACATTTGATACCATTTGGAAAGCCTTCATAAACGACGGTGGATTGTTTATTGATTCCAGGCCAAACATTACGGTTATGTTTATCTCCAGAGTGGCATCCAAGATACGTCTGCTAAGAATGACAAGACCACTGCGCAGCCTTGAATGTGCCAATAAATCTTTTGGACTATGTAAAGCCTTTCGATGTACCAAGATACAGTCTGGTGCCCGCCGCATACTTTCAAAGTATACATTTTGATTCGATGCGCAAGGATTGGTATCGTGAGGCTTCGCGCTTTTTTTGCTAGAGGTTGCTCGACCTGGGACAGGTTAGTATTTTGCGTCACCTCCTCGAGCATTTATATCACTCACCCTTGTTTTATCCTGATCAATAATTACATTAATGCTGGTTAACCAATAAAGATATCGACCTTGCCTTGAATATGAAATCACCATCATTCCGACATGTAGCTTTTACAGTCCTCATCCAAACATATCACAAGCTCAAAGTAGTGCGATATTCAACAAACAAGGCTGGCACTCTCTGAAATTTGTTCCTGAACTTGTTAATTGTGATCCGAATCAAGAGACAGCTTCTTGCAATGTGATCGTGTGTGCACGTTCTGTCCCCAAGCTATAGTCTCTTAACATTCCTTCATAGTAAGAGTTGGTGTACGACTTTCCCAAACTTCTGACTTGAGTTACCACTTTTGCTGAGGGCGTCAACAATCACTGAGATGTAAATCGACGGCAGCGATGACACCTACAACTGTGAAGTTGAATCTAATTTACATTCCAATGAGTCTAGAAAAAGTTGAAAGAAATTTGAAGGTCTTTGCTTGGAGAATTATCCTTGAGTCAAAATGACTTGTAAGAACATGGTAACATATTTTGGAGAAGGTTTGCTTAGTGAGGCTAGCGAAATATTACAGTGCAAAATTTTAAGGTATTGCAGATATTGCAGATCGATTGTCTGTATTGAATTTGCAAAGGATTGTGGGAAAGAGTAAAAGATCAAGGGAAATTGAATCAAATTTGTGTCCTCGGTTAGGACCTAAGCAGGCGGTAGGAAGAATAAGAATGTGGCAGTTCCCTGGATTCAAGCTTGTTTTAGGAAGAATAATGGGATTGTTGAATTCCAAGCTTGCTTGAATAACTTGGAATTGTAAATCATCTGGACTTTGAAAAACTACCCGAGAAAGAAAGCTGGAGTTTCTTTATGCCTTTAGTGCATGCATTTTGGTCTTTCCTCACATACCGAATAGTCTATAAATATTGTTTTCACTGGCTCATCAAATTGTAAGATGAAGAATTTGGTCTACAACTTGAAATCAACCTTGTTGACTTGGGTAAAACAAGCCATTCTGTTTCTCCTTGATATCGTGAAAGAATATAGATGGAGAAACAACTCAAAAGTTGGAAATCGAGTATAGGAGTAGATTCATGACAAGAACTTCAATTCTGATATGGATGTACAACCCCCACCCACTTTTACATCGTAAGCGACTTATCCACTCTACCCCCCCTTTCTCACTTCAATGATGTCTTCTAAGCAGCCCGTGACCAAGTCCGCTAGATCCTTCTGCATGATGTATCCTCAACCCTTGATGGGGCGACAACCTTCGTTCCCTCGGTATCCTGAAATACCATGATGTAGAGGGTGATGCGAAGATTGATGTGGTAGGTGTATATCATGCGTTGTGGACACAATAGTTCTGTGTATGTATGGTTCGACAATAATTGGCATGCTGGCAATGCCGCAATTGGAGCGATAGGTGGGGGAAGTATGCTGCGAAAAACGATAGGAATGTCAGAAGGCATTTTGTGGTGGATAGGGTGTTGCAGAGGGTTGTATGAACGGATTCGGGATAAGTTGGCTTACGCGATGACCCGGGGTGAATCAGGAGGACGTGAGTGGGGCGGAGGAGATTCACTGGCCATACCAAAGCAACACATCATAGGAAGAGAATAGCCGCTTTGATACTTGGGAAGTTGAGATCAAAGTATGAATAACAATTGCTGGCTATTTCAGAAAGTACGCTTTCTGGGATGTTCAGACCAATTTGAACTTTTGAACTGCGTGAAGGATTCATTATGAATGGATGTTTGTCCTGTTATACGGTGCTCATTGTGATACATAGTACTCAGTGGAGTGGTACTTGTGTCTTCCATTTCGTATTTTGACAATAATTGCGGTTCTCCGGAGAGACGTTTGATAGACATTTGATAGACATACTTCTTGACGCACTATACTTACACCTCGTGTTATTGAACTCATGAAGCATGGAGCTACTTGCTGGTTTGAGCGCTTGCTAGAGGCGCAACCATGTTTACACAAGTAGAAGCGGGGCATAGGTTGTATCAGACTCACTAACGATTACAAGAGTAGAATTCGTGCTTCTGTTCAAGATTCTCATGAATGTCTGCTTCCATGTTTGTAAATTTGAAAGTTAACCGAAACTCATTGAAGTCATTAAAGTGCGGGGCACTCGATTTGATCTGAATTCTACATCCATTCCGGTGTCATCCTCACAAAAGTCGGTTTGACATCGAGGACTCTCTGATGACTAGATAGTCCTTCTGTCCCAAAACCTGCCGCAGCAGATTATATAGAGTTTCTTTATGTATGCCTGGATGAGAAGTAGATTTTGTACACATCTCTATTGATACATGCCGAATTTCTTCGAACCCCGCGGCTTATGCAACTCCTCTCGTAGAGGTTTTTATTCCATGTTAACAACAGCTCCCAATTCCTTCAATGTTGCAATAATTTTCTCGGCTTCCTCCTTTGGCACACCCTCCTTCATCATCTTTGGCGCACTTTCGACGAACTTTTTACTGTCCACCAAACTTAATCCCAACATGCTCTTGATCTCTTTGATAATCTTAGGTTTTGCCCCCGCATCAAATGAAGCCAACTTCAGGTTGAACAAAGTCTTCTCTTGTTGTACTGGTGCAGCGTCTTCCTCCTCAACTGGTGCAGCGGCTTGGGCAGGACCAGCAGAAAATCCCCCCATTGGCATATCGGGAATATTTAGTCGTGACTGGAAAACGGGTTGATCAGTGACTGCGAAAAACTTCCTCAGGCGCATATATTTCGCAGAAATTGCCTTACCTTTAAGCTGGCAACTAAATCAGCTGTCTCTAATAAAGTCAATTGACTGATTTGGTCTACAATCCCGGAGATCTTTGGGTTCGCTGACGCTGCCTCTGTGGATGCCCATCTCGCGGAAGGATTTCTTCTTTGTGCAAGGGAAGCTGTGGAAACGCGGAGGGATGAGGATGGTCGGAGAGATCGTATGCAGCTGCGAGCTGCGGACTGGCAGGATAATGACATCGTGTGTGGGTATGGGAGGCGATATGATAATATAATCTATAATTGTTGATGAGGACTTTGTAGACTTTCTGCATTGTGGAGCTAAATTTCTAGCGCGTCGGTGAAACTTCGGCACCGTCAAAAAAAGTTGATTGCGATTAAGAAAAAAAGTTCGAGATAGTTGCATAGAAATAAACAATTGATATCCCACGATTTTCATGATTGAACGAAATGGAGGCCATTCAGGATGGAAATAATCCTGATATAACCATGGAAAGCAACCTACAAGCAAACCTTCCAGAGGAAATTCTGGAAATCGTTAATCTTCAACAATCCCCTCACTTCCTCGAAACTCTCGCCATATCTGCATTGAAGCCCAAACAAACACTCAAATTATTCACATATTTTAATTCCTTAATCGCGGACTCAGCTGCAAGATGGGTTGCCAATTCGCATCCTGGTACCCAAAAAAATGAAGTTATTGAAGCATTTTCACGAATACTATACCTTGCGCCGCACCTGAATACCTTTCTCGAAAAATATCTCTCCGAAACTACACCTTCTATAAAGAATGGCCCTTCTCGCAATATAATAAGCCTGGGAGATGGTGCAAGCGTTCTGGGCAATGGTCTATCTGATCTGGCGCTGCAACGAATTCTGCTGGCAACATGGAGACTTCTCAACTTCGACAAGCAGGCCTACTCTGGGACAGTTTCGAGCTCCGCGATTCAAAGCCTTCTCGGACATACTGATTTAGCAGTTCGGTATCTTGCGGTAAAAATCTTCTGCCAGCTTCAATTCGCATCGGACGATAGGTTGGAGGCAATGGTCGCAAAATTTGTTGGAAATACAATAGCAGTAATGGGGGACTTCGACGGCGAAATGGTGGACTATGGATTCCTTAGTATCTTCGAAGAAAAGCGGCTGAAAAATGCTGCTTTGGATTTGAGCGCTGGAACAGGGATGTTTCAATCCCAAAAGGTATTGCAGGAGTTTTCACCACTGGTTGTTCAATATTCAGATGTGCTCTTACCTCGTCCAAATGGCTATCCTTCGCAGCCATCTAAACTCATATCAACAACCACAACCTCGCGTAATAGCGAATCTTTTGCCAAGGCCCTTATGTCTTCATCGCCAATCTTGCTCCACGGGTTAGCTGGTGCAGGAAAGACTTCGTTGGTCAATGACTTTGCACGGGAACTTGGGATGGATTCAAGCATGGTTACACTTCATTTGAATGAGCAGACTGATGCAAAAATGCTTATTGGCATGTACGCTACAGGATCTACACCCGGATCTTTCACCTGGAGAGCAGGAGTTCTAACCACAGCTGTTAAGGAAGGGCGTTGGGTTTTCATCGAGGATCTTGATCGCGCTCCCAATGAAGTTATCAGCGTAATACTGCCACTTGTTGAGAGAGGCGAGCTTCTAATACCAAGTCGAGGTGAAACTATCAAGGCCAAGGCAGGTTTCAAGCTTCTTGCGAGCATTCGAACCTCTTTGAATGTAAGTGGCGGAGAGATTCCACCAGCATTACACATGCTTGGAGCACGAATGTGGCAGCGTGTCCCTATCCATATGCCAAATCAAGACGAATTCCGAGAAATCATCGAAGGTACTTACCCAATATTGCGCCAATTTTTGCCTGGAATTATCAGCGTTTACGAGCGGCTCTACACACTCTCTATTAAGCCTTCTTTTGCATCCAAAACTCGAACTTCAATAGGCCGCCCAATAAGTCCTCGGGATCTTCTGAAGTGGTGCAGAAGACTAGCAAGTGTTCTTACATCATCAGGATCCAAGACCGGCAGCGAGCCTATAACCGACAGCACAAAATATGAGATGTTTTTAGAAGCCGCCGATTGCTTTGCAGGAAGTCTACACTCCGAGGAATCCCGGAGATCGGTGGTTTCATGCATTGCTGAGGAAATGCACATTGATCCTCAGACCATGGAACATTTTCTTACTGGCCACATTCCACGTTACGATGACGGCGATAACGAGCTTTTGATTGGTAGAGTGCGATTGTCTAAGAAACGAAGTAGTCGTGTCACGAAGCCCACTAAAAAGAGCCGTCCCTTTGCGAATACAACGCATGCCAAAAAACTGCTTGAACAAGTCGGAGTAGCGGTCCGGATGGCTGAGCCAGTCTTGTTGGTTGGAGAGACTGGTATTGGTAAGACTACTGTCGTACAGCAGCTTGCAGATTCGTTGGGTTTCAAACTTACTGCTGTGAACTTATCACAACAAAGTGAAGTCGGTGATTTGCTTGGAGGCTTTAAACCTGTCAATGTCAGGAGTCTTGCAATCCCACTCAAAGATGAGTTTGATGATCTTTTTGCATCGACAGGCATTTCTGCCACAAAGAATCAGAAGTACATTGATCAACTTGGAAAGTGCGTTGCAAAAAGTCAATGGAGCAAGGCATCGAAATTGTGGCGTGAGGCTCCCAAAATGTTTGAAAAAATCATTTCTGAGCTTGCCAAAAAAGAAGAAGCAAGTATGCCTACAAACTCTGAGCAACCAACAAAGAGGCGAAAGACGGAGTCAAAACTACAGTCACTGTTGAAATTGAAGTCTCGTTGGTCAAGGTTCTCGCAGAGCTTGGACCAATTCGATATTCAGTTGTCTGCAGGCTCCAAAGGGTTTGCTTTCTCATTCGTTGAAGGTAACATTGTTAAAGCAGCTCGCAATGGAGAGTGGGTACTTCTTGATGAAGTCAATTTGGCATCTCCAGATACCCTTGAGAGTATAGCTGACCTGTTGCATGGTGGTACTGGTTCTCCCTCAATTCTTCTTTCTGAAACTGGTGAAATAGAGCGGATCCAAGCACACCCAGACTTCCGCATATTCGGTGCCATGAATCCAGCAACAGATGTTGGAAAACGTGATCTTCCTATGGGACTGCGTTCTAGATTTACTGAACTCTATGTCGATAGTCCGGACAAGAATTTAGACGATCTTTTAGCTGTCATTAAAGCATATCTCAAAGGAACAAGTAGCAATGACGAAAGGGCTGCTCATGATGTCGCTCGTCTTTATATGAATACAAAACGTCTCGCCGAAGAGAAGCGATTGGTTGATGGTGCAAATGAAGTACCGCACTTCAGTTTGCGAACACTGACTCGTGTTCTCTCCTACGTCACCGAGATTGCTCCGTCTTATGGCTTACGTAGGGCGCTCTACGAAGGTTTTGCGATGGGGTTCTTGACTCTTCTTGATCGAGAATCCGAAAAAATGCTTATGCCACTTATTGAGCACCATTTGTTAGACAGCCATGGCAACCCACAAGCTCTTTTGGCTCAGACGCCAAAACACCCAGATGATGGAAAACAATATGTACGATTCATGAACAAGAAAAGAGATCGTCAATATTGGATGCTTCAAGGTTATGAGACCCCTCAAGAGCAACCTCACTACATTATCACGCCATTTGTTGAGCGTAACATGCTCAACTTGGTCCGTGCAACTTCAACTCGTCGCTTTCCAGTTTTAATTCAAGGTCCAACTTCATCCGGAAAGACTAGTATGATCGAGTATCTTGCTAAGTTTAGCGGAAACAGATTTGTGCGAATTAACAACCACGAACATACTGATCTACAAGAGTACTTGGGCACTTATGTCTCTGATTCGGACGGAAAGCTGCGTTTTCAAGAAGGTTTGCTCGTTCAAGCTCTCCGTCAAGGCCACTGGATTGTTCTCGATGAACTCAATTTGGCTCCTACCGATGTTTTAGAAGCACTCAATCGTCTTCTGGATGACAACCGTGAACTTCTCATCCCAGAAACGCAGGAAATTGTTCGTCCACATGAGAACTTTATGCTCTTCGCAACACAGAATCCTCCGGGACTTTATGGTGGTCGTAAAACTCTATCTCGGGCGTTCCGCAATCGTTTCCTTGAGCTCCATTTTGATGACATTCCAGAAGATGAACTCGATTTTATCCTTGAGAAACGAAGTCAGAAGGTTGCGCCATCAGATTGCCGAAGAATCGTCGCAGTATACAAGGAGCTTTCACGCCTCAGGCAGTCTACACGTCTTTTCGAACAGAAGGATAGTTTCGCTACCCTTCGTGATCTTTTCCGATGGGCACTACGAGATGCTGACAATAGGGAGCAGCTTGCCGCTAATGGGTACATGCTACTTGCCGAACGTGTTCGCAATTCGGAAGAGAGGGCAGCCGTCAAGGAAATTATTGAGAAAGTCATGAAGGTCAAAATTGATATAGATGATCTTTACGGTAACAATCTTGCAGAGATCAAAGCCTACAATTCAACCACGAATTCGCAAGGTGTAGTTTGGACACAGGCAATGCGCAGGCTTTATGTATTGGTTGCTCATGCTCTTCGCAATAATGAGCCTGTGTTGCTTGTGGGTGAAACCGGATGCGGTAAGACTACTGTATGCCAGATGCTAGCTGAAGCATTTGGAAAGACTCTTCACATCGTAAACGCACATCAAAATACAGAGACAGGAGATCTTATTGGAGCTCAAAGACCAGTACGAAACAGAGCCTCTGTCTTGGAGCTGCTCAAAAAAGATCTTCTGCAGTCGTTGGATGGGGTTGGTCAAGGTCAATCGGATTCTGAGGATCTCGACTCATTGTTGGCTACATATAAATCTCTTCCAGAAACATCCGTTTCTCAGATACCCATCGATCTGTCATCGCGAATTAAACTCAATCAAATCAAGGCCAAGGCACTCTTCGAGTGGTCTGATGGAAGTCTCGTGCAAGCTTTGAAGGAAGGTCAGTTCTTTTTACTTGACGAAATATCACTCGCAGACGATTCAGTGTTGGAGAGATTAAATTCCGTTTTGGAGTCACATAGAACAATTTTGCTGGCAGAGAAGGGTGTAGAGAACTCGTTCGTCCAGGCTGCTGACGGGTTCCAATTTTTTGCGACTATGAACCCTGGAGGTGATTACGGTAAGAGGGAATTGTCACCCGCTCTTCGAAACAGATTTACGGAAATCTGGGTTCCAGCCTTGTCAGACCATGCAGATGTCATTCAAATTGTGGAAGCCAAGTTAAATCCCAAGATGAAACAATTTTCGGAGCCCATGGTCAAGTTTGCAGAATGGTTTGGTGAAACATATCGATCTACATCCTCGACCTCAATATCTGTTCGTGATATCTTGGCATGGATCAAATTCATGAATGAATGCTCGACTACCAATCCCCACTACGCTGTTCTTCATGGTGCGGCTATGGTTTATATTGATACCCTTGGAGCAAATCCAGCTGCTCTCTTGGCAATTAATCCGGAAACGATTCATGAGGAACGTGCAAAATGCCTCCATCAATTGGGTGCTTTACTCAACCATGATGTCAATGCCATATACTTTACACCAATACAATTTCAAGACCAGGATAGTCACATCTCCATGGGCGGCTTCCATGCTCCAAAATTGGCTGGCTCTGACAGCGACCCAGGGTTTGCCTTCGATGCGCCTACGACGAAACTCAACGGCATGCGTGTACTTCGTGCCCTCCAAGTTCAAAAGCCCATACTTATCGAAGGTAGCCCTGGTGTTGGCAAGACGACCTTGATTGCAGCATTAGCACGTGCTTGCAATAGACCGCTGACTCGTATCAATTTGTCAGAGCAAACTGATCTTATGGATTTGTTTGGATCAGACGTTCCTGTTGAAGGTGCCGAGGCTGGACATTTCGCGTGGCGCGATGCTCCATTCCTTCAAGCAATGCAACGAGGAGAATGGGTACTTCTAGACGAGATGAATCTTGCCTCTCAATCGGTTCTCGAAGGTTTGAATGCTTGTCTTGATCACCGTGGAGAGGTCTATATCTCAGAGTTGGACCAGACGTTCAAACGCCATCCGAACTTCTCTGTTTTTGCCGCTCAAAATCCTCACCACCAAGGTGGCGGCAGAAAGGGTCTCCCCAGTTCTTTTGTGAATCGATTTACTGTTGTCTATGCTGATGTGTTTAGAGATGATGATATGAAACTAATTTGCCAGCATAATTTCCCTTCTATGCCACAGGAATTAATCACAACCATCATCGATTTTGTCACCCGACTAGAAGACGAGATTGTACACAAGCGGAAGTTTGGCTCCCAAGGCGGTCCTTGGGAGTTTAATTTGCGAGATATCCTTCGATGGTTGCACTTGTTGACGTCGTCAGCTCCATTCCTTGCTAATCGAGGCCCAGCCGATTTTTTGAATTTAATATTTCGACAGCGTTTTAGAACTACCAAGGACAGAGAAGAGCTGGATGGAGTGTTTGCGCAGGTGTTCGGCTCAGATGTACCATTTCGTCAATTCTATCAGAACATGAGCTCGGCCGCCTATCAGGTAGGAATAGCACACATGCCACGACATGTACTCTACCAACGCACTGCATTTCCACAAGTTGACCCTGTTAACCGCCTTCCGGAGTTGGAGTCGCTAATCATGTGTGTCCAACAAAATCTACCTTGTATTTTAGTAGGATCATCAGGCTCTGGAAAGTCTACACTTCTTGAGCATGTTGCTGCTGCTAGTGGTAAATCTCTCACGGTATTCCCTTTGAACGCAGACATCGATACCATGGATCTAGTAGGTGGATTTGAGCAAGTTGATCCGCGACGAGCTGCCAGCAAATTTTTACAAGAGCTTCTCGAGTTTATGGAAAGTCGTATACTTAGCACAATTCCCCAACAGATTCCCGAAGATGCAATCAAAGTTCTCGATATTTTGAGAAAGGATGCCATGAATTCCTCTTTCTCTTTCCAGGAGATTTCTCTCCATCTTCGACAGCTGGAACAAGCAAGCTCGTTACCAGAATTTGGAGCATTGGCAGAGACGTGCGAAACTTTTTCAAGTCGCCCTATGGCCGTCGAGAATGCCAGGTTTGAATGGGTAGATGGCATCTTGATCAAGGCATTGGAGCAAGGAAAATGGTTAGTGCTTGATAATGCTAATTTATGCAGTGCTTCCGTATTGGACAGACTTAATTCGCTACTTGAACCGAATGGATTTCTTAGTATCAATGAACATTGCGGACCAGATGGAGAGCCAAAGATTGTCAAACCACATGCCGATTTTAGAATTTTCCTAACAATGGATCCTCGATTTGGGGAGCTATCGCGTGCTATGAGAAATCGTGCGGTTGAGATTTTCCTGGGGCCGCTCTCATCAGAGAACGACCCCAATACCGGCACTCAGTTTTCTATTCTGCCAGAAGCCACACTTCAGAGATATCGCCAAGTGTCAAAAGTTCTAGACCTTCAATGTTCAGATCTTAGCCAGGCAGATCTTATCAATCGTATCGCACTCGATAACTTGGCTTGGTCCGATTTACCTCTTCTTACAAGATATGCTGAAAGCGTGGCCCGAAGTCTTGAGCAACAGGGGATACCTACCACAAGATTGTCGACAATATCTCGACAATATATGCAGTTATACCAGTCCGAAGACAGCCGCGATTTGAGAAATGCCGTGGGAGAGTTATTGAATAAAGTTGCGAAGAAGACCTTGTTACCCGCAGGCTTCAGTGACGCACAGGTTAGTGACCGTGCAGTCCCTTTCATAGTTAAACAATGTACTGATAGCGCAAATGAAAAATGTAGATCATCCATCCTCTCCAAAACTCGCCATTGGTGCCATTACTGCAATTCGCTTCCAATGAATCTCAGGTTTATTGGATTGCAGCATGCCTGGAGTATAAACTTCAAATTGCAGCTGCATTAGAGGCCCATCAAGAACAGGAATCTGTCATTGAAACCCTTAAGCCTTCCCAAATGAACCGCCTCCAACGATCTATGGTTAGTGACAGAGTAGCTTCAGTAGCAAAGGACTCCACCTTACGAGTCTCCCACTTTTTGATGCATACACTTGGATCCATTAATTCTTATTTGAATGTTCACGTTACGGCAAATGATAGTTGCAAGGTAAGTTCTCAGACAAACATCATTGCACTTGCTTGCGTTCTTTCTAATCCCAATCTAGTTCCGAAAGCAAATTATCACTTCTCTAATTCGCTATTGGTGGAGTACCTTCAATCTTGTCACTGCGTCAACGTTCGAAGAAGCGACATTCCAGTCCCATTTGGCAATCGGAAATACAGTCATGGAGGAACTTATCAAGAATAACCCTCTGGTTGATGAGCAGAACTCGCTAATCACAACCTTTGTCTCGAACTTACAAACAAGTTTCGCTTCCGGATTCAAGTTGACGACGGGACTAAGCATGGAGTTGCTCTGGAAGCAACTCCGGCCTATCGTTCCCACCAAATTCGAAGTCATGCAAACCATGGATCAGATGGAGAAACTGGCTGTGAGGTTTGATGCTCTGCGATGGAAAGCTTCAATCTCAGTCGCTGAGCTTGGAGGTATCATGACTTCCCTCGTGAAAGCACATCAACTTCTCTTGTCCTCGGATGTGGATGGAGCTGCTCTCATTCAAACTTTGACATCGGAGATTGAAACCCTCGAGAAGACTGTTGACTCTGAGGAGGATAGTCCGCGCCCGTTCTTACATGACCAATTCGAAGCTCTGAGACAATTTCAAGTTCTTGCAGCTCTGGCATTAAATCATCAAACTGGTGATATGGTAGACATCGAAACCGTTGTTCTTGCCGATCATCCAATCACGTCACAAATGCGTCTGAATACATCAAGCACAACTTCATGGCTGCTACAGAATATCGACTATTTATGGTCTGGTGATCATGGCCTTCAGCCTATTGCAAACAGCTTTTCAACAGATTTCTTGCATCAAATGAACATCATCAGCGAAGTTGACCTCAAGTCACTGAGGTTGCTTGAGTCTGAGCTGCCTGTCATGGCAGAAAAGCTTGCAAAGTCTAGTGGAATAATATCCAGCAGCCAACTGGTGGCTATCAATCAAGTCCTTTCTCATCTCACGTCGACAATTATCGGCGCACACGGTGAGCAAATCACAAATGATTATCTGAACAGAAAAGAAATTCTTGCTTCACAGGATGTTACTGAAACCTGGCACAAAATCACTCTAGAAAACCTTTATGAAGCGATTTCCGCTCATCAAGCAAAACATTTCAATGACCAGTCATTAATTAATACAGATACCAATTCCGATATTGAAATGGCAATTTTCGCCATGGAAGCTGCGATTAAGTCGCCTAGAGATAATATGCAGTATTCGGCTTTAGCGTGGGTCCATTTTGCTGTGGGCTGCATTTCCCTTTACGTCCCCGATCGAGCATTTGATCCCGACAAGAGACAGCGACTTGAGCAACAGAGGCACGAAGAAGTAATCCGGGAGTTGCAAGATAAGCTCGATGCCCTTCAAAAATTCGAGCGTCTCTTCTCTGGCCAAGAATCGAATCTCCGCTGCCAACTTCTTGAAGCAGATATAGTAGAAATTGGTGCCCCTCCAGAAGCATCAGAGCAAGTTTATCGGCCAGCAGTTTCCGAGTTGGACAAGCTTCAGGGTGAATTCAAGAACCTCTTGAAAGTTGTTCTACCCTCGCCTGCTATTGCATCAAAAATCTATCAATATTTGATAAATGACGATCAAGATGTCTTGAACGAAATCAAACTTATTCAGAACAACGTCCTTCAAATTATACGTCGTCTTTCGGAACGCTTTCATTCATATAGCGATCTTACCACACCTGTGATAAATATTCTTCGCTGTCTCCAAATAGGATTGTACATGGCGGCACTCGTATCAAAGGATCCATCAAATAATAGCAAGGCAGCTTTGGCTCTAAGTAAAGCAACGCCATTTTTAGGGGGCACTCCTAGGTCTATCGATGAAGAGATTGTATCTGGTCAGCCATTAGAATACTTGACATTGATGGCTACTACTACGACAATTGAGAGTGTTGATTCCATAGATTCACAAACCCGTGAAGCACTCTTTACGTCTATTCATTCATGTTACGAGCAATGGACCAAGAAGCTTGACGCCGATAGACTTGAAGGGGAAACGAGGTCGGGCTTGTACAGATTCCGCGGAAGTGCTGAAGACGAAGACGAGATCGACCAAGAACAATTTAATGAGCTTTTCCCCTCATATGATGAAGAGAATCCAAGCGCGTCAAGTGCCATACCACAGCAACAAAATGTCAGAGATATTGCTGTCTCTTTAGCTCGTGTACACGGCGATATTTTCTTGGGTGGACCATTACCATCTGAAAGTATCATGTCTTTAATCAAGCACATTTCTGCCCATATGGGCAAACTCCATGGAAGTGACTCCGGATTTGGGGATCAGAACAGGATCAAATCTCTCCTTCCAGGCTCGCTATTACTACTAAGTGATAAGATTGACGCTTTGAGTTCTTCCGCCACGGTCCCGGAAAATTATAATTTCTACACCGACGCAAATCTGCCGGAGACTCGCAAGTTAGTCAGTTTGATTCATCAAGTGCAAACAAGATTCAGAGAACTCCAAGCTGTGGACGAGATTGCGCACATGCAACCCCTTGAAGATGTCATGATCTCATGTAAAGAATTGCTTCAATTCCGTCACACGGAGCCACTTGCGAAGATCATAACCAAGGTAGAGAAAGTTCATGGCTTCATGCACGAATGGCAATTTGGTGGATGGGCAAGTCGTGCAAATTCTGCACTCCCTCTATACGACAATTTGACTGCTACGATAGTAAACTGGCGTCGTCTCGAATTATCAACATGGGCCAAATTGTTTGACATGGAAAACAAACAGTGCGACGACGATGCAAGATCCTGGTGGTTCGTCGCATATCAGACAATTGTTGCCGGTCCACTCACAATATGTGAGTCTGTTGAAGAACTCAAAGCATATGCCCAAAAGCTCCTACAAGATCTTGGGACCTATTTTTCAACAGCTATAATGGGCCAATATGTGCAACGTCTTAAGTTGTTGAAGCAACTAGAGAAACACGTTGATCTTCTTGTATTGGACTATCCAAACCTGTTTATCATTGCGAGCGCTCTGGCCAATTTCATCGCTCTTTATTCGAGGTACGAAAAGTCAGTAGAGGATAGCTTGAAGAGGGGTCGAGTATCGCTAGAGAAAGCCATGCGCGATGTGCTACTTCTTGCAAGCTGGAAAGACACAAATATTGTTGCCTTACGCGACAGTGCCAAGAGATCTCATCATAAGCTTTTCAAAATTGTTCGAAAGTATCGAGCACTACTTGGCCAATCTATGGACTCACTTATCAAACAAGGACTCCCTGATGAAGTCGCTGCCAATGAAGCCGGCATAGGCTACCTCTCCCCAACACAATTTCCAACCGTCGACCAATCTGCCCTCGCATTATGCGCTTCCACAGTTCCTAGTTGGACACAAAAACCCAAGAGATTTGTCAATGTATCTAACACCGTCAGTATGATGGTAGATAAAAGTCAATTGCTTGCGTCTTCGGTGGACGGATCAAGCTATCTTGAGTCATTCCTGGAGAATATCATCACGTCAACATCGGAGTTACAAAAAGCCACTCCGTCGGTCCTTACGGAAGACAACAAAGATACTGTCAAACATCTTAAATCTCAAAAGCGCAAACTCTTCGCAGATACATTGAAAGACCTTCGTCAAATGGGAATCAAATATAACTTGGGTGCCAACGCACTTGCCAAGCAAGACTCACTGTCTCTCGTTCTGGCAAACACGAATTATATCTCTCCAAACGGCTCTCAAGATCTAGAGTACTACTTTCACAAGACAGTGGAGCTTGCTCCAAGAGCAAGAGAGGCATCAAGACAACATTCTGACGATCTAAGTGGCGCAGAGGTAGCTAGAAGTACTGGATTCTTGGAAGGCTTGTTGCAAGCTCTCTTGGACCAACGCAACAGTCTCTCAAATGCAATGGCAAACATGACGGTCTTGCGAAATGTCATTAAAATGGCGAAGGGACTTTGGGCTCCGGAAATATATGAGCTCAAGACAACTAGTACAATCTCTAACCACGAGAATGTTCTGCAGTGGTTGCCAAACATCCTGAGTGTTGGACTGGAGCTTGTTAACACGCATGCAAAACTTGGAAAGATTGATGCTAAACCAGTTGTGGAAAGCTTGTCCTCGTGGAAAGATATATTCGTTGATCTTCGGACCAGATGGTCTTCGTCATCTGTTCTACCATCTGGCATTGTGTCAACTCAACGCTTAGAACTCGAAATGGCTATCAATGATGCCACTGAGCAGCTAAAAATTGATTTGGGAAATCTTATCGAGCAACGTCCAGACCTAGGGTTCATCCTTGATCAAATCTTACCTTGGACTGCCATCAACTCATCATCGGCCACAGCTATTTCTACCAAGACTCTCCTGGAAGATCTCGACCAGAAGCTTTCCACTGTTTGCAACACAATCTTAGCCGCCGTGGAGAAATATCACAAATCCATTGGCGATCTGCCGACGTCAACTGAAGATCAAGGTTGGCTCATCAAGAGCGATACTACACTCTTAAATAGCATCAAAGCTCTCCACTGTGACAATGTTGCTGAGCAAATTAAGCAATCCTTTGCTATCCTTCAATGTCTCAATCTTGCAGATGACAATGTTAGTCGAAGCGCTGGTGCGATATTTGCAGTTGCCCTTCCAATCATCCAACAATACTATAGCACATTGGAAGAAAGCATTGCTCGATACGCTACGTTACATCGTTCAACATGCAAAACTTCATACATTCTTGCCAAGACTTTTACACAAATTGCATCACAAGGTTTCTGTACACCATCAGAGAAACAGGATGCACAAGATGGCAAGACCGAGAAATTAGAAGGGGGAACTGGACTTGGCGATGGAGAAGGTGCTGAGGATATAAGCAAAGATATTGGAGAAGATGAAGATCTTGATGAGTTGGCTCAGGAACCAAACAAGGAAGAGAGAGGAGAAATTGAAGATGAACAAGATGCGGTTGATATGGCTGATGGCGAGATGGAAGGTCAAATGGGAGAGGCTGAGGAGAAAGAAGATGAGGAAGGCTCAGGAGATGAAGAAAAAGATGGTGATGAGATGGACGAAGAAGCTGGAGATGTGGATGATTTAGACCCTAATGCAGTGGATGAGAAGATGTGGGATGGTGATAATGAGCAAGCTGAGAAAGATCAAGAAGGGGATGAATCAAAAGGAAAGACTTCCAAAGACGAGCAAGTCGCGGCTCAAGAAAACAACAAAGAATCTGGAGAGGGTGATGAGGGTAATGATGGGGAAGAAGAGGAGGAGGAGATGGCAGGAGCTGAGCAAAGTGAGGAGGTTCAGCAACAAGATGATGTAGAAAAGCATGACCCACATGCCGATGAAGGGGATGCTTTGGATTTACCTGACGATATGCAATTGGATGGAGAAGAGAAAGAGGGGAGCGATGGTAGTGATGATGGGATGGATGATGGGATGGATGATCTTCCGGATATGGAAGACGAGGCCAAAGAAACAGATGAAGTCGCAAATGATGGAAAAGAAGAAGCGGATGCCGAGAATGCCGATGGCCAGGAAGATCAAGATATGGGCGATGAGATGGATATTATTGATTTGGATGAAGAAAAAGATGCAGAAGGGGAGAAGACAGAGGAGGCCGGCGAGAAAGCTGATGAAGAGCCAGAAGAAGAACAACAACAACCGGAAGATCAAGAAGGTTTGTTGCGTGATCGCGAGGATGAAGCAACAGCCGATACCGAGAACGCTGTCCCAAGTGATGTTCAAGGTGTTGGCGAGGATCAGGACGACAATGAAGCCGATAAAAATGCCGACTCCAACAGCAAGGCTCAAAGAGATGATGGTGGTCAAGGTGGCGATTCATCTGAGAACAAACAATCAGCTGCCGAAGATGGTGAAAAGGGTCGACAAGCTGCAGGTGATGCGCCACAGAACACTCAAGATGACACTGAAGATAGCCCTACTGCCCAACCATTCAAGAAGCTTGGAGATGCTCTCGAGAAATGGCATCGTCAACAATCCCAAATTAGAGAGCCTACTGAGCAACAAGACCAAGCTCAAGATCAGAACATTGATATGGGAACAGAAAGCAATGAGTTTCAACATTTGCAAGACGAAGACGCTGAAGCGGACACTCAAGCCTTAGGCACTGCTACAGAAGAACAAGCTCATGCTCTTGATGAATCCATGGCTGTCGATCCGGAAACTCAAGACATGCCAGAGATCTTCCAGCCAGATGAAGTTGATAAAGATGACATTGACGAAGATGTTATGGATCTCGAAGATGATACTCTAGAAGCAAAGGAACCATCCAACGCATATGAAGGTCGAGCAGGTGCTTCTATCCATCAAGCCAATAACAATATGGATGACAATATGGACGACAACACTCACGCTCAAGCCAACGAGGATATGGATGAAGATATCGAAGAAGTTGACACACAACTCGACAACACTCATCTTGATCCTAGTACCACTATTTCTGTTCGATCTGCAACCGAAGCTCGCGCTCAATGGACTCATTACGAATCCATCACACGTCCACTTTCCCTGTCCTTGACTGAGCAACTCCGATTAATCCTCGCTCCTACACTGGCAACCAAAATGCGAGGTGATTTCCGTACTGGTAAACGCCTTAACATCAAACGAATCATTCCTTACATTGCCTCTTCGTTTAAGCGCGATAAGATTTGGATGCGTCGCAGTATCCCTTCCAAACGTTCTTACCAAATCATGCTCGCTGTCGACGACTCCAAATCCATGGGAGAATCCGGCTCCGGAAGTCTCGCAATGGAGACATTAGTCATGATCTCAAGATCTCTCGCTATGCTTGAGGTTGGTGAGATATGTGTCGTTGGATTTGGAGAGAACGTTAAGGTAGCACATGAATTCGATGTGCCCTTTAGCTCTGAGGCTGGACCTGTTATCTTTGAGAATTTTGGCTTCGAGCAATCGCGAACAGATATCACAAGACTCATTCGCGAGAGTGTCAATTTGTTCCGTACCGCGAGGCAAAAGGCATCATCATCTCCTGCGGATCTTTGGCAAATATCTTTGATCATCTCAGATGGTGTTTGTAGTTCTTCCGAACACGATAATATCAGACGATTATTGAGAGAAGCGGAGGAGGAAAGAATACTGATGGTATTTGTGATTGTGGATGATGTGAGAACTAAGAAGAAGGGAGAAAGTGTGTTGGATCTTAAGGAAGCTAAGTTTGTGAACAATGAGATGACAGGAAGAAGTGAAGTGAAGATTGAGAGATATCTGGATACTTTCCCATTTAGATATTATGTTGTAGTCGGAGATGTAGGAGAATTGCCAGGTGTGTTGGCGGGAGTATTGAGACAGTGGTTTGGGGAGGTTGTTGGCAGTGGCTGATAGATGGTTTCGAAGAGTGCCTATATTAGACTGTACATTTGTATTGATACTTTTTTGCGGTTCGGCATATTTGCAGGAGCAAGGGAGTTAGCTGGCTGATTTGTGGATAGTTTGGGGTTTAGCTGTCTGTATGGAATTTTGTAGATCGCAATGAAAAGTTATTTGATTTTCCAACTGCTGCGCATTGAATCGAACCTTCAACTCATTTATATATACTTGACATTCTTCTCAAACAATGTGATAATAAGATCATACTCAACGATCCCCGTTTGAAGAGACTACATGGGTATTCCAATTAGCCAACGATGATGACTAAAATGATAGGATGTTATTGTTAATTACAACTCGTATGCTGAGGTATCAGCATGATTAAACTATTTTCTGACTACATGTTTCATTTTATGTCAAAAGAAACAGGCAACGAAATGTTGAGGTGGTGGAGGTAAGCACATCCAATAAAAGATGTATGATGAGATCGAAGGTCCGTCTCCATCTCGGAAACGGAGTTTCAAACCGAGTCTAAACTCCGCTTGATAATTGCAAAGAGATTCACAATCAATTTGCTTGTTTGTCTAATATACAACAACTTCTCATCTAGAGTGATTCCAGTATCCTCTTCTCAATCTCCGTACCATAGGAGAAATCAATTATCAAATTCCGAAAGCGTTTCTCTTCCCCGGTCTCCATACGTTTGGTTGCACTACCACCCACTCGCCCTTCTAATTGGTGGAACGGCTTGCTAGCTCGGAGTGTTAAGAAAATGGACGAGTCTCCTAAGGACAGCACTGTAACGCCGAAGATATCGAAACATGGAAAAGCTTGTGTCAACTGTGCGAGAGCCAAGGTTAAATGCGTAGAAAAGAATGATGTTGCTGCTTGCGAAAGGTATGTGCAATTATATCACGTGATGTGGTTCCGGTTCCATGGTACTGGGATTGCTGGTGGATTCCTTTCTGCATGTACCAGTTCTTTCTGTGTTTTTCAGAATGTCGAGTCAATATGGCGATTTCAAATTTGAGTATTGTATCTGTTTGTTGCTATTTCGGCTTTCGATGGTTTTGAAATGGAAAGTTTGTCCAATCTTCAAATAGCACAAGGAATTCGGAGTCCCCGTTGCTAGTCTAGATTCTTTTTCTTTCAAACGTTGTATGACTAGACTATTCAAGGGACAAACTGATACCCTCTAGATGCCATAGACTCACCAAGGACTGTCAGCCAATCACCAGAACAAAAAGACGAAAGTCAGTGAAGAGAACCGCAGCTACGAGGACTGCCGAGCTCGAGCAAAAGCTTGATGGGCTAGTTTCGTTATTGACTGCGGCTACCCAAGATCAAAATACTCCTCCTTCTTCAACGATATCGGACCATACTGTGTCATCGGATCCTAGAGATGATACCCAGGGCTATAAATATCAAAATGGATCAAATGTTGGTAACCCGCCCGTAAGAGGACTTGCAGCTATCGACCTAAAACTTCCCGCCAATAGTTCTTACAGTTTGAATTCCATCCCTGTTCATCCGCCTCTACCAGGACCGGAAGTTGGAAGATCTCTTCGTGATAAAAGCGGTGATTACTGTGCTACCAATATACCCACGGCAACTTCACCTACGTCTCTTATTCCAACTGGTCTAGCATTGTCTCCGATAGAAGAAGAGAATGCACTATATTACTTTCGGACTAATTCGATAAGATACCTACCATTTATCGTCATATCACCAGATACGAATGTCCATAAATTCAAGAAAGAAAATCCGTTTTGGTGGTTGGCCATTGTAATGGCTACAGCAAAGAGTACTTCGAGACAAATCGCATTGGGGATGCATATTCGTCAGCTTTTAGGTCAAAAATTACTTATTTCCGGCGAGCGCAATCTGGATCTTTTGTGGGGATTGTTGACTTATATTGCATGGTACGTGAGCTGAATGTCTGATTGAAGGTTGAATGTTAACATTGAGTAGGAGCCAATGTCATTACCAGCAGAGACCAGTGGTAAGTCATCTTTTACTTTTCTGGTACGAAACTTTTTCTGACTCAATGCTTTGTAGTGGAGTAGTATGATCCAACTTGCTATGGGAATAGCCTTCGATCTCGGATTAAACAAAGCACCACAGAAAGAGGCACCGCATTTGCTCTTGAACTTTGACGCCCGAGGATGCCCGAAGCCATTCATATCTACAGTCGGATCACAGCAAGAAAAAAGAGCTTTACTTTGCTTGTACTCTCTGAGCTCTAGGTACGTCCTATCGATTTGTTTAATGAGGCTTTTCTAATTTTGTTTAGCTTTTCATTATATGTCCAAAAAATTGACACTCTCCGATGGACGCCGTACGCAGATGAATGTTTAAAAATACTCTCGGAAAAGCCTGAGTCTCTTCCTGATACACTCATGACCCAAATTGTGCGCTTACAACTCATTCAAGAGCGCGTGAAGGACGCTCCATGGTACGACACAGCAGGCGATGAGAGTATCGCTTTCAAAACACCTGCTATTTTCTATCTAAAGGCCTTGAAAAATCAAATGGAAACATTCAGACAACAAATTCCGAATGAAGCTCGAGAGAACTGTACGTGAACAAATAAAAATTGACCATGTATGGCCAGTGCTAACTAATCACACACAGGTACTTTTTTGATGCATCTTTACAATACTGAACTTACGATCCACGAAGTCGCTCTCTCCAAAGAGCCTCATGCGGATATGCCGGATTCTCAACGCCTAGAATCCCTTTGCATCTGTTTTCAATCTGTTAAATCATGGTTTGAACTCTACTTTTCCACACCATGTAGAGATCACACATCATTTTCTTTCCCAATCTATACACACATGGCGCATTGCATGGTGGCTCTCTATCGTCTATCAGTATTCGAAGATCCACAATGGGATGTCCACCTTGTGCGTCAACAACTTGATCTCTCGTTCATTCTAGGTCAAATTGTCAAGACTTGGGAGAATGTTAAAGGTGAAGCTGGACTGGATACTGGATTGACTAGGGTAGATGATGTTGATATTTACACTTCTAACGCGAAGAGAATTGGATTGATTAAGACGTGGTGGGATGCCAAGGTAGCGGGGGAAGCTTCGAGTAATGTGTCAAGTGACAAGTTTGCAAATGTAAATGGGAGTGAGAATGGAAATGGCAATCTGAGCACCGAACCCGTACATCAAACTCAGGGTCAAGGATTCGAACTCCCAACATTTAATATGGATATGGGACAGGATTTATGGGATGATGGATGGTGGCAGGATGTTTTTGGTGCGTGGGGAGCTCAGTGTGATATCTGACTGGACTGGCTCTAGCTCAAACTTGAATATGACACTAGGGGACGAATGATATTTACAGGTGTTCTTGGTATTCTGGAAGCAAAGAGGATATTATAGAATGGTATTTCAAGAAAGACCCAAAAGCCGGACTAGATGGATCAAGCCTCTCATCTCAATGTTCATGTACTGTATAATATCAGAGACAAACGATTAAAAAAATAATCTTGAGAGAACGGGCAAAATCCGATAAATCGCTCCCTGTATTCTGAAGTTTTGTAAAATGATAGAATGGAGAAGAGATGAACATCGAACTGAACATCACACATTTGAAAACTCCACATACAAGCCGAGAATCAATTCCCTTCCACTCAATCTACATTCAATTCAACACACCCATCAACAAACCATTCTCTGAGCTCAGAGAACCAAATTACATTACCCACCTAGAATCCAGACACAACCCATCTATAAAAGAACCATTATCTTATGTACAAGCTCCCAGACGCAAAAATCCAGTATCGGAGTTTCATCCAACAACCGGCTCGGGAATTATCCTTTTTGAAAATTCCCGCTCCTTCTCAGATTTTGAGCCTCCTTCTTACGTTGGGTGGAGTATAAATATATAGATAAATGAATGTATGACTACTTGATGTATTCAATTTTGATTAACATTTATTGATTTATTAATCTATGCATTTGTTTACGGGATTGAGGATTCCAATGATTCTTCAATTAATTTAAGTATCTTTCTTGAATGTGCAGATAATTCCATTACCGGTGAGTACCTTTGAAGATTTGGGAACTATCAAAATACATACAGATCAGATCAGATCAGATCGAATCTGACCTGAAAGATAGATAACAAACATCAAATCAAACTCCAGCCTCACTCAATACACACACATGATACGATGTCACCAGCCAAAGTTTCAGGAAAGGAGGATCGAGAAATCTCAAATCCACACAGTAATCTTACATCCAGCTCAGATGACATTGGCATTTCCAAATCAGCTCAAGCGATTTCCTCGAAAAAAGAAGAGATTGCAAGTCCGGAGTGTGCTCCAAAAAGCGAAGATATTTATCTAGAGAAAGTGGACAAGGTGGATCGAGGAAATGGAGAAGGAGATGGAGGAGAAGACAAAGAAGAAATCTATGAATATATCTCTGGGTATAAGATCTTGGTGGTTATGGCTGCGATTACACTTACGACGTTTTTGGCGCTGTTGGATACGACGATTGTTGCTACTGTGAGTTTCTGCTTTTGATTTGATTTGTGAGGGAGGGTATTTACTCTTCTTTAAAATTTGCATTGCAGTCGTTTTGAGATGTAGTGAGTGTTGTTCAGTAGATGGGATCGGATATGATAGTCAAGTGGCTATTCTGTGGGTGGGAATGGTATTGTAATTGCAGTTGGGATGATAATGGCAATACTCATCAACGAAGTGTGCTTTCTCAGAATTCGAAACTATAACTCACATATATACACATCCGACACAAAAAGCAAGAACTCCGAAAACTAACCCAACACCACACAACCATAGGCCATCCCCCGTATAACCTCCCACTTCCACTCCCTCCCCGACGTTGGCTGGTACGGAAGCGCTTACCTCATCACCAACTGTTCACTCCAACCTCTCTCGGGAAAACTCTACACATATTTCCGTTCCAAGACAGTATTCCTCTCCTTTTTCTTCCTCTTCGAATTCGGTTCTTTGTTATGTGGCACGGCCGTTTCGTCGGATATGTTGATTGTGGGACGAGCGGTTGCGGGGATGGGCTCGGCGGGTTTGATGAATGGTGCGATTACGATTTTGACGCATGCGGTGCCGATTGAGAAGAGGCCCGTTTATTTGGGGTTTATGATTTCGACGGCGCAGTTGGCGCTGGCGGTGGGACCGTTGATTGGGGGGGCGTTGACGCAGTATGCTAGTTGGAGATGGTGTAGGTTTGATTTTTGTGCTTTCTGATTTTCCGCCGGAGATTCATGATACCCCCTGAACTTCATGTCTTGAGTTCTCACTTGAGACTATTCTCCCGCAATAATTCTTGATTCCCTAATTTGAAATCCGAGGATACTACTACTCTCATTCTTCAACTTAAAGATGAAAGTCCCATGATAACTGACAATAGCAGGCTTCTACATCAATCTCCCATGCGGCTTCCTCGTCAGTCTCCTCCTCTTCTCCATCACCATCCCAGAGCGTCTCCACCCCACCGCGCTAACCCTCACTCCTCTCCAACGAATCCAACACCTCGACCTCCTAGGCTTCTTCCTCTTCGCTCCCACCGCCATCCAATTTCTTCTCGCTCTAGAATGGGGCGGGACAACGTATCCCTGGTCATCCTCTCACATAATTGGACTTTTCATCGGATCATTCTTCACTTTTCTGCTGTTTCTCTACCGCGAATATCGCGCTGGAGATGAAGCTATGATTCCTTTATCTCTTGTGAGAAACACTGTCGTGTGGACATGCTGTTGTACGAACTTTCTGTTCATGGCAGGTATGTTGACATTAAGCTATTACTTGCCGATATACTTTCAGGGGGTGAGGGGCGTACAACCGACGATGAGTGGAGTGTATACTTTACCGGGGATTTTATCGCAGATGTTGTTTGCGATCATTTCGGGTTTTGCTGGTATGTTCTCCATCTTATCTCTCAGATTGGCATTCGTGATTTGACATTCCTGTAGTGCAAAAAATAGGTTATTATCTTCCCTTCAGTATCGTGGGCGGATGTTTCGCCGCGATAGGATATGGTTTGATATCCACCTACACACCATCCACTCCAGCATCGAAATGGATCGGCTATCAAATCCTCGGTGGAATTGGTCGGGGTCTCTCTATGCAAATGGTATATTGGATCATCTCCCCTCTCATCCTCATCCCCTCACTGAAAAAAACCAGGTAATAATAGCCATCCAAAATAACCTCACCGGGACCAAAATCGTCATCGCACAAACCCTCGTGATATTTTTCCAATACCTGGGCGGAGCACTCTGTCTTACCTTCGCATCTACAATCTTCACTGCGAAACTCAAATCCGGATTGCGAGTATATGCGCCCTCGGTGGATCCGCAAATAGTGATTGAAGCGGGCGCGACGGCGTATAGAAATGTGATACCGAAGGATCAGGTGATGAATGTGGTGACGGCGTATAATTTGGCGATTAATCATTGCTTTTACTTGGCGGCGGGAATGGCGGCGGGAGTTATGTTGTTTGTGTGGGGAATGGGGTGGAAGAAGATCGGGGGAAAGGATGATGGGAAGAATGTGAAGGCGGGTCAGGAAGGCGGGGCGGAAGCTTGAAGTGAAGGGTTGCGACTTTTTGAAGATTGGAGAATTCCTGGAGGATGGAAAGTTGGATAGATGGGTACCATCACCAAAACATAATATATACTTGTACTTTGATACTATACAAATGGATTTGATAATTTTCCCATCACACTCGCATCTTGATAACTTGCAGATTAATATTTTCGTCATAATGATATTCACGTTTCGATTCGAATCGCCCAAAATGCGATAAACCTTGAAATTGCAAGGACCTTTGCAATGCAAAAGTATGAGATACACGACCCCATCTCGTGCATACATCACCAGTAACCATCTATCTGTCTTCCGACCTCATAATCTCAACCCATACGCAAATGCAGCATGGCCGCAGACGCTTACCTACTCGGTAGTATCTCATACAACACCACCAATAAACATCACCCCCCTCCCAACCACCCTCCCCAACCTCATCACACGACCCTGCACATCCGCGATCCGACTTCTGAATCACATATTGAATTTCCCCGCAACTCTTTTTAGTTTATTTTGGCTTTCATGCATGCATGAATGCATTTCACTCCTATCGTACTGAGGTCGTGCATCCACGTCATCGATTTCTTCCGGTGTCGGTTATGTTATAGTCCAGCTCTTTCTTTCTGTCATCTATCTGTATCCATATCCATCTCACCCATCAAAATTTTCGTCTTTGATTCGAGGTGTTGCGCATCCACATCCATATACATATATACACGAGAAACGCCACAATCAACCAACTACCGAGAAAGAAAGATAAGATAAGCATCACACATACCTAGTAACCTTAGCATTCCTTCCCGAGAATATGTTCGAGGCACGACTGGAGAGGAGAGAACGCGTAAAGCCACAAAGCTTGGGGATAACTTCAGATGCGAAAAATGAGGATATGATTCTTGATGCTGCGGGATTGTTTCCTATCAAGGTTTGTGGGATTCCTCATTATGTGTTGTTAATGTTATGGAGGGTGGATAGCACGTGGATGTTATTTTGATTGATTGATTGGTTTTATCTTGGGCATTGACGTGCTGAGATTTGGAGGGATAGTAGGAAGAGGAGTTCTGATTGGGAGCTGGAATTGCAAAGTTGCGAGAAGGCTCGTCGTTGTTGGAAAGAGAAGGGATGATGGATGCTGTTGATACATGAGACATCGAGTTGTCTCTATTATCGCATGGCGAAAAGCCTTCCACGACGACATCGATACACCCTACCACTTAAATCTACTAGATCTCTGATTTTTATTCTCATAAAGAAGCGATTTCCGCTTCTTGTCCCCCAATGAAACCCCCCAAAGCAACCATACTAACCCAACCTCCCTCCCAGGAACCCTTCTTCGTCACCGCCAAATTCTGGAAACGTTTTTCCGTCTACGCCTCCGTCATCCTCTCCATCGCCTCTCTCGTCATATCCTCCATCGCATCCCTAAAGCCCAGGTCTGCTGCCGATTTGAAAGGTCTATCATTCCTTTTCCTCCCCTCCCCCTTCTTTCTCCAAAAAATCCAACTAACCTCCTCTAGCCCTAATAGTAACCAGCATAATCATCAACGCACTCTCGGTCACTCTCTCCGCGCTTACTTCTCTAGATTGGCAAAGCCAGGCGACGACGGACCGGAAATTCGCGCAGATGTTGAGTCAGATTAGTCATGTGCATGAGGGGAAGGAAGGGGGGAGGATTGTGATTTTGGGACGGGGGAGGAGGGAGGAGGAGGAGAGGTTGATGGGGGAGAGAGGGGGGATGGGGATAGGAAAGGCGTTTTGAGATTTCGGGGGACTTTGTGAATAGAGAGATGTCTTTGGGCGAGAACGGAGTGGAGTGGTGGGAAGTATGGATTTTCAAGTATTTTGATTATATTTGTACGGAGGTACAGTACAGAGAGAGACATTATCCACATTTTCGACTTCGATGGAAATGGGGATTGGGTGTGGGCGCCTTGATAACGACAGATTGATAGACAGGCGTGTGTATTTGGCGTTGGAGCTTATAGCTTATACCTGGGAGAACGGATAGCTGGGCTAGATTGCATTGAGGGATTGTGAACATGTATAACTATATACCCTTATTATTTCTCTTATTTGTATTAATCTATAATTCACAATCCCACATTCATGATAAAATCAATGTATGATGAAAAATGATCTGGAAATATGCATTTTATTTCAACCTCATCTCGTACACATTATCAACACTCTAATTCATTTTTTAATGCAACACCTAGGTAATCATCTCAACCCAATCACATTTTTCTCCACCACTTTCATACCATCTCTAACCGCAGGACAATAATGTAATCTTAACAATTCTCCTTCCCAGATTGTGCTTGCCATTGGATTACTTCCTTCCACTTCAGTACTACACCCATCGAACATTCCATCACCCTTTCTCTCTTCTGTATTCCAGAGACTTTTCACCTTGGTCTCGTGGATCTTTGCAACTTTACCTAACAGAGCCATCATTGCGGTAGCGGATTTCTCGGGTAGTTGGAGAGAGCATGTCATGAGTTGTTTAGTGAAAGCCGCGATTCTGAGAGGAGGGACTGCGCGGGCAGCGAGGGGCGGTAGGAGGACCGAGGAGAGCGAGCGGAGGAGAAGAACGGTGGTGGTTTGGATATTGACTTTATTGTCGGTTGTGGAGGGGGCGTTTGGATCTGGTAGATGGAGGGATTTGGAGGAGAGTTCGATGTCAGGGTTGAGAGATAGGGCGTGGAGAGTGCGATAAAGATGAGTGATGAAGAAACTTAAATCTAAACTTAACGAGGCTTGAGCTTTATGGGCGTCTTGGCCTTCTAGAAGTGCGAATGCGGTGATGATACAGAGGAGAGATTCACGTGTGAGATTGCGAGAGGTTTCGGAGTCCTCGTCTTCTGCTTCGGTTTCCTCAAGATCATCTCCTGTTTCGGCATGACCAATGAGATCTTTAAGCGCTTCTAGAAGATCACCGAAGAAATCTTGATTGATGAGATGAGCGTATCGAGCCAAGCCCTCAAGTACAGCACCCATAAGAGATGGTGACCGGACTTTGAGAATGCGGAAATATGTCACAAACACTAGTTTCAAGGTTTCTGACTGCATTCTCTCACGATCTTCGTGACTGACTGTTGCATCTGCTTGAACCATCTCCTTTTCAACTGCTTTTCGTTCCTTCATCAATTTTCGCTCCTTTTTGGTGCGGAACACTCTCTTTTCCTTGAGTTTCTTGCCCCCAAAACTGTCTTCCTCATGATCGACATGATTCGTCGATGCCTTTCCAGAGAATTCCGATAATAATCTTAAATGTAAGAAAGTATTCAATACACTTTCGTCTACTCTGTATCCTCTTCCTTTCATCATTCTAGTTAAAATATTCACCGCATCCAAAGATGAAGTTCCATCATCGTCATTCTTGAACAACGTTTCGATAGTCTCTCGACACTTGACAAATTCGGCGTCCACCTTTCTCGTACTGAGCTTTCCGACCAATATCTTCAAGAGATCTGATCTGAAATTGAAATGGGGAACAGCTTCTAACAATGCGCATGCACAAGATATGGCAACCGTCGAAAGACCTGCGCCGCCATCACTCGTTTTTTGAGATTTTCCAGCTGTCGCGAGCCTACCCAATTCCTTCACATATCCTTGATATCCTCCCACAAGAGCCTGTTCGTACGCCCTCAGTTTTCGCACCTCCTTCGAAACTTTCTCTTCCATATTATCTTCCGATAAAGGTCGTATCCTATATCCTGGAATAACATCTTTATAGACAGCCAATTGTGTAGCCAATGCCAATTTCTTGATCGTAATGTTGTGCGATTTTCCAAATTCTGCTATGGCTCTAAATGCTCCTACATTTTCTTCCGGATCCTCATTCAGCATCAATGCTATACGTGCCAATTCCTCCTTTGCTTCGAGAATCTGCTGTCGTATCGGCACAGAAGGCTTTTTCTCGACCTTCTCTTCGGGCTCCTCGTCCTCCTCAACATCATCCGCGCCAATCCATTCTAAATCGCTCTCCTCCTCATTAACTTCCACTGGCGCTTCCACTTGTTCGACCAATCCTTCCTTAGTCTTAATTGGTAATCTTGTACTCTCTTTCTTATCCTTCTTTCCTTTGCGCGGTCTCATTTCGTAATCCTGTTCTAAGTTCCATTTCGAAGCCGTCTTGAAAAACGCATTCGAATTTGGCGCATTCTCTAAAGTCGACGGAGATGAATCTTCTCCCTCAGTTGGCGGAGGTGTAAGCTTGCGCCTCTTAACTGCTGGTACTTTTGCCATTTCTAATTATGTTGCAAAAACCAATCGTGATGGGAAATTTGTATGAAAGTTATCGATCGAAAAAAAGTTCATACAAGGGTTCTGTCGAAAATATTCTGAAGCGGGCACCAAGCGGCCGCACGCTCACCCGCAAAAAAAAAAAAGTTTCCAGCCTTATCAGTAGGTAGGCCCGCCAAAAAAAATTCACAGGATCTCTGCAATCTAGAGCTTCAACTTCCATCTCGCAAACCTCACGAACAATTATTATCCCAACAGCACAATTTCAAAATGCGTCCTCTCACAGAACCAGAAACTCAAACTCTCTTCGCCAAATTGGCTGGCTACACGGGAAACTCGTTGAAGAATCTGATTGCGCCATTGGACAACACTCCAAATGCTGATCGATATGTTTTCCGCGTTCAACAATCAAGATGTTATTATGTGCGATTATCGCTCGCAAACCTTGCGACTTCTATCTCCAGAGACAAGTTGTTATCACTAGGAATCTGTCTCGGTATGTGTTCCAATTCCCACATTGCAAAAATGCTATATCTAACATATCCCTCCCAGGAAAGTTCACAAAATCAGGCAAATTCCGTATTCACATCACCGCGCTCCCTATCCTCGCCGAGCACGCCCGTTACAAGGTCTGGGTTAAGGCCAATGGAGAAATGCCCTTCCTCTACGGTGGACACATTGTGAAAGCGCATGTTGGAAGATGGTCGGAAGATTGTCCCGAGCATCAGGGTGTTGTTGTTTACAGTATGAACGATACGCCATTGGGATTTGGGGTTACGGCGAGAAGTACACAGGAGGCTAGAAGATTGGATCCTACCGGTATTGTTTGTTTCAGACAAGCAGATGCAGGAGAATATCTGAGAGATGAAGATACGCTTTTTGCAACTTCTTAAGGCGGACCTCTTGTACTTGGAAGTGCTGAAAGGGAATGGAGTTTGGGATATAAAAAGGCGTTTATATGGTGTGGGGAAAAGCATAATTATAGGCAAGTTGCCATTTCTGATGAAAACTTGCTTAGACAAAATGACAATGTTTGATGATCATTGCGATCTCATATGAACAAGTTACTGCACTTTCATCGCTTGTTCCGTTCATCCAATTTTCAACGCCATTAATCTATTGCCTACGTTGTTGGCGACATTTCGTGTTTGATGGAAAGAAACTGATCATATACAACTCAATGCTATGTCGATCATACCTCACCATTACTTTCATCTTTTTCCAGATCAAATTCAAGCCATGGCGATGGCACACAGGGGGTGTTGCTGTACCAACATCAAAAGACAACATGACTTGTGCGGCATCTGAAGTTGACAATCCAAGTGTTCTTCAGCTCTAGTTTGTGCTAAGATTTTGGCAGTATCTACTTGGATGTCATTTTGAGAGTCACAATTGATCTTGAACAGTAGCGACACAAGCAGGGATATGAACAATTATCAATTATGAAATTCTATACGCTGACTTGCAAGAATGACCTGTCGAAACAATGGAAATTGTATTACATTACGGGTTGAGAACACTTTCTGTAAGAAAAGGAAAAAAAAAGTGTCTATGTAGAACGAAGTATCGAAGATGAATGATAACTTCTTTCCCACTTCATTTGTCTGGATAGAGGCTATCTGCTCACCTGCACAATTTTCAAGTTGAAATCGCAAGATAAATTAAGTGATTGTTCTATTTTGCTATATTATAGTATTTCTTTTCGCTCCCCAATATAAAAATCGAGTAACAACAAACATGACTAACTTCTAAGGAGGGTATTGGTACTGTGGAGCCGTCATTCGTATATACTTTTCTTTGCTCTTTATGCAAATCATTAACACCATCCAGCATACACGCCGTGCATACTCCAACATCTAACGAAAAATAAATAAAAAATTATAGCAATTATACAAACCGTGGCTATGATGCCATTCCCTGAAATAAACCTAATCAACTCTAACGGGATATCTTTCTCTCAATTTAGCACCGTACTTGTAAATGAAAAATGGCGCAGGAATCAAAGCCAGCCCGATGAATCCCAAAACACTGTTTCCCCAACCCAATCCCAAATTATTATACAACGGCCGACCCGCCAGCGGCAAGAAGGCCGCAAACAAACATCGAATGGCGGTGAGACCAGCCATGGCAGATGCTGCGTATTGTTTTCCCGTATCGATATAGTACGTTTGAATACCAGCAAACACACCCATGGTTCCGAAACCGAAAGGTATCAAGCCGAGAATTGGAACGATCCAATGGACGCGGTAGTAGGAGGACCAGCCGTACCAGAAGAAGGAACCGGGGATAAAAAAAGCAAAGAAGAGACCATTACGGAGACGGAACTCAGGTTGGTATACACCGTTATTTTTCTTGGTCAGGGAGATGATGGTAGGATCTGATGTTTTGGCAACTGTGAACATGCCAAGGAAGAAACCGAGACCGAGACCTAGATATGCTAGCGAGGCGATTTCGATAGAGAATCCGTAGTTCTGTTCAAAGACTTGCGCAATGGACGTGAGGAGGAGATAGATGAGTCCAAAGATGAAAGACATCCACAAAGCAAGCATGGGCAGGATAGGAGAGGAAAACATCATGCGGAAGGGTCTTGCGATACCCGTGAGAAGGACTGCTTTAATTTTCAATGCAGCAGGTGGTTTCTTGGCATCATATGCGGATATGAGAGCTTCATTTCCAGTTTCCTTGCGGAGAGCGGCGGTTTTGCGACGGATGAGGACGGGAGCGGATGTCTCTTTTCCGACGATCACGTAGAAGATGGAAAGACAGGCACAGGCAATCAAGAGGACCCAATACACCCAGCGCCATCCCGCACGTTGGGCGATGAATCCTCCGATCACGGGACCGAGGACAGGGCCGAAGAGTGGTCCCATGACGAACATAGCTTGTGCTTTACCACGTTGCTGGATTGGGAATAAATCTGCAACGACACCGCCGCCGATAGCGAGACAGGCGGATCCTCCTAAGCCTGCAAAGAAGCGGAAGAGGATGAGGAGGTGGATGTTTGGAGCAAGTGCGCATCCGAGTTGCCTGTAGTGGGGTTGTATGAGCAATGTTTCAATTGAATGACAAGCACATGACAAGTGTTAGACTTACCATATTGTTAGTAGGAAATTGCAATACATGAGAATCGGTTGACGTCCATAAATTTCACTCAGTGGCGACAAAACAAGTGGCCCAGCCGCAAATCCAAAAATGAACATGCTAACAACAAAGGTATCCAGTATATCGGAAGTAGTACCGAACTCTTGATTCATGAGTGTAATACCAGGTGCTACAATCGATGAAGATAGAGGACTACAATTGGTCAACTAAGATGCGACATGGGGTAATATTTGGTAAACATACCTCAAGAATGTAATCAGACTGACAGACGCCAGCATCAACCATTTCTTTTTATCCGGGAGATTCCTTTTTCGGGTCAGTATGAGTGTGATCGCCATGCACTGTCGAATCAGACATACCTTGGATGTGCCGGATCATCTTGCCCGGTCCATCCTACTAAATTATTTTCCATATCCATCTCTGGGAAGATCTCCTTTGGTGGTCCTCCAGGTCCACCTGGCCCTCCAGGACCTGGAGGTCCCGGTGGACCTGCAAGCTCCTTCTTTTCCACTGGTACCTTGATTTCTTCTGATACCGGCCTTGAGAGCTTTAGAGATGAAGCAAGTGTTTCTTCTGAAAATGGCCTTGAAGGCTTTGTAGACGCAGCAAGCGATTCCTCTGAAGTCATTGCGAAGATTTCCGGGTATGTATCTCGGATACTTTTTGAAGGCGGTTCTGGAGGAGGGGACCGTTTTAAATTCCTGATTGACATCATTTTGAATAACCCTGGAGTACTTTTAAAACTCTTTGTACTTTTCGTACTCAGTTGCCTTCCCATCTGTGACGGTCCTATGGGTGATGATTCTGGAGTAGTATATAAAGAACGTGGTGAATGTAGAGCTTCCAGCTCCAAGCTATCTTTTCTCTCCATCTTTCCTTCGTAGAAATCTTCGTATATTGACGAGGTAAAATCTTGCGCCGTTTCTAATGCTGAATTGTAAGTCGAAGTTTCAACGTCGTATCCATAGGGAATGTCTAGATAATAATGGTAATCATAATCTTCTGGATTATAAGGGAACTCGTATAACGGTTCCTTCTTCTCGGGTGAAGCCATGTCTTCGATCAGCATACGAAATTTAGTGTGCAATTAGTGGGGACGTCAATTTGCGGTATACAGAATCAGGAAAAGAACGTGGGATCGAGCAGGTAGTAAATGATTTTCGTCCTGTGCAGATTGAACTATTGGATTGTACCTTTACTAGATATGGACTTTGGCTTCCAAATAACAGCAGGCTGGGTGTGCGTAGGTTGGTGACCGTGCAGAAGGGGCCTTAGATTTCAACTACTTCATAAATTGGTCATTTGAAATCGCGGATAAAGTAACACCGAATGGTGAACTTTCAATCTCATTGGTTGATCCATGAAGCTCTTCATTAGATTCTGAAGCTGTAATGAAGAAAAAGGAATGAAAGATTTGAAGAGAGCATAGAATCGGAAACCAAAACGACCGAGCACCGAACTCTATTAGTTTCAGCTCTTACTCGAATATACTGGCACTAACGAAGCTATAAATAAAGATCTGGTATGGCTCTGGGCATATCTTGATGTGATCCACAGATATGTTTCAGGATTGATGAATCAAAGAGTTTGTTTGTTTGGAAAAGAGCTGAGGTTCTTCCCTGCGTATCTTCTTCTTTATCAGTTGAACGCATGGCAGAACAGAACGGATGATAAGATCAATGCAAGACGTGTAAGTGTTGACACATCGATCCTGTACAACAGGTCTCAATCTGAGTAAGCTTCAAGGTTCAGTTTGTTTTGTGTTGTTGTTCAGATTCTCATGTAAGATCTTAGTTGTTTGGTTGTTCAGTTGTTCGCACGTGGAGAAGATTGACGATCTACGGAAGCGAAAAAGGATCTGAGCCCAGCAAACAAACTAGTTTAGTTTAGCTTTAGTTCTAGCAAGAAATGATAATAAATACGGGTAACTTTGAGGTCCCAGGTAAAACATCATAAAATGTAGAACAAGCACAGACCGATCGGGCTGGAAAGGGAAAAAAGATAAAAAAGATACTTCATAAAAAAGAATTCTTATCTCACTTATCTCGTATCCGCATTCCTCCCAAAGAATTTTGTGCCATGCTGCATACACCACACCGAGAGCATCATTGATATGTTTGCTCGTCTGTCTAGGTAGTTTGCGATATCTAGATCAGGACTATTAGAGTTCGTTCGACCTTCGATAACTTTCCATGGCTGTACATTTACTGGTAGTGATATCATCTATAAGGTTAAGATCAAAACCAAGGTAAAAAAAAAACTCAGTATCAAAGAGTGTAACTAATCTGTAACATGTAGATTTTTCACCTCGTATTGCCACAGTACAAACAAATGAGTTGCGTTGCGCAAGTTCGTAACAGTTACATATACACTCCGTCTCTACGGGGCCTTTTCATTCATTCTGATATATCACCCTGCGGGGCATTTCCACTTTCTATCTATGATACTCGGTACCGATTGATATTGTACTTTATGTCTTTCGCTCTGGGTATCGAAAAGTTTCACGATTCGGGGTAGTGGATGCAACTTGCAAGAAACTGTTGCCCCACACAATGTACGAAACACTGCATGCCAAAGCATTCCTTCTCAAGTTCTCTGAAATCTTATATCAAGTTAAAACGTCTTCAAAACTAGGAGATCATTGGTATGCTCAGTCTTTTTTTCTTGGGATGACGAATTGAGTTACATGTACGTAAGCAAGGGAGGCTGTTTTGATTTGTTGAGTCTCGATTTAGACTAGACCATGAAGTGATGTAGAATGTCTAATGAGTGTATCCTTATTGGAAACTAAAGCTAAGGTCTATAATGACAGATAGTCATGTGGGATGAAGTCTCTGTATTCCATGGGGTTGGTAAGTGTGAAAAAGCCACAACGAATATTAGGGCGGGTAGAAACAAATTCATCGTCGTCGTGATAGTCTTTGCGTATGCTTATATCCTAGTGTGACAGCTCCAGCATGATCATGTTTGCCATCTTACACTATCTCAATGACTATCTGCCCCGCCCTCTCAGCCCTTCGCATAAAATTGTTATGCCAGCCGTAGTTCTCAAAGCCAACGGCTCCAACCCTATTGTGCAAATATCCTACTCTTTTAAACCGTCGAAAATTCGCCCTTTCATGCTCTTTCAATACAAGTGCGCATATCCCGCTGTCAACAATATTTCCCACCATACAAATCCATACTTTTGTATCTGAGCACAAGTAATCTTCTTGGGTCTTGTCTTCAACCACGTCTACGTTCATAGCAGACAACTTGTCTTCAAGATCTCCGGCGATGGGCAGGTCAAGAATATTAGCAGCCGGGGAGAGCTTACTCATTATCGATTCGAAGGAACCCTGAACGTCGAGATAGACATTTGGCCAGAAATAAGGATCGTAGTCTTCGTCTAATGCATCTGCTTCTAAAAACTGAATAGTATGTCTGGCGTCGAATTCCAAGTATGGGTGCGTAAAGATCTGGGCTGCAATGAGGATACATCTAATTCGTATTAATCCATCACAAACTGAACCATATACGGATCGTCCCACGGCTGGTGGCGCAATCTGAGTCGCAGCATAACGAATACAAAATTTTGCAGATTGTTCAAACTTCTCTCCAAAGTTTGAATGATAAACAACCGGGCTACAAGGTGATTCTCCTTCAAAATCGACAGAAGCCCACGACCAAGTAGGAGCCCTGTACGGTTTCGCTCTTGAAGGAACACAATTGCCTTCAATCACCTTGACCCACCAGCAAAGGTCACTCGGAAGATTACGCATCCACAGCCCAGCGAGATACAACTGTCCGAGTTGTGCATTGGGGAGTATAAAGTACCATGAGAAGCAGTGGACCATATCAGATGCTGCAAGTAAATAGCTGTTATGGAGAGAGTCAGAAATTGCCAATTAAGAAATAGGATCTTGAGTAGTTGTGACTGCAGTCCGATAATGACTCCCTTTTAATCCTGAATCCACTTGGAACACTTGATTCATATCGACGCTGAACCATTTCGGGATGCTGAAAGTTTGAAACTTAGAATACATTCCACTACTACTCCAGCTTGATGGAGACTCCTACGAAGCAATGTGAATGTGGAAAGTGGTTACAGACTCTGAAGCATGCTTGAATTTGAAACTTGAAAAGAGAGTTACAAAATGGTGCCAACATTCACTAGCTCCATCTTCGTCAAGATTGTATAAAACTTCGTTTGTGAGTTGTGGCAGTAGTTTCTCGTTGTCATAATTCGGCTTGCGGTTTAATTGGATTGATATACCACATTCGCATTCAATTTTACAACTGGGTGCAAAACTCTGTGCTGCGTAAAATCTGATGGACCAAGAGAAGGAATTCTGTAGAGTAAGATCACTAGGGACAGTCAGCAATCAAGCCAAATAATAGGTCTAAAAGAAAACGAACTGTCTGCAGCCTAGGACAAAAATCCTGCCGAGCGTCACGTCCGGATTCATCATATTGAGGACTTGTAGATGATCTGAAGAATAATGTAAGAGACTGGATGAGTTTGAGCTTTGTATTTCCTGTCCGTGATTTTTGAGAAGGGAAGAATCTAAAAGCAAAAACCTATCTCAAAATTGCGAGTGTAGTTCAACTTCCTAAAGTTGAACGGGAAAGTATGGCCATAATGGTCGCAAATAATCACAAAGGCAAAGTCCCGAAGGAGTGTAATTTGCCAGGCAAGAACTACCTACATGATGACCGGATTTTGAATTAAAATTTGAATCTTTCAATTTTGGAGGGTAGACAGGCACCGTGTTCAGCAGTCTCGATCAGTGGATATAGATGTGACTATTCAATCAACATTCGGAGTGGGATCAAGATTTTTACTGTCACATTACAGCCCGAGCTATTGGAGGCCTGGAGAAGATCTCTCCAGTTTCAACATGAGAGGAAAGTGCAAGTATTCTATCATGCGCTCTTTCTCGAATGCACTCATTTCCTCCTTGATGAGCCTGGACTGAAGAGACTTCTGACGGCTTATAACGTAAAAATACTTTTCTTAACGAGATACTATCGTGAAACAGACAAAGGATGAGTAGATCTGAAAAAAAAGAAACAAAAAACAAAAACAAAAGAAAGAAAATCGAGGATAGATGAAGAGGAAAAGGGAAGTCGAAGCTTTTACGAAATCACTACACCGAATATCTCATTTGTCCTTGGATTGAGGATGCGGTTGATACATCATTGTGGTCCATTGATGGAATTTTGCTTATATGACCTAGTGAGTATGACCTCGAGCTTCTCAGATGATAAGTTAGAGATGGACAGCGAGCGCATATCCAAGAGAGTGTACAGAACATATATTTAAATCAAAGGAGACCGAAAGAAATAGCTTGAAAGTGGTTAGGATGGAGTGTATCAATACCTACTTACTGATGAATCCATAGTAGCGACATGCTCAAAATCGCACTCTCTCAATCGTGATTGAAATTGGCAAGATATAATATCGATTGATGCGAAGTGCTACTTGAGTTCGGTCTCAAACAGGGACTCTTAGCACCAACAGAAGTAACTCCATAGAACTATAAGTTTTTGAGGTTTTTGAGAGCATTGATACTTTATGTTCAAGAAACTGCGCAATGGATAGTGCAAACTGAGTTCCACATGATTGGAAAGTAATACAAACTCGTCGATATATCTTGTCAAAAACGAACATCAAGGCAAATGTGATTTGAAAAACAAAAAACAAAAACAAAAAAACAATCTGGACTGCTTGTAAATATTGTACACTGAGTACTGTATGAAGTACAGATTATCAAGAAGTCACCGGTAGATGATCTCGTGATCCTGGCAATCTTTCTCACTTCACCGCCTTTACCTTTGCCGTCAACCAATTAATTCTGCCAGCACAGAATAATTTCTCATGGATAATCAATCAACTCCCGCAGTGGGAAAAAATATATTGATACATTCAAAGTAGTTTGTATTTATTATGCTCCGGCAGAAACCTACAACATGTCTGCTCTGTTCATTCAGAGCAGCTCAAAATCCGCCGATTCAAAAATGGCCTAGCAGATCTATGTCCATGAGATCTAGACTACCCAGTCGACCAAATCGCATGAGTCTGGCGGGCGCAGGAAAAGTTAGCTCGTCGCCAACAAAAGAGGGACCTGCAAGGAGAAAGCAAGATGGGCCTTTTGGGGGAATGAATCTGCGAGAGGCGAAAATTCGTGGAGTTCCAGAACGACCATCAGCAGCACAAGAACGTCGATCATCAAGGCTCGATCGCGGGGATAAAGATGATAAGAAGAGCAGAGGTTTTCATGCATTGAAGATGCAAAGGGCTCTTTCGCCAGTTTCATACACGAGGAGGTCGGATATAAAGGATAGGATAAAGGAAGTAGATAGCTTCGAGCAATTTGCCCTGTTAGACAGTGTCAAGGAAGCAATCTACAAACAGGCCCTCCCAGAAATTGAGAGCCATGTTCCGACACCGGTACAGAGGATTGCCGTACCGGCCTTGCTTGGGAATCAACAGAAGAAGGTGAAGCAAAGTGAAAGTGAGCAGTATTTGATTGCTGCTGAGACTGGGTCAGGGAAAACATTGTCATATTTAATACCAACGATAAATGCAATCAAAATTGCAGAGGCAAAGGATGCGGAGATCGAGGCGTATGAGAAAGAGTTACAAGAAGAGAAATTACGACAAAACAACTTAACACTGGTTTCACCTCCTTTATCAAATATGCCACATCCTACGACGGGCAGACCAAGAGCAATCATACTTGTGCCTACATCTGAATTGGTGACCCAGGTGGGAACACTTGTAAAGGCGTTTGGGCATACTGTTAAATTCAAATCGGCCATGATTTCCTCTAATTTCTCCGGGAAAGTCATTCGTAACCGTCTTTTCTCTCCATCTGGAATTGATGTACTTGTATCTACCCCTCACCTTCTCTCCTCTATTGCCGACTCCGACCCAAACATTTTATCTCGCGTCACTCATCTCGTAATTGATGAAGCCGACTCTCTCCTGGACCGAGGCTTCTCTCCTCTCACATCAGCAATCATTGATCGCGCTACTCCATCGCTCGAACAACTCGTTCTATGTTCTGCAACTATTCCTCGCTCTCTCGACTCATTCCTTCGCAAAAGATTTCCCTCCATTAACCGTTTAGTCACACCAAACCTTCACGCTATTCCTCGACGTGTCCAACTCGGCGTCGTCGATGTTGAACGTGACCCATATCGTAACAATAAGAATCTTGCTTGCGCAGACACTATCTGGACCATTGGTAAAGCGGCTGCTGAACACGATGGGCCCGTCAAAGGAGTAATGGATGTTAAGCGCATTTTAGTGTTCGTTAATGAGCGCGAGAAAACCCAAGAAGTGGCTGATTATCTCAAATCTAAGGGTATAGATGCCATCGCTCTTTCTCGTGATACTCCCGAGGAGCGCCAGAGTGAGATGTTGGCATCTTTCACCTCGCCCGCCAGACTCAGCATGCCGAAACCAGATTCTCACCCTGGATCTTTATCAGACAATCAACCGAATTATGTGCCATTCGGAAAGGTCGCACCTCCAGTTAAGAGACAATTACCTAACACCAAGGTCTTGGTTACTACAGATTTGGGCTCGAGAGGTATCGATACTGTAGCTGTAAGACACGTCATTCTATATGACGTACCACACTCTACCATTGATTTTATTCATAGACTTGGTAGAACTGGACGTATGGGGAAAAGAGGAAGAGGTATAGTTTTGGTCGGAAAGGGAGATAGGAGGGATGTGGTTAAGGAAGTTAGAGACGGTATGTTTGAGGGCAAGGCATTGATTTAAAAGGATGTAATTGTATAGATATGAATAGATGCATGATGCGTACAGCATATGAAGGGTTTTGGGAATTGGGTGCATGGGTATTCGAAATCTCAACCTGTAAAATATATGGACATGACGTGGAAGATAAAAAAAGACGGATGTAGATACAAGACTCTCGCTGTATGCATAGAAGACAGAAGATGAGAACTGATCTCGAAATATTAGTACGAATTTTCCAATTATCCAGACTACCTCTTATAGTATGGTATGCTTGCTTTTTAGTCTTTGCTATTGACTTCTATCTGTCATCTAACTATTCCCGTTCGTTCCTGCTCGTAGGTCCCCTTGATTCTATGATACTGGCTCTTACTTCCTCAATCCACCAGTTGCACGCAGCACCATGGACGTTACCCTCATTAGGAGACCGGATGCCATCATAGAACCGCAGTCAGATGTGATCGGTTATTAACTACATCACATTTTAATTTTGACATCAATGATAGAAGTAAACTTTCAGTGGAGAGGATTGTATTTGGGACGTACTCCAACCAGAACCCTCGCCTCAAGGTAGGGAAATCAAATTACGCCCAAGAATTTGGGCCATGACATCGAGAAAGACTATGGCAATTCGATGCGATATTGTGAGCTTCATTGAGATAGAGCTACTCGTGGCTTTCGGAGAGACTGAAAGTTTCGTCATGGAGGGGGTATTGGCGTGTTGAGAGGCCAGCTTAACCAATATATGAGGCTTTGACAAATGCACTGCAAACATGTCACTCCTCCGGAATAGTTTGAAGACCATACACCATCTTCATCCCTTCACGTCTATTCATCCTGTGACTTTTCAGTGCAGATGGAGAATTTGTATTGTTCGACGAGACATCGCAGCAAATAAACATGAATGTCGCAGCAATGAGAGAAAATGGCGAAAAAGGAGTTAGCATACAGAACGTCGAGTGGGATTCGGACGGATATGCTGGACTAGACATTGGTATGGTGCTCATGAATAACGATGAGGCGATTTTTGCAATGATTATAAGACGCCCGGTGGGTTGGTGGGTATTAAAAGTCGAAGTCTCTCTGGGGAATCAATGGGAAACACAAGGCAAGTCAACAACACTGTGTGTTTTCCAAAAAGTTATACGTATCCGCGCGGGTCTGCGCAGCATTCCAGTCTTGCGGTTGAAATGGCCTTGTTATCCCAAAATCTTTCAATTCTTGGACGGTGGAATGATCCTTATGATTGCAGAACAACAAGACGTACAGATGGGCGGCCAGCGTTTACCTATTGTGGGGTCGAGGGGCAGCTCTCTAGAGAAGCGCGCTTACATAAGCTGGATCAAAATTGTCCAGTTGTCGACCAAGCCGCTCGCAACTTCTTTGGATTGAACCAGAAAGAATCAAGACATACATTTTCGAGTGACGCATCTCCACCCGAGCCTTTGCTAACTCCATTAGTATCTCATAGACCTAGCTATATGGAGTCATTGGACGGCGAAAGACATTAGTTGAAACTTTCGTTTTCTATGCCTCTGAACGACTGACTCCTTGGCCGAATTGTGGGGCTGGACAATTCCTCACCGAGTGCGAATATGGAAGTAAAGAGGATATCCACGAGGAGACGTCCTGGTTGGAAGAATCAGGTGAAGATTTCTTAGTGTGTCAATTCATTGCATGAATCCTGGGGCAGACTGAAGCAGTTGTACGAGTAGTCACCGTTCAATGAGTTGAGCCTCCACGCGATATGATGTGCCACCACATACGCAATGGCAATATGCAGTGAGGTTCTTACAAAAGTCAAGCCTTTTTCACAAACATACAAGATTGAGTTTAATCAGCAGGATCGTGACCAATGATGTGGCCGTAAGCGCACTGAAGTCAGATGCTAAGCCTCACTAGGTCTGTTCAACAGCCACAGCAAACAACAGGGTTTGATCGGTTAAGACCGTTTGACTTCATGCCTGTTGGAAAAGCAGAGCGACGAGATGTCTAAATGCCAACATATTCTTGAATATAAAGTTCATCACCTCATGACTCTATCGGTAATATCACCTTACATTCTCACCTGAAAAAAATAAACAAGTGTTGCTACCTAGCCAGTGAGGCGAGGCCTTCCTTTACGTAAACTATCTGTGACTCTACGGTCATACAAACTAGTTCGAATTTCCTCTCTCTTTACCATATCTACATATTTAGAGTCTTGCACCTACACCATACTGCGTGTACTCATCAGAGTTCATCACCAACATGAACGGCTCCGTTCCTCATGACACGATGGGGAACCCTGGACATCATCCAGCTGGGGATACAACTGGGCAGGCAACCTATGGCTACTCACAACCCCATATAATCGACATGTTTTTTCCGGGATTTTCACTCTTCGCAACTGCTCTGAAGAACTACACCTCCATCGACCTCAATATCTACATCCCCATGCTCATGATCCTGGGTATGCTAGTATTCTGTTGGCAATATCTCGAAGCATGGTTCTGGGTTGAGCTTGACGCTCATTTTATGTCAACTGCTGATGTTCGCATCGATGATGAAATGTATAACATGGTAATGGCATGGGTATCTGAACAACCTTTTGCGCAACGATCTCGTCATTTTGTCGCCAATACTAATTTGAACAGTCGTATGTGGTTTATGTGGAACTTTAATGAGAATGATGAAGAAAAAGAGGAGGAGGATGATGACTTTGAGATCGACGAGGATGGAAATCCCGTTCCCAAGAAAGCATCCGAAAAGGAGAAGAAAGTCCGATTCACACCAAGCTTCGGAACTCATTACTTTTGGTACAAGAGGAGACTGTTGCAATTCAGACGTTCGCAGACTGCATCATTAAATAATTCGGCTGCGAGTGAAAGGGAGGAAATCTCAATTTCTTCCTTTGGGAGAAATCCTCGTATTCTCAAGGAGTTACTTGATGAGTGCCGCCAAGCCTTCATTAAAAACGATGAAAACAAAACAATCATCTACAGAGGCGGTGCCAAGGGCGGTTCCTTCGGTGAGCCGGGCTGGACTCGACTCCTTTCCCGCACCTCTCGCCCCTTCTCTACGGTTGTCCTCGATGACGTGGTAAAGCAGAATATCATTGCCGATATGAAAGATTACCTGCATCCATACACGAAGCGATGGTATTCTAATCGTGGTATCCCATATCGTCGTGGATATTTACTCCATGGGCCACCTGGCACGGGAAAGAGTTCCCTTAGTTTCGCAATTGCCGGATATTTCAAACTTAAGATTTATATTGTATCCCTAAATTCCGGTTCGATGAATGAAGAAACCCTCAGTACACTTTTCGCTGAGCTCCCCAAGCAGTGTGTTGTACTTCTTGAAGATATCGATACAGCCGGTCTTACCCACACTCGTGACGATAACGAAGACGAAGAGGGTTTTGAATTTGACGAAGAGGCTGGTCCTAAATCTCCATTGACCAAGGCAACTAAAGCTATGGAGGCTATGACAAAGAAAAATGGCGGCAAGGATCAATCGGGTAAGATCTCTTTGAGTGCATTGCTCAATGTGATTGATGGTGTTGCATCGCAAGAAGGAAGAATCCTCATTATGACGACAAATCACATCGAGAAGCTAGATGAGGCACTTATCAGGCCCGGCCGAGTTGACATGACTGTTCACTTTGATTTGGCTACTAAGGAAAACATGGAACAAATCTTCAAAAGTATCTACGCAACCCTTGAAGGAGACTATCCTGAGCTCAAGAGCTCTGAAAGTGGATCTTCAGATGACGGAAGTGTCAAATCGGGATCTTCTAGAGGGAGAAGTCCGCAGAGTGTTGTACCAGTCAACAAGCGGGGTATGCACAAAAAGAAGCCTAGAAGTCCTTCGAAAGAAAGAAGAATACAGGCAGAATTAGATCGAATCATTGCGGCGGAAGAGGAACAGAGAAGGATCGAGGATGAAGAGAGAATAGCAAAATTAGCGAAGCTCTTTAGTGAGAAGGTTCCTGAAGCAAAGTTCAGTCCAGCGGAAATTCAAGGTTACTTGTTGAAGCACAAGAGAAATGCGGAAGATGCCGTCGAGGGAGCAGAACAGTGGGTCAAGGAGAGAGAGGAAGAGAAAGAGAGAGCGAAATTGAAGGAGAGTGAGGAGAGAGAGAAGAGAGAGAAGGAGAAAGCAAAGTTAGAAAAGGAAATTGAAAATTTGAAGAGAGGAAAGGAGGCTGAAGAAGGCGATGGGGGCGAGGAAGATGAGGATGAGGAAGGAGATTCTGAAAAGGTAGTGAAAGAAGTTGAAGCCATCAGGGAGCAGACCGAGATGGTTAAGAAAGAGGTCGAGGCTCTTAAAGATGAAGTCTTCGATGGAATGGAGAAGAACATCCAGAAGATGGAGAAGGCTGGGATTAAGTTGAAGGATATCGAAATGGCAACTGGGAAGAAAGACACACATAAGTCAAATGTGGAGATTGTTGAGTATGCAGAAACTGGATCTCAGACTGCTCGAGGTAAGATCCTCGTCTAGGAAGTTATTTTATTTTATGAATCAATGTAGGATAGATATCTTAACGGGGAACGGGTATCGAAAGTGGCACTTTGGGGGTTGGGGTGTTAGGGCAATTATATTTGGAGTTCTGTATTTTGCTATCGTCTGTTGGCATTGGTTGGTGTTCATTGGCAATGAATGGTATACAGAAAACTTTATTAGAAGATTGTGTCGAGATGATGAATCGTAATCGAACCGGTATTATATACACATACTTTGTGTGTGCTTTGAAATGGTAAATGAATGAATGCTAGGAATTGATATGAGCAGGGACGATGCAGCGACTGTCAATCTGGTAAGTTGGCTGACATGATCTCCCACAATACAAATTGGAAGAAATCGGAATGATCTTTCAGAAGAACTCTATGGATTTGTCAAGAGATTAAAAGCGTCGAAGGTACCATGTATCATAAGTTTATACAACATAACATATTTCCAAGCAACAAGTGACGATAACTATGTGAGAGGGAGAAATATTATGTGTGTGTGTGTATCAGTGAAATCTCCAGTACGGGAACGTATGCCCTAAATGCGGGGGAGAAGAGCTAGAAGTTATTAACTTGGTATTTAGTCGTGAATTGATAATGGAAGTGAAGAATATACCTAGTAGTGAGTCAAATGCATTAATTCATGAAGTGTGTTTATACAGAAATCATAATACAGAGCATTTGATTGGATGGGTTTGGGAAACAGATAGAATATTGTTTGAATTTATTTGGAGGGAGGGTTGGAATTAGATATAATGAATTGACTCTGTATTGATATAAACTATACTTCGTACTGTGTACTAATAAGCACCTAAAATCTTCAGGCTACCCGCCCGCTTCCTGATCCCGCTAGACTTATTAGCAATAAGAGCCATGCGGCAAGTACCTACCACCAATACCACCAATACCACCACTACCACCACACCACCACACCACCACTACCTACCTAGTACATATTACCCTTTATATTTACTTCGAGGTTCAACACTCGATGGAAAAAAAATCCCCCTCTCCCATCAACAACAACAAGAAGAAGTAAAAAGGATTAAAAATTGTGCGTTTTATTGCATTTTGCACAAAGATCAAAGTATCAAGTCTTTTCCTTCTTTGAAATATTTCACGACGATACGAATTCACAAATGATCTCAGTCATTCCTTTTTCCAACTTCACCTAAAAAAAATCAAACAACCCACCTACCCACCTGCAGTTTTTCGGAATCATACAGTCGCATTACGGAAACTTCGATGCTTACGAACAATACATTGGATTCTTCTACCATCTACGAATTTAGAGCGGCAAAGGCTGCTCGCTTTCACGACGTCTTCCACAAAGAAAAGAAAGCTTTCTTCGCAGATCGTACCTGGCATAGAAACCGATAGAGGCCCTGATTTCCCCATATCGTCGGTGGAAGGTCGCGAATCACAATCCCCCACCGATCTGCCTTTATTCGACACTTCTGCCCAGGAAATTCACCGTGCAGAATCTCTACCTCCTCATACCATACCTTCAAATCGCCTACCTTCTTCCCTCTTCATTACCGGCGATCACATTCCTTCTGCTGCGAGTTCACCAACTGGGGCCTACGCGGACCTATCTTTAGATAGCGATAAAGGCGGGGAACTCACCAGCAATAAAAATCGTCGACGATTTCCTTCCGAAGCTTTCGAATCAGAGCAACGAGGGAAATCTCCACGGCATAGGGCGATCATGGGTGGTGCAGAAGATATGCCGCAGAGGTCGTCGTCGCCGTTGAAACGACCAGCCTCGGAATTAGAACCAGATGTACCGTTGTCAAGCCAAAAGGAAGATGTCGATATGGTCATGGTGCCAGACACACAAGAAGACCCAGAGATTGTGATTGCAGCTCCGACCGCAATCAGAGCAGTATCAATGGATATGCTGAGAGATGAATCTACCAAAGAAGATGGTGCTCAATCGGTGCCTGCCACTGAAAACGCTCAAAGCATTGGTAACATTCACTCGCGCTGCTTGTGTATCCAAGTACTGACGTGCAAGTATAGATCCCAAAACAGAAATTCCACCCATCGACGTTCAGGTTGCGACTGTAACAAGTCTAATTAGAGCAGCGAGAGATGGGCCACTCACCGAAGGAGACAGAACGTACCTAGTTTCGAGGAAATGGCTTGAAAAAGTTACTTCGAATACCTCAGAGGCTCGAGCGAAAAGCAAGAAAGTGGTGGAAGAAAAAATTGGGCCAGTCGATAATTCTAACATCATTCAGCAAATCATCCCTCAGCCTGGGCGCGAGGACTTTGTTCAACTGAAGCATGGAATTGGGGAAGATTTGTTCGAATTGTTTCCAGGTGACGCATGGAATATGGTTCTAGAATGGCATGATATAGTGACGGGCACGAAACCAATCGTTCGATTTGCACACAACACAAACCCTGACAAAGGGCCTAATGCAATTGCGAATGTGGCTTACGAATATCATCCTCCAATTTTCCATATCCACCGTGTGTGGTCTGAACTTGGCGATAAAGTGGATGCAGCCATCAAGTCTGCAAATCCGGATGCGCCTGTAGTTGTTGCGAGTAGATCCATGAGGATGCATGATTTCTTAAAACTCATAAAGGAGGTTGCGGGGTCCCCATCAAGCAAAAAATACGTCTTTGGAGAGTGCCAAGAACACTACCCGCCGCGGACCCAACCCTTTCAAGTGTTAATGGTGCCGCTACCCCTCCTTCATCCAGACCTGGGACACCGGCAGTGGACACTAATGGAACAGCTCCTGAAGTACAAGATTCATGGAAGAAGCTATTACTGGGTGTCGCAGATTTCACCAAGGTGGAGAGAGATTCGGGTAGGATGAAGGTTGATTTTGAGGATTCGACAGTGAACGATAACTACAATGGCAATCTGAATTTGGGCCAATTAGGGCTTGGTGATGATCAAGCAATTGTCATCGATGAACTTGTCGAGGGCAAAGATGGCTTTGTTTCGAACACGAGAGCCTCGCCAAATGGAAAAGTGAACGGCGTTGGGCGTAAAATCAATTCAAGCATCATTGTTAGCAGCCAAAATAATAGCGGTCGTAACAGCCCAGCACCATCGTCTGGATATAACCTTCGTTCTTTTAACCGAAAAACGAAAAATGGACGCACGCCAGGAACTGTTGGTCTTGGTAACCTTGGAAATACCTGTTATATGAACTCTGCTTTACAATGTGTTCGAAGTGTGGAAGAGCTAACAAAGTATTTTGTGCACGATGTGTACAAGGAAGAACTCAACAGCGATAATCCTCTAGGTCACGGAGGTTGCGTTGCTAAGGCATATGCAGATCTTTTGAAAGAAATATACAAGGAGCCTGCACCAGTCTCAGTCCAACCGCGGAACTTCAAGAATACTGTCAGTAGATTTGCCACTCAATTCTCAGGATATGGACAACAAGATTCTCAAGAATTTATTGGATTTTTACTTGATGGCCTCCAAGAAGATCTCAGCAGAGTGAGAAAGAAGCCGTACATCGAGAAACCTGATTCAACTGACGAAATGATCGGCAATCCGGAAGCGATCAGAGAAATGGCCACCAAGGTTTGGGATATTACGAAGCAACGAGATGACTCGGTGATTGCAGACTTGTTCACTGGAATGTATAAATCTACTCTTGTCTGTCCACATTGTGACAAGGTCAGTATCACTTTCGATCCTTTTAACAACATGACTTTACAATTACCGATCGAAAACATCTGGACTCGAGTCGTCAATTTCTTTCCACTCAATGACAAACCGGTTTCCATAGTGATTGAGATGGACAAGCATGCAAGCGTTGGGACACTCAAGCGTATTGTCAGCCAAAAGGTCGGAGTTCCAGCGGAGAGAATCTTCTCCTGTGAGGTATATGAAGGAAAATTCTACAAGTGGTACCTTGATCACGAAGTTGCTTCAGAAGCCATCGAAGGCGCTAAGGACATAGCCAACTTTTACGAGTTGGAGACAATACCTACAAATTTGCCAAAGGATTCGGGCAACAAGCATACTGGTTTCAACAAGAATAACTCTGGAGACAACGAGCATTTGCCCTGGGACTCTCCAGAGGCCGAGAAATTACTCGTCCCAGTGTTTCATCGTCGTCCCAAGCGTGAAAGATTTGGCAAAAAACCTCCTTCGGGTTCGTGGGAACTCACAGTCACACCCCATTTCATAGTGCTTAATTCTAACGAGGTAAGAAATTTATATTTATTTGCTATTAGACTTCTTTTTATCAAATCATTAACATCTGACAGGCACGAAGCGAAGAAGCTATCAAGCGAAAGCTTTTAGAAAAGGTGGCCACATTCACTACATGGCCCAGTATCAACGAAGAATCTGATCCTTCTAGCGCGTCCGAGAGTATTGATCCAGACTTGGTTGTCACTACTGGCTCTGATGCAGACTCATCTGGAGACGGTAAATTTGTTGCTCAATCTCTGGATGGGGAAGATGAACTGGTCGATGTGGCTATGAAAGATTCTAATCCTGTTCCTGAATCTACTGAGCAAAGCCCTAAGTGAGTCGACTCCTCTTGTTTCGTGATATAACATACTAACGCTAGATAGTGCACCTTTGAAAGTCTTCAACAGTCGTCGGCCAAAATGGGTGGATCCAGCAGAGTTCCTTTCGCCCGAATTACAGAATCTTTTCGAAATCTCCTACATCGTTGACGCAAAGGGAGGTATACCAACAGCTTGGGCTGTGAGCCTAGAGTCCACCAGGTATCCGAAGATATCTGAAAGGAGCCCGCAAGTACATCAAATCAACGAAGATGATAATTCAAACGATTATGATGCTGTAGACAGTACATCCGGATCTGTCTCTAGTAAATCCAGTAGGGAGAGTAGCGATGATACTAACGGGTTCGCTCCAAGCATGACGAGGATGAATGAAGAAAACACGAGTGATGATGATGCTCTGAAGCCAATCTCTCCTCAAAGAGTAAGTTTTTTCAATATCAAGATTGTTGATAGCATGTTCTATCTTTCGTGAAAATAATGATTCTTTGATTTTTAGTGATGCTAATTGGTAAACAGGCTCTTCCAGTACGACCGGCTGCGCCAAAGTCGGGCGCTAGGGTAGGTCCCAAGAATAAACGTCGCACACGTAACATGAAAACTTACTCAAAGAAGGGCAAATCAGTTGCACGAAAGCGAGAGCAATCCGAGGCTGGGTCTGAACAAAATGCTCCTGATGATGGCCCCTTGATCCGCCTGGGTGAAGGAGTTGCTGTTGATTGGAACGAAGATGCATGGGAAACGTTGTTTGGCAGTTACAACGATAGCGACCACTTCCGTGGCAGACCTACTTATGAAAATCCTCCTACTCTCGTCGATTCACATCTTGATTCAAAGCGTCAAGCTCGTGAGTCGAGAAGAAAGCAAGGTATCACTCTCGAAGATTGTCTTGATGAATTCGGCAAGGAAGAAATTCTTTCTGAGATGGATACTTGGTATTGCCCTAGATGCAAAGAACATCGTAGAGCAAGTAAAAAGTTCGAGATTTGGAGAACGCCAGATATTCTTATCATGCATCTTAAACGTTTTAGCGCTAGTGGCTTCCAAAGGAATAAGCTTGTCGACCATGTTGATTTCCCAATTGAGGGATTGGATCTCTCATCACGAGTTATTGAAGCACAAGATGGCAAAGAAGAGATATACGATTTAATAGCTGTTGATGACCATTATGGTGGTATGGGCGGAGGGCATTATACCGCTTTTGCGAAGAACCTCTCTGATCAAAAGTGGTATGAATACAATGGTATGATCTCTCTCCAAACTCAGTCAATGCCAATAACCAACTAACTTCATCAGATTCTTCGGTGTCAGAAACGAAAAATCTTAACAGCATGGTCACAAAGAACGCATATCTCCTTTTCTACCGAAGACGTTCATCAGAACCTCTTGGTGGTAAGGCTTTGCGTGATATCGTGAACTCTCTTGATAATGCTTCTTCAGATGAGGAAGATTCGGGGAAGGCAGACGCCTCGGCGAAAACTCCTCCCAGCATGGGTCGCCGAGCGCCTTGACAGGAGTCGGAGCAGCTCTCCGTCGGCCAGAACTTGGTTCGGAGGATGGCGAGGCGATGACGACAGTAAATCTACAGGCTCTTGAGCGTGTTCCACTCGACAACGATGATAACCAAGGTGACGAACCATTTTTCGACAATCATACATACCCACCTTCATATAGCGACGTCCAAGCAAGTACTGAGACTGACGAAGCAATAGACATATCAGATCAAAATAATGTTGCACCAAGTCTTCATCAACAAACATGGGGTTTCCAAGCATTTAACCATAATTCTCCAACATTTGCTTCTGGTGCAGCTTCTGAAGCTGGCGAAGCTGGTAGTTTATATGGTAGCGATGGGATTGAACATGGCTCTAATCCAGATCAGGCTACCAAGGATGAGCGAGAGCTAGAGTTTAATGCTGCCATGGTTGATGAAGACTATCAAGAGGAGAACTTCATACCTGATACCGATGTCGAGGGTCCAAATCCCCTTGATGTGATGGCGATATCAAACGCTGTAAAGCAACGCAATCGAGCAGAGCAACACAATTACGAAATCCCGGTTGAGACCGCAGAAGATGAGGAGCCTGCTACAGAAATACATGTTGAGGAGGGTGAAGGGGTTTAGAGTTGATTAGGATTCCTTCGATTTATCATATTCTCTCGTATGAGTGTAGTTCATGGAAAATAAAGGAGTTTTGGTATTGATTGCTATTAGCAAAAGGGGGGTGGGGATGTGGGTGGGATGAGAAAGTTGACTCAACACAAACAAAGAATTGGTGGTTTTGCACAAATGATGTGGTTATTAGACATGAAACTGAATATGCTGTTATGATTTTTTTTTCGCTCTTATTAGCATATGATCTGATGATGAGGGGTGGGGTGGGATGGCTGGGTGGGGTGAAGAAGAGGGGTTGGAGTGAAGTGAAGAGGGGTAGAGTTGAAGATATCCGATACATGCATGCAATGAAATGGAATGAAGTAAATATTGAATCTTTTCTCTTTTGATTTCTACTTTATTGATTTGATTGGTCGGTGAATGAAAGGGGGGAGGAATGTGGTGGGTGGGTGGGTGGGTGATATGTAGTTCGTGAATGAATGAAAGGATGGATGAATAGATTGGGTGCATTGCATACATAAATACATGAATACGTGAGATGTTAAAATAGGAAATCAAATTAAATAAGATGAAATGAAATGATTGATTTGACATGATATGATATGATACGATATGATGTGAACTTCATAATGAAAAAATTTGGAATAGGACACGAAGGGAATGGGTAGGGAGAGAAGGGGAGGGGAAGGCAAAGGAAGGTATCAAGAATTGAAGATAGGAGTGTGTATGTCAGATGATTGTATCTTTCTTCGCGCTTGGTGATACAATCATCATATTGATTTTTGAAATTTGAAATTTGAAATTTGAGGGGGCGATGGAATGTTTGTGGGTGATATATGTGATGTATATAGAGTGTAGGGTGTGGATGTAGGGTGTAGGGATTGTTTTGCTAGGTTGGATTTGGTGGTAATGTTATGTTATGTTATGTTATGAATATGGTGGGTGGTGGATTTTATGGTTATGTGTGAGAGAGTCGGAGAGAAGGAGAGGATAAAAGTGATTATTTGATATAAGGTGAAAGAATGTTAGGGTCTTGAGAGTCTTGAGAGTCTTGAGAAAGAGGGTAGGGGAGGAAAAAGGAGTTTCTGGTTTATGTTTGTATTTGTATATTTGGGTCGAAGGGGTTTGAACGACGTGGTTGTGTGGGTTGGTTTTTTTTTCCTTTTTTGTGATTTCTTTCGATTTTTTTCGATTTTTTTGATAATGTGTGAGAGAGTGGGAGAGTAAGAGTGATTTACATGGATTGGGTTGGGATAATAGTAGGATCTTGAGAGAGAGGAGGGAGGGGATGTATAAGGGATTTCCCCTTTTTATCGGCACCCTCACTCGTGTTCTCTGGTGTAGGGGCTCTCAGAGAATGCGAGTGCTAGCTCACCTGCGATATTGGAGATTGTGAGAGAGTGGGGTTTGGTAGTTGAGGGCTGAGGACTGGGGTGAATTTGGTTGTTTCGCTTGAAAGCTGGGTATGTTTTGGGGGTGTGGGAGATTTGTTGTACTAGGGTTTTTGTGGGAGATTTTTATATAATGTGAGGGTATGAGGGTATGTGTATGATAGGTTGATTACAGGGCTATACGGTGATTTTGTGTGGGTTTGTAGTATGCAGTAGACTCTTAGATATTGTGGGAGGGGGAGAAGAATCTAGGGGAGCAGAGAGCATCACGCTATTTTCCCCTATTAATTAAAAGAAGATGATAGAAAAGCAAAGGGAAGGAGATTGAAGACGAAACAAGAATTCTGCAAGCCAGGTTTTGGGACTATGTGTGTAGTTGTACCCCGTCCCCTTTCCTTCTTCAATATCTGGAAAATTTTGGCTTCCCAGCGCTGGGATGTCGATTTATATCATTTGTTGCTTTTAGCACAATCTCGGGGTCACTCAATACACTTCCCCGTGCGACGCGTGGTAATTATGTGGATGGATTCTTCTTCTCCATGATTGTGTCTCCTCGAGGATATCTGTCTTTCGTCAGAAACTTCGGTGCCGCTAGACTAAGTGAAGATGATTCTTGATGAGAACCCTGAGTTCGCTGACGAAGATATATGGATAGTGGTAGTGGGTGTGGGTGTGAGAATCGTAATGGATGCGATCCCGAAGATACCGATCATAGTGAGTGTGTCATCCGGAACTATGGTGTCTGGTGTACAGGATTATGGTATCCGGTATTCAGAATTTTCACAGGATACGAGGGAAGATGTACTCATGATGAGATAATTTGTGCAGATAGATCTTTGGGAGAGAGTTGAATGTAGAGAATGCTATTCATTTATGGGTCTGTTTAGACTTCACACGAGAGGGTTTTCTTCATAGTATAACGGAAATTCTCAAAGAGTATTGAATCATTGACGATTGAGATTTTCCCTAGATGTCCGTCCCGGGAATATGGGCTGACCAAGACGCATGAAGGACTCAATGGCTTGAAGTATTACTGAGCTATCGCTGTGCTTCTGACAGGGAGATGACGTCCGGCGAACAATGCTTTATCAAGATGAAGCAATTTCAATGTGCAGCATATATACGGCCCAGACAGTCGCGCATGCGGAGGTGCACTTATTGATCAACCTTTTCCTGGTGACAATTTGCGATTTTCTCAGGGCTCTTGTGTGATTCTATGCCAATAGGGGTACTTGAGTGATGGAGTATGGATCGAGGCTCTACTGATATTGTTGAGCTTCTGCGATCTCATTGTTCGAGTTTGACTGGCGCATCGAATGCTAAGGTTAGGTAAATTCATTAACTACAGAAATCATTAATTTTGAATTCTTTTGTGGTATCGATAATTCGATATTTCGCCAAATCTCACAGTGATGTCTTTCATCTTCTTTCCCTAGTATAAAATGAATGAGGAATGATATTATATGGACTGGACAGAGTTCTGGAGTGTATCGTCCGGGGGAGTCTTGCAAGAGAGAGAGAAGAGATCTTTGATTGGCCGACTCGGTTAGCTAGAACTTGCCAGCCGCCGAATGGCAGTGGGCCGAAATCCGTGTTATCCCACTATCATGAATTTAATCTTTGAACTCTATCGGAACATTAGAGGTTGGAATGGGACAAACAAATACTTATGTCGATCCATACCCTCAGGGATTTATACCAACATACCCACAATAATATCCCAGAACATCCCCCTCCTCGATCTCTCTAGACCTTTCGGTACGTACCGAGCGCACGGGCGTATTCTCGAACCCTTCTAGAACTTTGCGTCATCATTAACCCCTGAATAAGTAAATCTCCATCATTGTTTGGTCCATTGCACAGAGATTGCGGGATGTTTCAATCATTCCTACTCGCCTGTCACGTTAAACGCGATACTTGTAATGTCATTGGTCGCGTGTCTAATTGGCATGTGGGATTCGTCAGTAGGTTATTGGTAGCTACCTTCCTTATTTTGACCTCGTGACCATTTTTCATAAGTTTATCATTTGGTGAGCTGGAGAAGATGTCTATTGCGATTGGTTTTGATATATCACTTAAATTTTGTAGAAACATTCCCATAACTTAGCGTTATTCCCCTGACGCTGATGAATACTGCCTGGTGGGTAGATGCTACGTTAATTGGTCAGAGCAGCTTCTTAAGCAGATGACCATGCAAATGAATCCTCCGGTTATCATCCAAGCATCTGTGTATCATAGTAAGTGCTATATGATAATCTCTCCGAGTCTTTCATTCCATCCTGTTTAAGCATCAATATTGTCACGTGATCATTCTCTAGCGGCTAAACACTAGCCATGCATGGCTTGACGTAGCCTGACGTCGCTTTGTCTTTTCGCCTCATTCCTTTTTGACACCACAACAGATTCTCCGCGACAAAACGACAATCCGGAAAGATGATCTCTAGGAACATCGCGAATAACAAATGAAGCTCGAATCTAGCATCTAGATACTCACCAGCTTGATCAGGGCATTATCGAAGATCTTTCGAAATCAAAACGCGACAAGAAGACATGCGATACAGGCCATCTCATTCTCGCACAACTGGCGACTTTATTATCTCCGTTTTTTCGAGATTTCACAAAAACTCATTATCTAACCTTTTTTGGGACTTTCAAGTATCAAAATGCGAAGTCGCTACCTTTCGAACCCATCGTCGTTCTCCACCGCGATCTGTTCGAACCATCCCCGAAATTTTTACAACGCTCTTATATGTCTTGATTTAGGCTCATTGATTGAAGCAAAACAAGTGTAATGCTACGAAATAATACGCAGGATAATGTTTAGTCTCACAAGAGGTATTAGACAGACGACAAAGATGCGCTGCATTTTGAACAATGTCCGCTAAATTTATGATTAGGTAGCACGCCCGGCGCATATATCGACATGACTTCACTCTTCTTGCAAGTTAGTTCTTCACGGCGATTTTAATCGATGCAGGCATATCATTGTTTGAGTCGCGTTGAAGTTCGTTGCACTGCTGACCAGTTTCAGTGAATTTGCATAACAGTCACGTGAAAGTGTCAATGATGACGTCTGATACGATACAACAAAACACAGTCACGTGGTGAGCCGGTGGTTGTGAACTTCTCGACAGGATATCGAATTGAACGCTTCATACGCCAAATATCCAATTCATTTTGGTATCTTCTGCATAATTGAACCCCAGCAATTCTATCGATACACTTGCGCCGTTTATATAACTATACCAACTCCAAACCAAAATATGTATGCCGCCTGTCAACTTATCGTCCTCCTCACCTTCCTCCTCTGCCTTGTCCAACTACTTTCTTATCGTTGCGCATGCCAGCGACGTATTGAATGGATTTCCTCCATTACCATATATTCACGGGGGGGTTGGTATACATATTGCTCGAGGTCATCTAGTATAAGAAGTAGTTAGCATAGTTTCAATGAACCGGGCAGCCGCTATCACTCAATATTTCAAGTTAGTCGGCGGCGTCCTAGGGTCTTTTATCATTAAAATTTATATATATATTCGAACTCCTCAACAGATTGTGCTTTCAAAAATATATAAATATAACTAACTTGATGGGTTGTGTGTTGAGGGACGGTGCCTGAAAATGATAGCTGTGATGGTAGGTATGGCGATTGATGCAATGCCGAAAACTATAGCGAGAGTATTGTCTAGAACTAGTGGAGACTATTAGTACAGGGCATGTGGTAAAAAGAAGCATTGCTTGAGAAAGACAACTTACTCATACTTGAGCTTGGGAGTAATGAAGATAATATTCTGAATATGAAAATCAAAAAGTCAAAGTGTATACACCGTGAAGGAGAAGAGAGTGATAGTGGATGAATGGCAGTAGTGGATGTGATGCGAGAGTATTTAGAATCTCAGAGGGGTGTCTATAAAATGAATTGCTGATTTGCGAGTAGCAACCCCTACGGAATAGACCACCATCCGCCCACTGAGTCCCTGATTTCCTCTAAAGGTCGCCTTACCCGCCCTTGAATTACAGGGTCTGACGAATAGGACACCCTTGAACCAGATCCAGGAACGAATTCTAAAAACTCACTTCTACCAGGTAGTATGCTTAGAATTCCACCATAGGATGGGTGTGAAGCTACAAATCCGGTGACGGTACTTAGCGTCGACCATGCAGGGGATCGATTTACGCCGGTACACAGCCCCAGCCCAGTCAGTCTAATCAATTATTGTGCGCAATTTTCATATCTTCGCTTAGTCATCCATTTTTTTGTATCACGCACCACCCGGGTGGGAGGCCAAACGGAGGATTCGAAGCCTTTCCCCAACTTTGTCTTTTCTACAAGACGAACCATACTCAAAATTTAGTTCCATGATTCTATCAAATTAACAAAGTCGAATCATACATTGATAATAGGACAAGACTCCAAAGGCGCTGAGACGATCTCGATTCTCGATATCAAAGCTCATACAGAATTTTGATTTGGTTGTTCTTCGCTTAAAATTCCGCTCATCTAATCAGCGGAGTAATACTTCTCAAGGCCTGAATGAATAACAGAGTGATGATAATTGTGAAATCTTAATCCCCAAGTCGTGATTCCAGACTTTGGTTTAAAGCTCGGGAAAGCTCGAGCTTTGCTTTACTAGTACAATCCATGGAGCTGATCCACAGCTAGCTTCAGCCCTGCCATTGAGGTTGCGCACAGACGTATCTAGACTTATAGAATACTGGCGAACCATCACAATAATTTAATGTCCACTCGCAAGATAGTTTTAGACATTCAAATGCCTAAAAATGCGAAGCCAGAAATGAAGAGTCCTTTCTCAAAGCTATTTCGCCTAGTCTCTTAAATCGTCACTCAAACTGAGATCTATACCTCTTTTGATATGCTCGGTTAGCGTTGGTTTATCAGATGCCAAGATTTTAAAAGGCTTCATTGCTTGTAGGTTAAACTACCAGGAAACCCTGGATTTCTCCATGAATGTTTAGCGATTCTCGAAGATGGAGTAATGAAAATACAAACCGTAGCCCGTGAATGTACGATCAAAATCGGGGGGATTGAACAGAAGCGCCCAAATGTTCTGCTGGGAACGTTAAGACTTGTGGAGTGAACACTCAAAAAATAATAAGATCATGTGGTTGGTGATGATAGTATAGGCATGAAAGAATTTCTTTTTGCTCATTGCCGTTTGTCATAACTTGAGGTCGGCGCTTCATTCAATCGATGAAAGTATTGTATAGTACTTCTGTCTTCTAGGTTCAGATAGAGTAGATTATGAGCAAAGGCCAGAAGCCACTCCAATGTGTGAAATAACTTTGAATCTTGATGAGATCGGGTAAGACACAACCCACGGGTTGGAAAGCGATAGTTTTTCAAGATCAAGGAATGCTCAGGGATATCTATTCATGCACTGTCGCCTCTATTTGAACAATGCTTCCAATGTAAGAGTTCTAATCCCTTGTGACATCCAAAGCTATTCAGATATTCGTATTCACATGAACATCTAAACCCTCTCAGACATTCAAACCCACTCAGATGTTTATTCTCATACAGATATTAGCTCTATTTGAACATTCAGCTTAGTTCAAACATTCAAAGTGATTTGAAGAATGGACTTCGTTCAAACATTCATATCTAATTGTGTATTCCTGATTATATTATCAATGGAGGAAATCGAAATTCCGTAAGCAAATAGAATAGATGACTGGTGAACTTCCACTAATTTTCATGGTTCTCTCTGTATGTGAGAGATTATGATAGTCGCTTGAAGCCAACTACTCAAAATATGCGGTGATAGGTAATTAACTTTGAGAATGTGCTTAGTATCCTATAGTAATTGACCTTCAAGAAGAACAGCAATTAGTTTGTGGAACCCTACACTTGGGACAAAGACTCGTAAACATCTGATAAATAGAGAAAGGGAGAATTTTCTGAGTTGAATTAGAATGTAATGAGGTCTTCGTTAGCGCTAAATTTACTTTTAGTGTATTCAGTGAAGAAGAACGATGTCCAGCACATGACTCCTAGCTAGTACGTTCATTTCCCTACCAATCTTCCAAAAAGAAACTCACTTCTAATTCTCTTCTTCACTCCTATTACCTACCCAGAAATCATGCACCAAAATCTTCATCAACACAACAAGTATTCCTGACATTATGTTCATTCTCATCTCACTCTTCGGTTGGTTTGGGACAGCCTGGAAGTCACAACCTCTGGTGCCGTGAAGCCCCTGGATACATGAATGGCCATTCTAATTTGGTACACATAAGAACCGCGATGAGCACATTGAAGATAATATTGTATCGTGAGTTATTGACATAGGTTATCTTATTATGACTATGGCAGAGCTTCAATTTTTGGCGCGAATTCTCCCACGATGATGGCCGTAGAGAAGGAAATCGCGAAATCTTGGGAAATTTGACAAAATTGGATGAAAAGAAGAGATTAGAAGCTACTGAAAAGCTTTTGAGAGACCATGAGTTTCTTACGAAAGTGGTCGAAGAGGACAAAAACCTTCTGATAGATCTCGGGTTTGTTAAGAAAGTGGCTGAGGCGAACCTCAAGAACGACCTTGAGAAGGGCACTCTTTTGATTGAGTTATAGGTTTTCGAGTGTCCGACTTGGACTTAGGGGTATAATCGGTACGAGAGGCGTTGTTATTCCATGGAGATACGAATGCTATCAAGATTATCTTGAAGTCGAGGGTTGAATTTATTAGGTTTAAGTTTTGAGGACAATTTTTATCACAAAGGGGATCTTATCTAAGATAATAGAAAGCTCCTCGTGAAGGGATATAGGGTAGTGCTGGGGCGCCAAACTTTAGGATACTCTGGATTGTATTCTGGCAACATCTATCGACGAGAGAGAGGGGTGGGCCTTGGGCAGATCGAATATATTTCATACATCTGTACAAATGAAACTCAACATCAAAATTTCAGCGCCACCTTGAAATCGAATCCATGTGAGGTTCTCAAAGTATTTTACATATCGATGCGCTTGTGGTTCCAAGATCATCATTTCGCATCAATAAATCCCAAAAAACCTTGACCTGAAATTCTGCGCGAGATACTGGTTAATGAACGACTCTGAGATCTGCGTAAAACTTTCGAGTGCCGGAGATCCTTCATTTTTGCAGGTCTCGACACATCTGGACACATATTCCACGAGAATTAGTCTCCAACGGTATGAACTCTATTCTTCCGATCCGATGTTACGATAGTCTTTAACTTCTACTTTCTCCAGCTTGAGTTTAAAGAATGAATAATTTTCAGCTTAATAACATCACAGCTGTTTGAAAATTGCATCAGTATGTGTTTTCTGTGGCGTAAACTGTCTATTCAAAACACCCGAGTATTCAAAATGTTTAATTCGAAAGGTACATTGACTGTTTACTACAACCCAGGGTTCCAGCATTCTAGATTGTAGTCTCACAATGAAAAAGACCTGATTTCTCTAACCGACTGGGCTTTCCAAATTAACGTGAGATTATTATCACTTTGGTCTTCGGATGCCAGTAAAAAGAAAATGTTGGTATCAACTTGGTTGATAAGTGTAAAGTACTTTAGTCTATTATGGTTGTAATCGTTCTTGATCATTATTATCTATAGGAAGCTAGTAACTAATGTAGAAAGGCGCTAGCACCTCGCTAGCTATTACAGTGCCATCTATGATCACATGATCGATATCCCGACAGAAAATATCTGTGAGATTTACGATATCATTATCTGGAATATCCAGAGCATCCGAGATATTGATAAGAGTTCAGATACTAGAAGAATTCCGGATATCAAATATGATTCGATCAGTGGATACACTTCACATGTTTACATTCTAGATATCGAAATGAATTCTGCAGAGTATCTACTCATGCTCATCTTGTCCACGAAGAGGGATGGGATAGAAGTATGATCATGGGGGTAAATCAAAACGACGAGACGCGAAACCCAGTGCAGACCCACCCGAAGTAATTCATTTCTTACGACACTCCATCACATCATTGCATATCAAATACTTTCACAAAATCATCATCATCATCATCCTCACCCAGAATTCAAAGATAAACATAAGAATAAGACACCAAACCAATCAATTGATATCTAAGTTACAATACACCAAGACGCTAAACAATAACAAGCAAGACCAAATCACACACACCATCTATCACATACAAGCGAACCCAATCTCCTCAGCAAAAGACAAATAAGTTAGACAACCCTCCCAAAAACGACAAACAAAGGAAAACTAAAGACAAGAAATCAACTCTCGATCTTTCGAGACCAGCTCCCATTCTCTCACGCAAGCACGCACCCACCATGCACCAGCCAGTCCCCAACACCTTCTCTCCGAGAAATCACTCTCTCTGCGCTGAGTGGAAAACCGTGCAAGTATTTGACGCTAAGAGCGCCATCATATCGCCCAGGGCTTCGATACCTGTAATTGCATTATCCACATTCAACAGAAAGCGCTAGTTGTCCAAGCCCAAGTCTCTGGCTTATCCCCCTTGGCAGCAGTGACTGTTCTATCTCCAAGTTCAAAAGGCCCATACGAGGTAGGGTCGTTGTTCAAATTAATGTAAGTGTATGCCATCATCTGATTGTGGGCTTTCTTGTCCTTCTTGGTCACCAAATCGAGCTCGACTTCGCTCTTTATGCCAAATAAGCAGCCTTGGTATGTATCGTTAAGACTAACCCCGTTGACCTGGGGGTCGAGACTATAAACTGCTGGGGCGCCGACAGGTGGGCTCTGCTCGTTCAAGTAGCAATTTCTTATTCCATTATCTATATATTCAATGAAGAGATTGCTGCTGGAGCTCTGGTATTGAAGAGTGTAAACCACGCTAATGTTCAGGCAGCCGAGGGCGGATGGAATGAGGGCTGCGGCCGAAATGAGAAGGGTAGAGAATTGCATCTTGAAGTCGTTAATCGAAGTAAAGTGATTGTCAAGAAATATGTCTATAAAAGAGTGTGGAAGCGTAATTGTGACTTAAAACTTAAAAAAATAATTGTTAAAACAAAGGAAAGTTTAGAAAAGATTGTTTGATGGCAATGCCGATTGTTGGATGTCTTGATGTGGAAGTGATTGTCGATGTGAGTTGTCTACAGCGTGATTCGAAGGTCTTTATATATTTACAATTTGATTCCTAGAATATTTGAAAACTGAGGATTAGACGTTTATTTGGCCAGGCGCTTGCATTTTTAGACAAGCTAGGCCGTGTCATCCTAACGACAAAAGGGATCCTTCACAAAACGTTATCCTTGGGTCAATTTTACAAAGACCCGCTGTTGTCCGAAATTGAACTGCGGCTTACTTTGAGAGGAATTAACGCCCGCAGTATGGCCAGCTTGGGGATTAGTTTAGAATCTGACACCGAAGTAGACGACCGCTTCAGGATTTGTTAATGGCGGCTGAAAGATGGGATGTAGGTGGAAACATACAAATTTTCCAACAATAAAAAAACCAGTCAATTTTGACAGCATGAGTATCAAGATAATCTTCTTGTTATGCTTGAGTTTGAAATCGAATGTGAAACTCAGAAGAATTCATGGAATTTGTTCCAGTCAGAAATCACTTTGCATGGGAATGAACTTCGGTAAGCAAAATGTTAGTAAGTTCGGGACCAAGCGAATGCTCCTCCCCGCACTGACCAGAGATCCACCCACGTGGAGCTTTAATCGCATCGCGCTAGGTTTCCAGAAATAACTTCAATTTGTGGAGTAAGCGTTTCGAGAGTTGGAATTGACGCGATAACATAATCCTACAGCCCTATAACGGCAGAATACGGTCCATTCTCCTATTGTGGTAAGACGAAATCTTGTAAGCTCCGAACATGCCCATGAATTTGGTCTCGTGGAGCTACACCGAAGCAAGTCAACCAACAAATCCGGATGCTTTTCGCATAGGTTGCTTTCATTCGTGGACTAAACGTAGGACATAGAAGTAAGGATTATGGCCTCTCACGGACAGCACCACTTGTACGTCAACGGGGCAATAACACAAGAATGCCAAATTAGTATACGAGCTTGCTGCTATACCCAGTAGAACTAGCTTGCCAACAAACTGTGGTCCTGGTGGAATCCTCACTAGCACTCACTGCGGGCTAAAATGCCCAACCTTGACATTTCAACTGTAGAGGTATGGAAGTCGTGGAGACTATCACTTCCAAAATAAAGTTTGGCATCACAAAAAGAATTCATGTACAAATTGTCTTGTATGTGATTTTAAAGCATTGTCTCTTCTTTCCTCGTAATTGTTCTATTTCTGCTTACATTTGCTGAGGTTCTCCCAACATCTTGTTTTAGCCATTTCAATCTCCATTCCAGCGTCGGGAGCAGATTGTCTAGAAGGCGAAGACTTGATCTTCCAATTTACTGACTGGCTTTGCCTTCTTGAAGCCCAACCCTTCAGAGGCTTTCTTCATAGCACTGATCATAGGTGGTGGTCCGCAGAGCAAAAGTTTAACATCCTCTGCTGGTTTAGGAAGCCATTTCTGTACAACGTTAGCATTGATGATTGATTATATCAAAACTTTCCAGATAGACTTACAGTGATCATCTCAGGAGTGACAAAACCAACACCGCCATCCCATTTCTCAGGTGGATTATTCAAAACGTAGTGAACACGGAAACCCTTGTCCTGAGCGGCCAAGCCGTCCAAGTCATCTTTCAACAAGATATCCTCAGGATTAACATTTGCGAAAATTAAATCGACCTCAGTTTTATCTCCAGCAGCTCTACCTCTAATGACAGCACGGATAATTTGTAACATGGGCGTAATACCGGTTCCACCAGCGATCATACCAAAATGACGAACCATGTTAGGAGTATAGACCATTGCACCTTTTGGACCCCGGACCTTGATAGTTTGACCGACAGTAAGGGAAGCCATATGTTTAGAAATGTTTCCGGTGGGGTAGGACTTGATGAGGAGGTCGAAGTAGCCTGGTTGGTGATCGCCAGAGACAGGTGTATAAGATCGAACAATTTCCTTGCTTGACCCATCGGGTTGGGGAAGAACAGCGGAGATTGAGATATGCTGACCGATAGGGAGACCGAGGATAGAGGTAGGCTTTGGCAGGCTGAATCGATAACTATGCTCATGTTAGAAACTGTCAAGACGGCTTAGAATCAAACTAACATTGCTACATTGTGGGAGATGATGGTCTTCTCCTTGAGCTCAAAATCTTGAAAGACAGTTGGCTTTAGGACTGGAGTTTCCTCTACAAAAATTGTCAGTATGTATTACATTGCGAAAGACCGTGTGCAAAGCATGAACTTACGACTCGACCAAATCTTGTATCCCCCGAGAACGGCAGCAAGAGCAACGGCGAACGGAAGCCAATCTTTTTTGACAATAAAGCATCCAAATATCAAAAGACCAGATGGAATATAGATGCCATCAATGTATGCCTTTGACAGGAACTTATTTGCTGGTGCCGTACTCATTTTGGCAGATTTGGTGGGAGCTCAAGAAATTGTTGGGCTTTTGTTGCGATCCTTGTACTTTTTGCTCTTTCGAAGATCCCACCGAATGAAGATCACAATATACAATATACCGTGCTTAATCAATTACTCTTCTCACAGTGTCGACAACTCTCGAGCGTTGCTTTGGAGGGGAGACCCGACTTAAAAGGAAAAGTAAGAGTGGTGGTAATGTAAGAAAGAGGTATAACGTGCGGTTCTTCTCCGCGGGAAAGTCAATACCAAAATAATTTAGCTCAAGTCTGTCATTGTTGATTTTCGGCTGGGGTCAGAGCTCGCTTGCCGAACTTTACCCCGATGAGGATAAGGTTTCCTCAACTCGGAGTCATTCCGATAGATGAAACTACGTCTAAACCTCATCATATTGACAGGGCTGAATAAATTTCCAAACCAAGTAACTTTCAGCCGCCGTGTGAAGAAATGGGTGAATCGGTTCATCAGAATGGAGAGAAAGGAGGTGATAAATCGGAAGATTCACCATTTCCTCTCACAGACACAGATAGATGGGTTTTATCACAGACTGACGACGAGTTTCATCTGCATGATTGGGACGAGTTGAAAGAGATTATAGGTGAGCTATCCTCAAGTAAATCGATTAAAAGAGCTTCATTTCGTTTCCATATATTATATAAATCGCAAAACATCAGAAAATACAAAAAGGATCACCAGTGTGATGACGATCAATCTCCCAGGTTCTGTTCTATGCAGCTTTCTCACATGACATTGCGTATTTTAGCCCAATTCTATCTCTAATTCTTGTCAAGCAACGAATAATCTCTCAATCCTCAAACGAAAGCCCTCTGACCTTCGTCGATATATGTCTTGGTCCACAACTATTAAAGCTGAGTATGGAAGTATGATGAATTATATCCTCCAACATCGACTTCCCTGGGGTTCGCCACCATTCAGCTACATCTCTTCAATCCCATTTGAGGATCCCTCGGATTACAAAATTTTGCTAAATGATTGGCCATACGGTCTCTCGAAAGATGTTACCCATTTTGTGGTGTGGTCAAAAACACCAATCGCCACCGACGATGAGAATGGAGATGTGACGGATGAGAGCCGGAAGATAATTGAAGATTTCGTGAAGAGAACATTTGCCGATAGGTTGAAAGGCACTGATAAAGTGATGTGGTTTAAGAATTGGGTCGCATTGCAGAGTGTCAGAGCCCTTGAGCATATCCATGTCTTGATCAAAGATGTCCAGAAGGATGATATTGAGTTCTGGACAGAGAACAAGGTCTAGAGCAATGGATACGCACAGGAATGTATCTCCCATGTATATTGCTCACACCACCTAGTATATCGAAGCTCTATCTTGCATGACCTTGACTGGAACCATATACAATATACAATATACCATCAAACATCAACAAACAAGCGACTTTACTGTCTCCTCTGTCTTCTATTGCCTGCCATTGGCATTTGCTCTTCGGGTGCTTGTGCTCTCTGACCACCACCCATCATGCCCTTTGCTCCCGACCACAGACCAAAAACCTTGTAAAGTCCATATATAGGCACCACGGAGAAGACGAGCCAGCCCCAGTTGCCAAATATAATAACCACCACCAATGACAACCAATGCATCCATATAATATCGAACATATATTCTGTCAATCCTGGTGCTGCAAGGTCTTCTCCTGCGGACACCATCTTGCCAGCTTGATCAAACTTGGGACGACTGTTTTGTTCAAGGAACCATTCAATAACCCAGGGTGCAAGTGAGAAAAGTACGTATGCCCACATATTCCTTGATCGTATCAAGAAGTGGAAGAGGCAGAACAAAGCATTTGCAATAAATGTCCCATAATGGAGGTAGTTTAGTGCTTGGATATTGGCCTTTGCTCGATCTTTCTTTGCTTTTTGTGCCATTATGTATGAGGAGGAAAGATGATATCGAACTTGAATAAATAGATGTGTTTAGGATCTGGCCTTTTCTTAGATAGCTGGGAGACAAGATTAATTCGATGTAATGTCGCAGATTGAACAATGGAGAGGTACCTTTTCAATAACAGAATCCCTAAGCTCGACTTTATGAAGGAATCAAACTGATTAAAGAATTGGGACAGAATGTTGGTTTTCGTAAAGTTGAGTCGCTTGTAGTGTACTGGCTCGACTGGGTAATTGAGCTTCTTCACAAGGCTGAGTCTGCAAGGAACAATTCAAAAGCAGCAGAAGTGCTGTTGTGTACCTCGCTGACTAATACAAACTCCCCCAATTGACTGATTGTTGCTGGGTGGATGGTCTGCAACCAATCATTCCCACCGCGATCAGACAAACAACAGAACAAAAATCGAAGAGGTCGAGGATGAGCAAGGTTTTGATGTTATCCCGAATTAATAGCAAGGAATATTCAACTATAACCATACAAAACCGATTGTATTGGATTTTGGATTTTGGACTCATAACGTTTGCATTTGCGCCGTATACAGCCTTCCCCTTTCCTTTGGTCTGGTCTTCTTTATTCTTGACTATAACTTCATACGACCTTCCTTCCTTCCAAAGCAAATCTACTTCGATACCTATACACGGTCCTTAGAGTCCCATTTCAGCCTTTGCTTCTTGATACAGGCAACGACCGTTTTCTGCCTACCTTGCCTTGTCTTTCCACCTTCATCGTTACATGATAAATAGTAACCAGCAACACCAACATCTCTGTTTTCTACGACCTTACGATCGTATTCACGAAGTTCCTATTTGCTTCCTTTTACCTACCACTTTCAACAACAATACAACCAGATAATATTAATGTCATCGATCCTAAGATAGCTTTCGTGGAGCTACGAAAAATTTACATTTATCAGATCGACCAAACAACGCCACGCGCAAGAGACCTATTGTCCATTCTTGCTCGAAGTTTAAAGGAACTAACTAAGGATACCTTTTCGACCAAACCAGTTCGACCACAGTCGAAAATCAGAAGCTCTGTTGACTTCATGGCGAGAACATCATAAAAAACACAAAATTCGCGATTTGGGTCTACTTCCTCCTTTCGCCATTTTACACAATGCCCTCCTCTAGGAAGGAATCAATCAATCCTTGTATCACGAATCAATTTTGTCAACTCATCTACTACCACATTGATAATAACCTTCTCAAGAACGCCTTGTTTTTCGCAGAACGATTACATGCATACACCCCGAAAGGTCCCGAATCCTCCTACCTTCTTTCCTTATGCTATTTGCGACTTGGCGATTATGCTTCCGCTTTTGAGGTTGTGAAGAGCCCAAACACTAGGTCGGGGCATCTTGGCTGTGCATACATCTACGCGCAAGCATGTCTTGCATTGGGAAAGCTCAAGGAGGGAATTTTAGCATTAGAAAAGAACAGAGGTTGCTGGGGGGCACAGAACTCGTTTGGTAAACATACACAATACTTACGACATCCTGATCCTGACGCATCTGCGGTTTGTTGTTTGCTGGGGAAGCTCTATCGTGCTTTTGATGACAAAAAGCAGTCGATCGGTTATTTTGAAGAGGCGCTGAAATTGAATCCGTTCATGTGGGATGCATTTACTAATCTTTGTGATATGGGTACAAGTGTTAGGGCCTCGAGTACTTTTAGGATGAGTGTGGAGATGGAGGCAATACTGAAATCGAATACACAAGATCGGGAGGGCCAAATGGAAACATTGTCAGTGGAGGAACCTAGGCCAACCCGACCCAGCGCACGATCTTACCAGAGTGACCCTACAGATCCTTTCAATAATAATTCTTCGTCTCGATCATTTGCGGGTGGACTTTTTGGATCACTTGCGACTTCTGCATCATCGAAGCTCGCCGAAAGCAACCCGAGTCTTACAAACCTTCCTGCGACTGGAGGTATCAGCATTAGCTCTGATACAATAGAAACGCCTACTGGACCAAGCGCTCCCCTCGATTATACCATTGCACCTAGCCGAAAAGACACCAGTGTAGCATCTGCATTTCCCATCAACATGGAACCCCCACAGGCTCCCGTTCGCAGAAATCGAACTTTACAGGGCCTTGGTATGGACTTTAGTATGGATGTTCCTAAGATGGGCCGATCTATGGCTTCGAAACGACTTCAGAAAGCGGCTGCTGAAATTTCGGAAGACAGCAGCGCGGGACATAATTCTCGCCATAACTCTGTTACGGTACCAGGTGGGGATAGGAAACGAACGGTATCCGGACAGGTAGTACCCCGACAACCTTCGGAAGATCCTGGAGCACCTCAGAGAAGAAGTGTCAGGTTGATCAACCAATTCCGGCCGACGAGCACCAAATCCTCCAGTAATCTTGCGACTGTGGGGCCTGCCCCTGGAAGAGAATTGAAGAAAGCTAGACCTCCGATATCAAAGATGATGCGTCCAGCTGGGTCCTCCACGGCTGGCAGACAGGTCAGTGGTAATCGAAAACCAGTGGAAGATTCTATGGAATTAGACCAAAGGGAAGGAGAGATAAGATCCCGGATATCCACAAAATCATTTGGTACTAGATCTTCAGAATCGGACTCTGGAACCCGGGAGGAGGCTTTAAGATGGCTTCTCGATCTGTTCAAGAAGTTTGGGACTGGTTATTTTTTACTTGCAAGATTTCAATCTCATCAGGCTTTGGAAGCATTCTCTACACTATCTACTCAACAGCAAGATACTCCTTGGGTGTTGTCACAAATGGGTCGTGCTCATTACGAACAAGCGTCATATACCGAAGCGGAATCTTTGTACAAACGAATTCGACAGATAGCACCAACACGCTTTGAGGACATGGAGATCTATTCTACTGTGCTGTGGCATCTCAAGAAAGAAACTGATTTGGCTTTCCTAGCCCACGAATTGGTAGATTCTTCTTGGCAATCGCCAGAAGCTTGGTGTGCACTTGGAAATTCCTGGTCGCTCATGCGAGATCACGAACAAGCTTTACGGTGTTTCAAACGGGCCACACAACTAAATCCTAAGTTTGCTTATGCTTTTACGCTTCAAGGCCATGAGCATGTTATGAATGAAGAATATGATAAAGCACTTACTTCTTACAGACATGCAATGGCTGTTGACAGGCGACACTACAATGCCTACTACGGAGTTGGCAAAGTGTATGAAAAGATGGGTAATTACGACAAAGCATTCATACACTTCGAAGCCGCCTCCAAAATCAACCCAACAAATGCGGTGCTTTTGGGACTTATGGGAAGTGTTGTCGATAAGAAAGGAAACAAAGGTTTAGCACTTTCATACTTCAAGAAGGCAATTGACCTGGATCCAAAATCAGCTTTGACTCGCTTCAAAAAAGCCCGCTGTTTGATGACGATGGGGAGATTGGAGGATGCCTTAGATGAATTGAAGATCTTGAAAGACTTGGCTCCTGATGAGGCAATGGTTCACTTCTTATTGGGGAGACTATATAAGAGTATGAAACAAAAGGGCGCTTCGGTTCGGCATTTTACCATTGCTTTGAACTTGGATCCAAAGGTATATATATGCAAACGATATTGATTAAAAAACTCACCACTAATCAAAAACAGGCAAGCCAACAAATCAAAGAAGCGATCGAAAGCCTAGAGCAAGGAGATGACGATGATGATGACGAGGCCAGCATGATGGGCTGATTTGAAACGACTGTACTCGAAATCTTGGCCATAGTGGATCTCCTAATTACATCGTTCTTTTTGTTTTCGCGTTGCGTTTCAACTCATCTCTTTCAAAGATACCCATTAGTTATCGACCTATTATTAACTCCAATCATTGAGTGGCCTTTTAATAACAGATGGTTTTGATGCCCCACCTTCACTACTCACACCGCACTTGAGCATCCCTACAAAAACTACAATTAAAAAAAGCTGTCAACCCCACAGCAAAACATGATGATACGATAAAACTGGAAGACGACTCGGTTACGATAGGAAAAGAATCTTAGCATTTGCATTGGGTTGGCGTTCTTCTTTCCGGCATAGTTTCTCATCACGGATGAGTCGATGGATAGTAAAATCCTTTTCTCTTCTTGACCACACAATTTGTCGATTGCATTATATCACTACGCTAGCATTGCTCTATTGACGGATGGCCACTATTCAGTGGCCTGGAAGAGCAATTACAGCGGGGCCTAAACATTTAGGGGCGAGGAGGGCGTGTAAAATGAATTACTGTGGATTATAATCATCTCTCTCAATGCCTTTTCGGAGGATCGTAGGCAGGGTTGAAGGAAGAAAGGAGGTTGGAGATTAAAAGAATTGTATCATACTTTTCTACAACAAGAGTCAAATCTTCCTTGAATGGATCTGATTGCCATTGCGTGAGTGATTAAATGTTTGCATCCTATCGAAAAAAACTGGCGATGTCCTAAGGTTGCGAGTGCCTCCCCATCTATTCTTGTGGTTACTTGCTTCTCCTCTAAGTTTTAGGTGTCGAGGCCTTTTTACCTGAGTCTTTTGATGAAGGTTGTTGTAGGGGTGGTTCATGTTTACTCTACTGGTATCTGGACTCTGATGAGTGTCTTTGTTCTCGTTGGAACAAGGGCGTTGTTCTGTTATTGCTATGCTTGAATTGTATGGGTTTAGTATCTGTACAATATTACACATTAAACTCACCCGAGAGGTCTTTTTACACCAAAGCTCATCTTGTTTAAAAAAAACCAATTGAGAATTGATGTATTTTCGAATTGTTGTAGAAACTTCAAAATCAATAAATGGTTTTATATTTATTGTATTGAAATGAATCAATCATTCTTATCACTTTTCGTTGTTGCTAGGATATTACTTGATTCAAATCGAGGTCTTTATCTCTCAGTCTTAGATCTAATTGTAGGAAGTGTCTCTTAAAAGTCTTTCAATATTATAATTTTTCTATTGTTTAACAAATTCATTAAGAATTTACAGAATAAATCTATTTGGATAGAAATGCAACGAGAGTTTTATTTAAAGTGATTTAGTACAAAAGCTGAGTTTGTTTGGAGAATCAATTCGCGTAATCGTTGTTGAAGTTACTGTGTCGAGATTTGTACTCGTGCTGTTAGAAAGTATGCAACACTCCACCTAGATACGGGCCACCAATCATCTTGTATTTTACTACCTTATGGGACGTGCCTGGGAGTGAATTGTGGCATACTTTCTGGCCGCACGAGTAGGGACGGCTTGTTGTGTTTCTTAACTTGGGGGAACAATGATCTTGTTGAGATGACCTTGTTCAGGATACCCTAGCTCTCACCAAGGGAATATCCTGTAAAATGTCCTGGGTCTTTTCTTCAGATCGTGAAAAATGCCAATGAAAGGCTTATAAATATTCGAGTGTTCTTTCTAAGTTCTAGCTATTCAACCTTCAGTCATCTCTAAACTTCATCCATATTAAGAGCTTACTGAACCATTTCAAAGATCAGTACTAGAAACCTCCCAGTCATATTTAAAAGATGTGTCTCACCCTTAATTTAAAGCATTTGGCCTGTGGCCACGAAGAATCATATGTTCGTCCATGCCGGCGTAATAGCATTCGTTGCAATATGATGTCAGCCCACACCCGCACTCTAGAAGAAGAAGTGTGCCGCAATTGTTGGATTCTCCTTGACTTCAGACAAGCCCTGGTCATCGACCAGAGTATGAAATGACTGAGGACGACATATTAGGTTACCAGACTTGGAATCTCGTAGCTGAAGCACTAGACTTACAAACTCACCTCCAGAACTTACCCTTCTCCAGCCTTCCCAATCAATATGCTCACTTTCACTCGACAAATATAGTGACATTTGATTTACTTAATCAGAATGCTATGGGACTACTCTATAATCTTGTTCATGATGGTTTGGATCCAGCTTTCCAGATGCGTGTCACTGACGGTGAGGATATACCACTTGTTGAGAGAACAACAGCCCTAAACATGCATCAAATTCTATTAATAAATCAAGCTTTGTTAGATGCTTCTGAAGCTTTGAGCGACTATGATTGGCGCATCGCGATGGGCCATAGAGTGTTTATAGACTTTGCCAATTCCAGACATTTCACTCGTCTTGTAGACCTGCAAGCACCCGTAGACGATTGCAGTATTTGCGTAGATCCTCTCAATCACCGTGATGAAGGAGAAATGAATACTGCGATAGTAAAGACAATCTGCAATCATATGTATCATGAGCGTTGTTTGGAGCAGTGGTTCGTATCATCTGCTCGTGGTGACTGCCCTTATTGCAGAATATTGCTTCGAATCACGGAACTCCCACAAATCCCTATCCGCCAAGAAGTAGAGGGACCTCTTCCAGATTGGCTAGCGATCTTAATCGAGTGTTTACAGGATGTTGGGGCAGCGCTAGAGACCGTGGAAGTCGAGCGGGTTGATGAACTAGGCGTTCCTGGTGACTTTGACGCTCTTGGTGTAGTTAGGCGTGTGATAGGACGGGGTATTGAAATTTTTAATCACTTAAACTTTCACTACTTACACTTTCACTTGTAAATACTGTCATCTCATCTTAGTCTTTTCGTTTCATACAATAGCCGCTTCTATCTTTATCTCTTCCCATTTAAGAATGACATCACATTCACATACAATAAAAAATATAAAAATAAAACATAAAAATCAATACCCATAAAACTTCAATCATATAATCTACCACGTGATCATGTGCTAAATTCGAACCCTCACTTCATAAATTTCTATTTCCAGATCCTGTTTTCATTTCGAATCGACAGATTCTTTTCAATTAAGAGTTGCGAGTACTTATCGTGTATCGATATGGATGTTATTTCCATAGACGTTCAATAAATTAATACTTGTGCAACTGGACATTACTACTGTCGAACTAATGAACTAAACTCAAATTCTGAATCACAAAAATGGACAGTAATATTTTGAGTATATATGTACACTTCAGTCTATTCATTGTCCGCTCTTCAAGATTTCTTTGACCAATTCAATTGGAGTTGAAAGAAAATGTATCCTGAATAGTCCTTTATGTTGTTGAAGGAGAGTTTGTCGACCCTCCAAAAATTAAGCGAGTGCAGGAATATTGGAGTGGGAGAGGAAGAGGAGCAGCAGTGTTGAGAGAAAACAAGATTGAGATAGAAAGATAAATCGAAGCAGAGGTAAAATAATAGTAGTATTGAGATTAAAACTTAAGGAAATCCAATAGAGAAGACTAACAACAGAAGTACAAGTGGTAAAGGGAGCAATAATGGAAGAATGAAGAAAATGAGGTGGAAAAGCGGCAGTAGAAAAGTTTCTGTATTATGGGATTTGAACATCGATGTTTTACTTTTGCATCTACTTTTGGTCGTTAGAAATGGTGATCAGTCGTATGTTGGTTTTATTAATTGTTCTGTTGACCAGCAAACACAATGGCTTTGTTGTGTGCATCAGTTCTTTGTGTTAATTCTTTGCTCTGTTCTGTTATTTCAAGTCTATTGTAACATTGTTTCTATGCTTTTGTCTTTGAGACTCGGTAGGGCTCCGTAACTGAATCAAAATAAAGACATACTCTTGTGTATTCTCTGGGAGCTGTTTGACAATTCAGTTCACGAACAATGTTGTAAGGTTTATGTTAAATTCTTGAGAATTATTCCTAGATACTTTTATCTCATTCTCATCATATCTAGACTACTATACTTAATATCTATCTCTCTTCAAAAAGTTTAAGCTCTTTGAAGATATCTAGTGCAAGATGTGTATCACCATTGATTTTACCTTCTCAAAGTGTGGCCATGGAGCGCACTTCATCCGTCCTTGCCAGGAAGATGGTTCTTTCTGCGGAAACATGGTGACTGACCCTATGGTGTCCACACATGCTGACTTCTGTAATGATTGCTTTATGCTTCCCGATCCCAGAGCATCTAAGCCTGATGAAGACCAACTTGGATACCCGTCAATTGATTTAATGGTAGAGCTATATCAAATCCGGAATGTTGAAGATGAAACCAAAGATTTACAGGTTCGGCTCCAAAACTTACCCCTTCCTGAGGGTTTTCGAGGTCCCAGTTACCGCTTATCTAATTGTAGAACTTTGAGTTTGCTTCCTAGAGATAGTCTCGATGTGCTATTTATTATGGTTAATCAGCGCCTGATTCCTGACTTTTGGCTTCGCATACTCCGCGGCGAATTACCATCTCCTCTAATCAGACAATTAATTTTACACCTTCGACAAATCATGATGTTGAACCTTGCACTTCATCGTTCGAGAAAAACCCTTTCGAAAGTCGAATGGTACATTGCTATGGGCTATGAACTTTTCTCTCAGGTCGAATCCACTTCGTGTGATGATGATTGTGGATTTGTCGCCAGCCGCTCAACGAGATAGGTGAGGAAGGCGCACCGGTAAGAACCCAATGCAATCATGTATTCCATCTGCAATGTATTGGGGAATGGATTAACATGTCCCCCAATGGCGATTGCCCAGCTTGTAGAAAAACGCTTCGAATGATACTGGAACCTATTCACGATACTCCAGCACGAGGCCCACATCCAGAATGGCTTGTATCCCTATTGCCCCCCGCACCACAAGTTGCTCCCAATCATGCAACGCTTGTAGCACAAGAACTTGTACAGTTAGAGGCTGATGTCGAGGATGCGCTTTTGAGAGCCGTGGAGACTGACCAAAGTCTCACTAATCTCGAGGATGAGCTACAGGTTCCAAGAGAAGACTTTTCTGGCGTAGAAAACTTAAGTAATGAATACATTCACAACGCAAGTGAATTTGTTATGATTAGTCTCACGGGCTTGTCTGCAGTAAACTATGAAAGGTATCAAAGTCAGGTTCGGCGCCATCAAATGAGTCTCACACAGTTTGCCACGTCTTCTCAAAGACTTGGTGAAGGGAGACGAGAGGTAGAAAGATTCAATGACCACGTTCAAAGAAGATATAGTACTGCCACACTCGCACTTGTAAGAGCTGAAGTTAATTTTTCAATCGGGATTGTAGACCAGTCATTGGAATAGTATATGACGAACTCTGCATACTACCCCTCGATGCGTTGAATACTAGATTGTTGATGCTCTCCTTTTGTTCATATTTTCATTAAATTGAAAGATTCTTAAGCATAAGGAGTCTATATAACACAAAAATTGGATTAAAAAAATGGAAATTCTAGCTTTCATAATTAATTATATAATTTCCCACTAAAATATTGGGTGAGAAAGTGTACTATTGAACTCTTAAGCCCAAATTTCATTTTTCTTCTGATAAATCTCATATAAACTACTTTTCAATATTTGAAAAATACAATGTATTAATTTGAATAATATTGAATCAGATCTCGAATTTCAGTTGAATTTTGAAGTTGATTAGTTTGAGTGTGAAATTGTGCTTTACTGTCACGCTGTCCCGTGAGTCTGTGCACCCACTGGTGATCTGGCAGGTCAAATTTCGCTTTGCTCTTAGTCCCCTCTTAGTCCCCTTCAGACTTATAAAAGCCTCTTATAGATTCACTCTTTTATATAATAGTTTCTTGTATCCATCCATTTAAACCTCCCTCAAACCCTCAAACCAAATCCTAATCCCCATTACCTACCCACTTTAAAAAACCACAAACCAATGGATTCCACTCCAATCCACTCCATTCCAATCAACCACCAATAAAAAAATAAGCGAGATTTTTATTTCTTACCCCTAATTCCTCATCCCCATGGCCTCCCCCATCCACACAATGCTTAAACATTCAAAATCACCAGCTTTATTTTTCACTTGAATTTATTTCAACACAATTCAACTTTATTCAACTCAACTCAACTCATCTATTCTCTCCCTTATAATTTCAACAACCTTCTAATGCATTTCTCTACCTTCCACCGCCCATCCTCGCATCTACCTCTCATTATGCATTTCTTTCGATACCTCATCCCTAACCCCCACCCGGCCCCCCATCTACTTCTCGGTTACGAAACAATCACTCCCCACTCAAGCATCAATGAAAAAAACAGCCCATCCCATTCCATCCATTAATTCCATCCTTTCCTCCCCTCCCTCACGCGACAAATATTAACATTCCAAATTCCCACAGGGTATAAAATCCCCGCCCGCCTGTCCGTCCGTTCATCCATCCGATCCTCTCTCCCCCATCCCTACCTTCCACAACATCATCCCATCCACCCCATTTCCCAATCCCATATAATATACACAAACCCATCACTCCTTCAAATCCCATCCCGTCCCATCCCCACCCAAATCCCTATTATATAAACAAAACATCCGTAGAACAGAATCGAATGGTAACATATACATTCGTACCCTCGTACTTCCATCTGTCCAGTCCTTTAAACCCCAAACCAAAATCCATAAACACCATGCTATAAACCATGCATGCAAGTTCTCCATGAAAAACATCGCAATACAAGCGCAAGCAAAACTCACGCGAAGAAAAAAAAAAGGTCAAATCTCGATCTTTGCTGTTTTGATAATAGAACGTGAACAGAAGAGATTATCATGTAAACAAAGGAGCAAATCACCAATCGGTAGACTGAGGTCGAAGCTAAAGTCAATATCGAGAGCACGCAGGGAGAATTGAAGTTGCATGCCGACCTTTGAGTCAATTTGCCCTCTAAAATTCCCCACCGCCTCTGACTTCCTCAGGAATCACCTCTTCTCTCCATTTGACACCACCCTCCACATCAACACCACCTTTGACCCACTCATTTTCCTGAACTTTTTCCAATGTCCATCTACTCCTTGCTCTCTTCAACAATCCCTCTGTAATCTCCATTGCACCTAACAATCCCTTTTCCTTGAATTTATCCGGATCACTCTCATGATCTCCTTCTTCACCGAAATATTCAATCCATCTCCATTCAACTCGTGCAATTCGATGACTTGTTCGACTGCGCTGTTTGTGTCCTTCTGGCATTCCTGGATTAGGATCGAATGGTAATCTACTTTCCAGCAATGCATAAAGTAAGACACCAAGAGACCAAGCATCAGTAGCGCGTCCATCATATGGTTGACCCATGATAACTTCCGGGGCAGCATAATCATCTGATCCACAACGGGTAGTAAGTTTTTCATCATCAGCTACACGGCGAGAGAGACCAAGATCGGTGAGGGTGATGATGGAGTAAGGGTATTTAGTCCAGTCTTGAGGTTTTGCAAGTTCATGTTGAGGAAGGTTGACCAAGACATCTGAACAAGGAGACTCGGTTAGTATGTGATGTTTGGATTGGAGTAAATCATCAAAGGAAAATTATAAAACTTACTTTCTAATTTGATATCCCGGTGAACAATACGCCTATCGTGTAAATATTGAACAGCACCAATCAGCTCTGCAAACATCCGTCTAAGTAACGATGGGACGAGAATATCTCGATGCTGACTGGCCACTTCAAATAAATCTCCACCGGGACAATAACTCAAAACTAGAATAGCTCTTGTCTCTTCTATGCTCCAAGCTTTGAGGTGAACCAATGAAGGATGATGTATCGATTTCATGATTTCCAATTCACGTTTTAGTGACATTTCTACTCTTTCTTCAGATGCCCCTCCCTTCGGACCATGTTCACAAATCTTAATCGCTACCAATTTTTTTCGGTCGACTTTTGTCTCAATAGGTGTAACAATCGATTCAATTCCGAACACATTATCTTCATCTATGCGACCTTCATCGTCTTGGACTTGACTGGTGGCTAAAATCACTTTGCTGAAAGTGCCTTGGCCCAAAACTTTTATACCTCTCCATCTTCGTCGTTTAGAATCATTCCTAGTATACGCATCAAAGTATTCATATCTCGATTTTCGAAGCGCTCTAGGAATGTTGTTAGTGGACAATGATGAATCACTATCACTGCTTTCCCCTCCTGTTCGACTCGATGGTGGGGTTGGTGGTCTTGGGATGGGAGCCAATCCTCGTTGAACTGCTAAATGTGGTTCTCTCCGCATATGCATGTCTGATTGTGGACCATCTACCGCTCCATCCATGATTGGAGCATGTGAACCCGATACAGTGATATTTCGAGTTTTGGGCACTTGAGAAGCTTCCGGTACATATTCGCTCATACTTCTATTCCTAGTATGTCCTTCGGCGTTCTTTTTTCGATTTGTTTGAGCATCTGTCAACCCAGATTCGCCAGCATTTGTTATTAATCCATGGTATGCCCTTCTCTTTTGTTGATTTGCCATCGCAGAGGAAACCGATTCACCATTTGATGTGATCAGAGCCGAATCCGAATGTATTGGTAGCATTTGCTCGCGGGATGTTCGTCTCGAGTTTAATCGTTTCCATGGTCCAGGTGAATCACCCGACATGAGTGGTGAGGGTAGAGGGTCACATCTGCCATTGCGTTCAACATTGGTGAGGATAATGCTGAGTTTGGCGCCGAGCCGTTGCTACCTATACTACTCGCCAGGACATTCTTCACACTCGGAGTTCGCGCGAGAGACATTCCTATCTGCCCACCGGATCTTGACGGAATTCGTATAGTATCGGAAGATTCGCGCTCACTTATTCCGGTTCCCGTGCTGGCAGATGTTATTGTATAACCTGGAACGATATCGGTTTGTATTCGCAGACCCGCGCTTAGAGGACTCGGAGTTGGACTATATGACGAATCTATATTTGGGTGAAGACGAGAAGTGGTGTCAAGCGCGAGTGGGGTGTATGCTTCGTTTGTTGAAGTGGATCTGCTGTGAGGGGGCGAAGGTGCTATGGTATTCGATTTGAAAATGGCAGTGAAAGCTGGGATTGGATTTGATTGAAGAGATAAAGGTAAGGAAATGTTTGAGTTTTGTGTTGCTTTTACATCGTTCATAAAAGTGGTGGTACTATGCCCAGCTTGGTCGGACATTAGACCTGACACAGCTTCGAGACTTCCATTTTGTATTCGGCTCTCGAGCATTCTTTGTTCCGAATTCGACATGTTGGGGGGAGGGAGAATGCGGGTTAATTGGAGTGAAAGTTAAATTTCTTTTTTTCTTTTTTTCTTTTGGAAGAAAGAAGAAGAGGAGATTGAGGTTGAGGGTTTTTGGGGGGGGATAATTAAATCCAAAGTAACGTTATGATAACTGTTTTTCAGGGATTGTTGTGATGAAGAGCGTAATTTTGATATACTGTATGTAGTGTGACTAGGTACCTGGTAAATCTCAATCGACAATCAAACGATCAAACGATCAAACCACCAAACCATCAATCAGATACCACCTCGATAGACGAATCAAAGAAGAGGAGGACAAGGCGTATGGACGAATTGATTGATTGCATGTGGTTGTACTGTATTGTATTGTGTGTATGTACTTTGTCGATGCTTTGATTGAGAAATATCAAGTGAAGTGGTGAAGTGGGGGTTTTGAGTACAATAAATGAACAAACGGATAAGATAGGGATGTGGATGTGGATGGGATGTGGATGGATGGATGGGATGGGATGCGATGGATTCCAAGGTTGGTTGCAAGAAATTAAGCTAGTGACGACAACAAGCAAGGTGATGAAGAAGAAAATATATAAAGAAGAGATTTATATATGGTAATAGTATTATATATGGTAATAGCATTATATGATTTCGTAATAAATCCAAGGTGTGTATGTAAATATAAAAAGAGTATCCGGGGAGAAGATGAAGTGAAGACAGAAAGAGAGGAGGGGAGAGTGAATTGAGTGAATTGAGTGAATTGAGTGTATGCTTTTCGTATTCGTGGGTTGAGTTGAAATTGCTTGCAGACTATTGTTTGTTCTGGCTCTGGCTCTGGCTCTGACTTTGGCTCTGGCTCTGCTTCTGGTCTGGGGTTGGCTCTTTTCCTCATTTCATTTCATTTCATTTCACTTCACGCTTCACTAAAATCAGGCTTCACTAACATCAGGCTTCACTCATTTCACACGTTACTCATTTCACACTTTACTCATTTCACACTTTACTCATTTCACGCTTCACTACCGGACCAGTGACGACCTAATTTCACCAGTCACAGGTGACAGACCTTAGACGGCTCGTGTCACATCGATAGAGTTTCAATACAAGTACATGTTAGATACGTTAGATACGTTAGATACCTTAGATACCTTAGATACCTTAGATACCTTAGATACCTACCTACCTCGTAGATATAGCGACAAAGAGCTAATCACAATCTACCGTCGTATTTTAATTCCGTCTTGCGTGATAAACAAGAATCCCTAGACAATCAGTGCCAGCGATTTTTCTTCTTCATTCGTGAGCTAGAGACGGTATCGTGTACACTACTACAACATACCAAGTAGATAACCCTCTCGCCAAACAAAGACAAAACACCCCGTACATCTTCAACAGTCACAAGTACCTTCTCCTCTCATCCTCCCTCCCTCATCTTCCCGTCGCGGCACGAATGAAACAATGGGTTCAATTGATACACCACCAATTGATTCCCTTCCTTACCCGGCTGATTCTCTCCAAGGGTCACGCTTTAGGTTTTAAGCTCAAGTAACGTTAGAAACCTAAAAATCGATAGGGCAATTTCACATCCAACGTGGGTGGAACGATAGGCAAAATGATATTGATATCAAATTAACAGGGGATCTATCTTTGACGAACAAGGGATCATTATCTTCTTGCCTCTCAACTACCCTCCCGAATCACTCCCAGCGTCTCTTCATGATAAGAAGCTGACCATCCTTTTTCTCTCTTTCTCTCTCCTGGCTTATACTTCGTGGAAATATTACGGAGTCGACCCTCAGCTATTCCTCTTTTCTTCTGTCGCTCAAACTGATATTGATGAATGCAGTAATCCGGCCATCTCGGATATGCCGATATTGGAATGGATTAACAGCTCCTTTTGGTCCAGAAAGGTCGATTTCGGTAATTATTAATTACAACCGCTCTTTGATAGCTCTTGATACATTACAGATTCATACTATACCCATTCCCATTCCCATACCCATACCCATATCCATATCCATACCCATACCCTCTTTTTTTTCCCTTCTCGTTTTTGACAAAACTTTGAATGGAGAGTACCTACCTAGGCAGTGTGACGTCTTCATCAATCTTCGCTTCTTCCATTCCTCGATGTTGATATAAGTTTCAGATGGGAAAGAATGTATATTCATGGGGTGATTCAGAATTCTTGATGAACGATGAAAAGAATGGGGAAGAGAGAACCAATTCCTACCCATCCAACTGGTATCAAAAGACTAATCGGAAGGTGTCTTGCACTCACTCACCTACGCACTCATTTGCTTCTTTTTTAGGTTCAGCCTGTGTGTGATTGGAATCAATTCAACTTTTTAACATTTTTGCTGCAATGTTATGGAGAAGTCAAGTCTTATATGCAGAAAGTGGATTTTGGCGTCACCATACATTTTAATGACCCTCACCCCCTTCATCGAATCCGGTTAAGCAAACTGTCTTACCAACACATGACATGTACGGAGTATCATCATCTATCCTACACATGTAATATCATTAACAGATATACTGTGATACCAAAGCAGGTCCTTCACTGTCCATCTCCATTCTCTCCTCTCCAAATTGTACTCGGGTTTCAATCCATTATCTATTCCCGTCTCGAGTATCGGAATTCTGGAAATGAATTTTCAGCTGACCCCTCCCTTCTTTTAATTTTGTACCTGGATCTCCGGCCCACCCAATCGACTTGCCCCACCATATCAAAATCATTTTGATATTCAATCCATCCCATGCTCCCACGCGGCGCCAAGAAAAGATAAACGCTCAATTGAAATTGATGTTGATGTGCTCGAGGGATTTGAGACAAGAATTCCGAACCGCCGGCTTATCATCCGTCCTCATTCTCACCGTCAAGAGAGAGAGGGGGGTACCGGTACACACACATGAAGAAATAATAACAGCAATACAATATCCCACGTTTGCAAACAACATCTCCAATTGGATGCGTACCTTGGATGTCATCAACAAGGATCCGTTTTACCCGCAACCAAACCACTATTTGATGCTTGTTTGTACGACACAAAACACTCTCCTGTGCGTTGTAGAATCCCGAAAGATGTGTTTCATATCTTGCATGGGAACAAGTCATGTGAATTGGTCTTTGTGGGTAATGCCTCAGTATTACGTATATGAGATGGCTCTGCTCTATTTTCGCTCCTCGGATGATGGTGTCGATTCCGGACACGATTGTGCTATAGGTTGGGACTCATACACATTCATATGATTGTATGCAACAGGTCCGCAGAAGCAAACAATTGATCCAAGCACCGGATGTCCGTCACATTATATCAAGATCTTTTTCGGTAGGTATACTTGAGAAAACATTCACAGGCTGACATGACAATACCTAGGTAAGCCAAAAGTTGAGCGCATGAGGAATTCTGTTTGCTGTCTGCATTCATTTGACAATCCAATAGCCTCATTCCTGAAAGTTTCTGACTGACTGATAACTTGATCTCAAAAACTTAATTTATACTCGATTTACACAATCACGTCGGAAAGAAATCTTACTCTCGTTCTCGCCATCCGATTGCTCTCGATTTCTCTCCGGCTAACCCCACCCCTCATGCATTATCTAGTAAAAAAGCAAACACACAGACGAAGCTAAACTCACACCCCCAGAAATCGTATCTTCACTTCCAAATTTATTTACTCCGACCTCGGTAAAAAAAACAAAGAATTGGCGTATCACGAAAACGAAATTTAACATCACTCCCTTATCACTGTCATTAAAACTCCATGATTCATCGACTTGACCCACAATCTTTGTATCATTCTGCCCCGGTTTTTCACAAGACAATCGCGCGGTAAAGGAATTAACATATGAATGGGGGATTCTAGGTAGGTATTGCCGCGAGCCTCGGTATGGCGTCTCTTTGGTTTGAACTCTTTTCCCTAACTTTTCCTCGTGTTTCCCCTTTACTCTACTTTTTGCTCCATTTGTATTGTCGGTGGCAATTACTCTAGATTTCTTTTTGTTCATTCGGTTTCGAATTTCATATATATTCTATTTCAGGAGTTGTTCAAAGATACAGCATTCACAATGAGTAAGAAAGGGATTTTGCCGCCGTCCGAAAGGATATTGTTGGCCTTTTACACCAACCGGAATATGATGATGGCAGTGCTGGACCAGTTCTTGTGCGCTTAGCATGGTATGTGATTTTTCATTCCATGCCTTTCCCAGACTATGCGCAATCAATGCAATCCACTTCGGCGCAAACGATTGCTTCCCATTCACAAACTAATATCATCTAGGCATTCGGCCGGAACATACGATTCTGAAACAGATACAGGTGGATCCAATGGAGCTGGTATGCGATACGAGAGTGAAGGAGGAGATCCAGCAAACGCCGGTTTACAACACGCGAGAGTCTTCCTCGAACCAGTCAAAGCCAAGCATCCCTGGATAACATATGCGGATCTATGGACATTAGCAGGAGTAGTAGCGATCAAAGAAATGGGTGGACCAGATATCCCATGGCAAGGTGGACGAACAGATTATGTCGATGATTCGAAATTGCCCCCGCGAGGACGTCTACCAGATGCAGCACAGGGATCCGATCATCTTCGGTGGATTTTCTACCGCATGGGATTTAATGATCAGGAGATTGTGGCGTTGAGTGGAGCTCATAATCTAGGACGATGCCACAGCGATCGATCTGGATTCGAGGGTGCTTGGGTTAATAATCCTACGAGATTTTCGAATCAGTATTACAGACTTTTGCTCTCTCTTCAATGGCGCAAAAAGAAGTTGGCAAATGGAATCGAACAATTCGTCAACTACGATGAGGATACCGAGACGGAATTGATGATGCTTCCAACGGATTTGGCTCTGACCCAAGATAAGGAATTCAAGAAATGGGTAGGAAAATACGCAGACGATAAGGAAAAGTTCTTTGAAGATTTCAGTAAAGTCTTTGCAAAGTTGATTGAGTTGGGTATTCAAAGAGATAGCGAGGGTAAGATTACAAACTTGGATAATGAAAAGGGTGGATATCATTCGGCACCAAAGAAGAAGGATACTCCTGGTAGTCCAGCGAAGAATACAGATGATAAGAAAGTGGATGTTAGCGAGGCTGCACCATTGCAAGAGGAGAATAAGAAATTCCAGTCGAAGTTGTAGAGGCTGGGTTGTGTGTGTGTGTGTAATATTAGAAGCCTGGGGGAGGTTTTTCGCAGTTATAGACGTATAGAGACAACTAGAGAGGCGAAGATTTTAGACTTTAGAAAGGATAGAATAGATTCAGACATAGAAAGAATTAATAGATGGTGTACAACTAGCCGGCGCTATGCAATTTGGGAAAGTGCAACCAAATTGTTTCTTTTTTTTAGAAACATGTATACCTCATTCCATCTATCTCACTCATTCTTCAGTTATATTCTTCAAATCCATCCCCCTAATTCAAAACATCATCATCACCAGCATCATCCCTACAAAAAATACTTACCCCCTCACCCCCAAACCCCCCTCCACCAACATGCGCTCCCTCTTCTCACGCTCCCCCGATCTCGAAGGCGGCCAAAATCGCGGCATTTACAAGAAAGGGTTCACAGGCGACCATCGCGGTCGCTCCCAGCTCCCCCCCAACCCCTCTCCCCTCTTCTCTCCCCAATCCACACATTCTCCCTTCAGCATCCCATCCGCATCCTACAGACACGACACGATCTTCCGAGCGCCTCCGAGTCCGAGTCCCAAGAGCGTTACCTTGAGCGAGCGATCGTGGAGTGCGGTTTCGGGTGCGGCCATCGTGGGTGGGAATGCTGCTTGTGCTGCTCGGTTGGGGAATGCGCGGGGAGGAGAAGGGTGTTTGGATTGTTTGGATCGAGAACAGGTTTCGCGTCTTGGTGAGTATTTGGATGTTCTTTCCGCGAGGGGAATAGAGATAGGGAATGGGAATGGGAGTGGGAATGGAAATGGAAGTGGAGTTCCTCGGAGAGGTAGAAGAGGTTTCAGTATGAGTGAGACTAATGATGGTGATGGTGATCGACCGCTTCATGTTTCTCCTACTTCTATACCTGCAACTATACCTGCAACGATACCCCCTCCCATTCCTATCCCCCTCTCTCCACACTCCCGGCTTAAGAAAAATCTCAAGCAGAAGGTTGCTGAACATCAGTTTCGGAATAATAAAGATGGGAGTGTGGGGTATGGTTGTGAGCATGATGGGTTGCTGGGAGAGGGAGAGGGAGAGGGCGATAAGGATGTGGAGGAGAGGTATCGAACGCGTGTTTTCGGAGAGGCGGTGAGGAATGCGGTGGGTTTGCAGAGGGGAATGGAGGGGATGGGGTTGGGGTTGGGGAGTGGGAGTGGGAGTGGGAGTGGGAGTGGGAATGGGAATGGGAATGGGACGGGGTTTCAAGATAAGGATGGAGAGGGAGAGGGAGAGGGAAGGAAATCGGTAATGCAAAGAAGAGGAGCAAGTGAAGGAGTGGGAGAAGGAGAAGGAGGCTTTACGGGACCGATGAAGGAGAGGGAAAAGGGGAGGAAAGAGGAAACCCTGCCGAGGGATTTGAGTGAGTTTTTGGAGAAATATGATCCCAGGCCGGAGGATTTGCCGGATGTGTGAGTTTGGATCCTTTTTCCTTGGGGAGAGATGTGTGAGGAAATGAGATGGTGGAGGGAGATGGGGGAGGGAGATACTGACAAAAAATAGTTATCCAATGAGCGAACATAGAGCAATGCTGCGAACAATGTATCTAGAGGATATTTTGCACGCGACGGCGAAATTGCATATGCATCATTGGATTTTGTTGAGTCGGAATGAGATGTATGATGATTGTAGGTTGGGTTTGTGTTGGTTGTTTTTGATTGAGCGCACTTTATTTTCTTTGTTTCTTTGGAGATTGGAGTTTGAGATTCAAGCATCAGCTAACAAAATAAATCAAAGTGCGTATTCCCGCCCGCTGGGATCGAATCCAAGAAGATCTCGAAAAATACAGTACGTCTCCCTCATCCTCACCCATCCCCCATCCCATCCGCAATCTCCCCCGCTAACCCCCTTCCCCTCTCCTCTAGCCCGCTCAATCCGCAACTACACCTACTGGCTCAGTTCTCCTATCCCTCTCCTCGATCTCCCCAAATCATCTCTTCCCCCGCGTTTCCATCTCTACGGCAAACAACTCGCGATTCTCGAATGTGCGCGCGCGTGGAATCATCCGCGCGAAACGGAGTTGATAAATGAGTTGGAGAGGAAATTGGTGGCGTATCAGACGGATTGGAGTGTGGGGAATGGGGTTTGGGGGGTGTGAGGAGGGAGGCGAGGAGGAGGGGTGGAGGAGGGGGAGAGGAAAGGGGGTGGGGAGGTTTGTGGGGGGGATTGTGGGTGAGTTTTTTAATTTACACATTTACCCCCAAAATTTACCCTTTAATCTCTGCCCATGTAATGTTAAAACCACCACTAACTACTCTCCCCCTCTCAGGCGGAAGCAGTATCATAACCCCCATCAGCATCCTCCTTCTCTGGCCCGGCGGCATATCCAAAACCGGCGGCGTAGGAATCATCGGGGTGAGCGTCGCGATTATGGGGATCATACTTGTATGGATTATTAATGGAGGAGGGGAGAAGAAAAGTGGATGGGAGGGCATTGAGGGGGAGGGAGATAGAGATAGAAATGGGGGAGGGGGAGGAGAATGGGAATTGAAGGATGTGATGCTGGTTTTGGGGGCGTATGCGGGGGTTTTGGGTGTGTTTTTGGGGGTCGCGGTTGTTTAGTTGTTGGGTGGGTTGGTTTGGGGGAAAGGATGGAGGAGAAGGGAAGTGGATGGAAGTGGAAGGAAGAGGGGAGGAGAGGAAGGGGAATAGACGATTTTCGATTATGATGAAGTTTTGTTAGTGTGATGGTATGTGATGTGATGCTTCTGTCTGTTGTGCTGTGCTGTGCTGTGTATTTTCTACAATATCCCCCGTGTAACTAAATAGATCGTGAATCATGAATCATGAATCGAATCATAAATCGTGATGTGTGATGTGTATACCTAATTACGTGGATCTAATTGATAACTTGACATTATATATCATAATACTACGACCTTGGAGTAATATTACGGGATGTGTGTACCTAGGTATGTCTAAAGGATATGTATCATTCGCTAATTCGGCAATTCGTTAATCTGATGGGAGTCATAGGGAATAGGCAATAGATTGAGTATATCAGTGTATGAATATGTATACATATAAGTGAATAAGTAAAGTATTGCTGCTAGTTTCAAATCTGGTGATGTTATATTTTCGCCTCTGGTTTTGAGTGAATAGATGAGATGGGACAAAATGAGGTGATATAGGATATGTGTGAGATGTTCATGTATGTTTTTACTTTTACGAAATGCGGTTTGTGTATTTTATCTTAAATGGGTATACAGACTAAAGAGCGAAGAAAACGGTTGAGAGGATATCTATCCGCCAAGCGAGGATGAAGCGAGAATGAAATAGAGAGGAGAGCTTATTGGATTGAAAGACTGTTAGATATATATAGGAGATTAGGAGATTAGAAGTTGAGGGTATTAGGAAGTAAACTGGGTTTATGAATGAATTTTTAGAGAGGCATTTGCTGTGATATTGGAAGATACGTTTGGTGTGAGATTGATGGATAGATAAGATATAAATGGATGGCTGTTGTTATTTATATTATTTTTGATGTGAATATCTGTGAGAAGAAAAATTACTGGTTACTATCTGGCGATGTCGAGATGTCGAGATATAGAGATGTATTCGTGTTTGTATTTAGGTTACGGAATTAGGTAAGTGCTAGGTAAGTACTTTTGGATAACTAGAGATTAAGATATCAAGTATATACGAATCAAGGAAAGTAAAATGATTGTGTAGGTTGAGGGATATAGTAAAGGGAATGCCTAGATAATATATATGATTGAGTGTGGATACGTAATGTATATTACTCGTGATCAAGTTATTATATTTGTGAATGAAGAAGATGAGTGACTATGTACTTCTGGGTAGGGGTTTCATTAGCTTTCTGCTGCTACTGATTGTAGTGATTGGAAGAATTCTGTCGAGGAGGACTTTGATATTTTTGCCGGGTTCTAGGTTTCTCTTGTGAAGACTGAGATGAGATATAATGGGGATAGTCGAGGATCTTGTCTGCGTCTGGAGGTATTAGATACTCGAGAATTACATGAGTATCTAGAGGTGTTAAAAATCCTTCGCAGCTTCAAGCTGTTTAGTTTCTTGGTTCGGGAAAGAAAACTATATGATTAAATCATTACTCGCGTAAGACTAATATATACTAGACTTATTGTCCAGAGCGAAAAGGAAATTTTCTATTCTAAATCTCAACTAATTCATGTTTTTAAGAGAGAAATACTATATAAGATGTATAATAATCTATATTAAAAAGAATCTATGTCTTTAGTAAACTATATATTAGAGTTCAGGATTTATATATAGATTCTAAGTATAATAGATTAGTGTCTAAAAAGAATCTAGGGTTAGAAGAATAGGTTCTAAGATAAGAAGCTAGAATCTAGGATTACAAGAGTACATTCTATTATAAGTTGATAGTTGAAGTCTTATTCATAATCTTATTAGATGACTCGTTAGCTTTCTCATTATACTCGTTACAGCTAAAGGTCACTCGTTGTACTCTCGAATTTGATTCGAATGTAGGGCTTCGCTCTCTGCTCTCTGCTGTCTCAATTCTATTCGAGGAGGGGCTACGCGCTACACTCGCTCTACACTCCAACGAACCTTATTTCTCTATTATTCATCCGCCGGCCCATATGTATACAAATAAATTATATATATCTGATAATTATATAGTTATTTTAGCTCGTTTAGTAACATCATTACAAGTCTCCAAGACATTCCTTTTTCGGGACAAGACCTTTCTGCTCTCCCCGTTGATACTAATACTTGAGCAGTCAAATTCGATCCATATACGAAGCAGAAAGTCAGCTTTGTAACGCTTGTATTCACTCTTGTTACGTACGCGAGCAGCATTACCAAGGTTCAAAAAATCGTCCATTAGTATAGTCATCTCAGCGCCACGGTGAAATGTGTTGACCCATTTGATGAGCCCAGCCATATCCGAGACAAACCATTCATCCGTTGATCTGCTTGAATCTGTAGGGTCGCATAAGAACAGTGCAGAACACCAAGGTCTGATAGCGTCAAACATCCCAACATTAGACGTATGAACACTATCACCAAGGGCGAATAGCTTTTTGGACATTCCGCTGTGTCCGTAAACATTTTCATTTATTGACATTGCTGCCTTCAACCACTCTTTGAATTCTAATCGAAGAGCCTCTGAGCTTGTGTTTTGTCTAAATTGTTGACTGCATTGTTGAGCATGCAACGCGGCAAGGTGTTCCTCATCCGAGTCCATCTCAAAATATGGTTCGACATGTCCTGAATCTTTGCGAATATCGTCAAGATCCAAATCGTCTGCAACATCTGACGGTTCTTCACAGTCGGGCGAGAAAATACCATGGCACACCGGTAGGAGGCTCGGCGTTGCCGGTATAATATCTTTGTTTGAATATACATCTGCGACAGGTGGTGACCGAGGAACCTGCACTTCAGTCGACCTTTGTGCGTCGTGTTCGGTGTATGGTGGTGGTTGCGGTTGCGATTGCGGTGGCGGTGGCAGTAGTTTGCCCTTAAGTTCCCGATGTTTGATTTGGGCCCAGTCGACTAGCATAATACCTTTTTGAGAGTATATCTTTCGCATATCAGGTTCGCAGATCCATGCACCCTTATCACGCAAGCGCTCGTCAACCGTTTTCAAATTTGCCCGCGCGTAATCGGAAGGTCTGATATAAACCTTGAAGCTCTTCGTAACAGATAAGGATCTGAGTTTCTGCATCAATGTGCTCGAGGTAGAGTTGGAAGGCAAGATAGTCGCAGATTCCCTCTCCTTTCTAACGACAAATCCTGTAAACTGTAGATCGAATGATAGGACAATAATATGCTCCAAATTACTTATACCAGCTTCGTGGAGGGCAGATGCGTCATGGGAAGACAAATCATCGAGCCCTGATATTGGAAGAGACTTCAAGTAGCAGTCAAAGTTACCGTGCGGCGGAACAACTAACAACATCTCCATAGAACGATTTTTGCCAGTATGTTTGTGCGTCACCTTAAGGGAGAAATAGACATGAATACGTTTTTCTGAATCGCAGACCACTTTCATAAGAAAATTGGTATTCTCTTTATTGTCGGCTAAGCAAGAACCCAATGTGTAAGTATGACCCTCATCAACCCATTTTATATATACCCTCTCCTGAAGGAGATTCTCCAGCCCAAGCTTTTCGATCGAAACCGCCATACCGTGTACTATAATTGTGATCAGTGATGAACATGATAAGGGTCAATTTTCTTGGAAATAAATGATCCCACACTCGATGTGTATCCCACCCACCCAGGCTAATAGAGCAGCCTTGACTCTTTAGTATGAATCGAATCCGAATGATTCAAGCAGTAAATACTGAGGAACCTAACCACCAATACTATACAGCTGTATCAGGGTTGTTCCCAAACAGCAGATACTGAAGAATACAACCTTTCTCTAATGTGATAATGGAGGTGAAGAAACGAAGTCGGAATGGAGATGGATATCAATAAGATACTGTTTACACGAATCGAGAAAAAAAGTAGGAATCAGGATAGTTCAAACAGCACATACTGAGGAACCTAACCACCAATACTGTACAGTGATCAGGGTTGTTCCCAAACAGTAAATACTGAGGAACCTAACCACCAATACTATACAGCTGTATTAGGGTTGTTCCCAAACAGCAGATACTGAAGAATATAGCCTTTGAATGATATGAATGACATAAATGATATTGCAATGATCGATAAAGATGATAGAAGTGGAGAAATGAAGTCGGAGTGGAGACGAATGTAAGCAAGACACTGTTTTCACGAAGCGAAAAAAATGGTGGATTTGGTTTTGGTTATATAAATCGTGGTCTACGTTTGCCTAAGTTCACCAGAAACGCAGCAGCTCGTGTGCGTAGGGGCTACCGTGGCTAGTGTAATCCATGTAATTGGATTCAATTCTGAGAATCATTATACGGTCATCACTATTCTCCTGTATTAATAGAAAGCCTTCGCTTATACTATACTGTGACCTCTCGACTAGAAACTCATTCTCGATATTGCAGTGGTTACAACGCGCTATGTAATCGCGGTCGGTGATGTGGCTACGTATGGTATTCTCGATGGAATTGTATCTGTGGCTGCGATGTTTGTGGCTGCGCGCACCTTGCCGGAAAACTCCGGTTTCCCCACATTCTTCGATTGAGCTTAAAAGCACGAATCAACACTTCCTGTAGAATGACTGACATTGATATTCGTATTCTAAGCAACATGTTAATATAATAATTATAACGAACTATAAGACCTGAAATTTCATACTGCATTAGATCTTATTCGATGATTCAGAACTGAGAAATTATAGCAATAGTCGAAATAGAATCTACATCTCTATGACTTAACCCCTAACGATTGGTATTCATTCACATCACTTTCCCTCACTCAATCTTGTCATCTAGAATATAACGTGCTAATAAAACCTACTCTTTTCTATATCTATTCGAGTCTCAATATGATCTATTCAGCTCTTTCTTATAGTAACCTCCTCCTGAAACTCGGTTCATCTCTTTCCGTACTACTTTGTACCTAGTAGCAACAGGAACCTATACAAAGACTCAATGATGTTGAAATCGTCATTATGATCATGGAAACTTACTCCTAGAATCAGTAATTTGATACCTAGGGATGTACATAGTGCCTTATACTCCAAAGATTGTAATGTTACGTCATCGTTGTAGAAAAGCCAAGAGAGAAAGATAGAGAGAGAGAGAGAGAGAGAGAGAGAGAGAGAGAGAGAGAGAGAGAGAGAGAGACCTTCCGGCATGAATGAACCGTTCTTGAAGAATTTTCAGGATCGAGAATTTCACACGTGGATCGCATGCCAGATTGCTGTGAACGTGAAAGTCAAAACCTCTGAGGATAAATTAATAATTTAAGAATGAAGAATTGGTAATCTGAAAGTCGCAAGACAGAGAATTTCTCTCGAAAAAGAGGTCTAAGAACAAGCCTTCCAACAACCACATCATTCACAAGACCACGCTGCCAATCGTAACTACAAAATCCATCTCACTTCTGGCCTGTGCTTACACTGGGATATAAATAAGGACTAGCCTGCATTTTTTCCCAGGCTACACCTGTCCCGTTGCAATATGTATAACCGAAGCACAATTTTCCATCAGCCAAACCAACGGCATTTTTATCCAAAGTGGTATTGCACTAATTGGGTGTGTTTGTGTAGGAGGATCTGTCACAGTACTGGTATGTCCCTGAGTTCATATACCCAGCGGGTGCTGGTTTCTCTGCTGGTTCTGTCATGGTGCCGCAGGATATAATTTTCGATTATTAGTTTGTTTCTAGTGACGCTTGATATCTCACAGGTGTGGGAGGAGGGGTGCAACATACTCTAGCACGTAAGGTATAAAATTCCAGTATCCACACTCATTCTCTTTCAAAGTTATCTTAGATCCCGCCGTATCCGAGTAGGTGAGGGTCTTGAGAAAGTATAGGTGGCTCCGATGTCGAAGACCGACTCTAATACTTTTGCTACCGCTCCGCCTATGCCTGTACTGATTGAGAACTTGTTGAAGTAGCTAATGGATTGGGTACTGCTGATGGAACATCCGGTTCCACTCCCACATGACCTTTGATTTAGAGATGTTAGCAAGTGGTTCCCACAGTACGGATGAAAACATTGATCTTGATAGCGAAAGAATGTCAATTAATTCGGACTGCATTGCAGAGCAAAAAGTCCTGGAGGACTATGCCAAATAAATCCGGGTTGTTGAGCTAGGATTTTTATTGTATTCACCTTCCTGACATAGGCATTTCTTGCCCATACTTCAAAGTCAAGCGTATTTCAGTACGCTGAGCACCTCTCCTTGCCAGGTACATTTGGAATTGGCTTGGAGCAGTAACCTTTGCTGTCGAGCGTATTCTTCTTGGGACAGTTATAGCCGCTGATGTCTACCTTCATATTTTCTGCACTGCAGATGCCATTGTCTCTATCAGAAAGAACAGGAGGAGCAGGAATTGCCGACGTGCCTGCGGCCAAGCCAAGGAAAAAAAGGCGCTGAAGAAGCATGTTGCGAAGGTTAATAATCGAAATGTAACGAATGAATTCAGAAATCAAACTTATTAGGAAAGAAATAAAGAAAACGAATGACTGAGTTGTGAAATGAGGGGCTTGGACCGATGTACCACTCTTTTAATAATGGACTTTCTGTCTGCGACGAACATCAGATATGAATTCAAAAGCAACTTTCATCTACCCCGCCAACATATTCATCACAAATCCTTCATGTAAGACTGAATAATAGACTTATCCTTAGCATCGAGACATACTCTCGATTGTGTTCGCCAGCACAGCAAGGATACACTGTTGGACATTGGACAGCCTTTACAGGCGCCAACATTACGATGGAAGGGGATGAATAACAGATTCAGGAAGAATATTGCTACTCTAATCCTACGAGATAATCTCGACCCTTGATATGCCAAGATGTTATTTGATTCAAAAACTCCCTTCTATGAAGTCGAACTTTTCTTTGAGCCTGTAAGTTGCGGCACCAAGCTCTAATTTTGCGAATGCCAAGAATCTCAAGAAAGGAAATAGAATGCCCGTAAGGTTATAAATTGCTGTTTGCTATTTCGGTCATTCATCATCGATGAGTATTGGCTGTGAGTTGTCGTCACAAGGCACTAAGATTGGGAGCTGGACAAACACTTGATGCAGTTAGTGACCATTAACATATACATTTTCCAACACTGATCGTGAAAAGCATGGGGAAAGGATTCGCTAAAAATTCCTACGAATGGCTTTTTCTATAAATCTTGGACTGTAGATGCTGATTTGCCGAATAAGATGGTGGCAATGTCTGCGCTGCATGTGCCCCATACTCCTAGTAACAACTTCGAAATGATGGCATTGACAACATCGTGTGGTCTTTCATGTTAGTGGCACACGATGAAGGAATTTAGGTTAAATGAAGTCTGACTCTCCTTGACCATGTAAATGATGACCTATATTCCTTCTCTATCGACATCCCCAGAGTCACAATACGATATCGTCCTGGTCTATAGCACTTGCTAGTCAAGATTCGACTGAAACCACAACTATCTTCAAAGCTCTACTTCTGGTTTCGTTGTTGATTACTTGGCACTTTCAACTTCACCTTGGAGTCCTTACAATTGTCAGTTCTCACCAGCTTTCACAATGTCGAACGACAGCTATTGCATCAACGACAACAATGGTATATCCAGCACTATCGGCAACCAATCTGCTTGTTACTGGCCTTCTGTTTCGCCGATCCAAATAGTACCCAGTTTGGCAATGTGTCAATTTCCGCGATAAAAGCATGTTGCGGTACTTCCGACCTCATTGATTATCCGCTTAATGACCAATATAACTGCGTAATTCAGTATTGTCATTTTCCTCCACCAAATGGCGACGACACGATCATGCAATGTCTCAATGACGTATTTCTCAGTGGCAATTCAAGCATTCAGGTTGACCTCTTCTGCACGGGGATGGACAAGATTGAGTCGACGGGTTTAATTGTTCGAAGAGGCACAATCAATACGATTCTTTTGATGACGGCAGTGATTGCATTTGGGAGCTGGGCTCTTTGAAGAAAAATTTGACGAATTTCAAGAGACTGTGGAATCGATTGGTGGGATGATGAATCTGATCGTGGGTTGTGATACGGAACTACTGGTGTACGGTCTCGTGATCAATCGGATGTAGCGAATATGTCGTAGCGACGCTCGGTTTTAGATTTGATCGAGAATAAAATGACATAAAATCGGATTGACGAGCGATCAAGATTTTTCCAGACTCATTAACTTAAAACTTCAATTCCATTTTATGATGGCAAAACAAAGGCGGTGTAGGAAAATCATAATGGACAGCTGACCTGATCATATTCAAGCCATGGTGTGCTTCGATTGCTCAGCCGTTCGATCAGTAACTCCTGTTATTATCTTCATATTGTTGCGCATCAAAGGTTTTGAATCTTGTATGTTTCACAGATGATGGTAATAGAAGTCCCCCCGAAATATTCGTACACGCCCCTCGACACCTCCAAACCTTCAATTCGTCTTCTCCGTCTCCAACGCAGCGAACAAGGTTCGATCAACGGCTGGTTAGAAAGTTTTTCTCTTGATGATCCGGAACGTCCTATCTTTAGAACCCTATCTTACGTTTGGGGACCTGCAGTTTTTCCTCATAACATCTTTATCAACGGGCATCCGTTTCCTGTTTTGAGCAGTCTTCACCCATTCTTAGAGGTCATTTGTGATGACGAAAAATTGAAGCAAAGTTGGTGGTGGATTGATTCGATTTGCATTAATCAAAATGCGGGGTCGATTGCAGAAGCGGAGCGCAATATCCAGGTCGCTATGATGAGAAGGATCTACGAGAAATCAGAGGGTACTATTGGCTGGCTCGGTCTGGGAGACGATGGAGGCGAGCAAGCAATCCAGTTTATGAAAATGTTAGCAAAACACAAGAACAGATTAGATTTGGTTCACCAAAGAAGATTAGCTGGAGAGAGAAGAGCGAAAGAGGAAGAGCTAGGGAGTGAATTGAGTGATAGGAGCAAATGGGCTACATTAGAAAAGTTATTATTGAGGCCTTGGTGGACGCGAGTTTGGACACTTCAAGAGTATCTTGTCCCACGAACATTCGTGTTTCAGTGCGGATACGAGACCTTAGATAGACGGAAACTGGCTACAGCAATGATCTCAATAAGCGTATGCAGGAGAATTGATGAGACATTGCTGGCCCACAAAGCATTTGAAGCTCCATGGATACGTCGTCGTATATTCCAATGGTGCCAAAAAGGCGCTCTGATAAAACTGATAGGCTTGATGGGATACATATCGAATTACAAAGCTTCTGATCCCAGGGATAGAGTTTATTCTGTTCTCGGCTTGGCTGCGGATGGATTCTTGGCTGACCCGCCGAGATATCAGGATAGCTTTGAGAAGGTTTACTCGAATTTGGTCAAAAGTTTTGTTGACAAACACAAGAGTTTGGATATTCTCTGCTTCGTGGATCGGTTCCATTGTTTAGAACACTTACATGGTCAGCCGATACTCCCCTCTTGGGTACCAGATTGGAGAGCTGATGTACAGCCATGGATGGTTCCTGCAATGGCTGCTCAAAGTGGTGCAAAGCACGTCGGAAACTTTCGCCCTATAATAACCTTGTACCCTGAGAGCAACAATCACGATGTTTTTATGGCTGGAAAAAGCAACGTCCCTCTAAAATACAATTTCTCCACTGACCTCCGGATACTGACCTGCCAAGGAGTCTTCATAGATCTTGTCGACGGTATTGGCGGCCTCAAGGTAGTCTACACAGACGAAGACAAGACGAACGACAAAGTCGCCGAGGTGTACCAGAGCGTCGAGTCAATAAGCATACATGGAACATCTAAAGCTTCTCAAAGCAACGCCAAGTTACTATCTCAACCTGAATTGGACCCTGAACAGGCATCTAGATACATGGATGTGATTTTTCGCTGCTTGATGCTGAACCGGCAAGACCGATATCTTGGTCAGGAGATATCAGCAAGGGAATTTTCGTATCTAGAGTTCCGAGCATTCTGTCTCGCAGCAATGACAAACCCAGGTGACGTACACCCTCTGTTTCTCGATTGGTTTGAACGCAATCGGACACTCCGAATCGGTTCCCACTCACTCGAGCAGATATGCAAAGCGACACCACTTCCGAAGTCTGAGTTCTTCGCTGATTATAATTTCATGGATATCTCAACCAACGAACAAGCATTCATTTCCCGTTTCAGAGATACCACCAAATGGATGGCACGAAGACTTATGACCACAGACCAAGGACTCATTGGTATGGTTCCGTGTCGAGCACGGAAAAGCGATCAAGTTTGGATTCTGCTTGGATGTAGTATTCCGTTAGTTTTGAGAAAGTGGGAGGATGATGAAGGCTATCAAGTGATTGGAGAGTGTTACCTTCATGGATATATGAGTGGCGAAATCCAGGAAGAAGTCATCAGTGGAATCAGAATGGTCGAGGATGTATGCTTGTTATGATGAATAATGTCAACGTTCCCATTAGTCCGGAGCACAATACATATTTGAAAGCTTAAAACTTCTGAATATTATGTAGTATGTCAAGTGCTTCGAATGGTCAGAAAGTTCATACATCAAGTGTGAGTCATTTTGGTACTAAATTATAGGTGAATTTCTCAGAGATACATGTTTCCAATGGAATCCATAAAATCGATTTGACTACCACGAGTGTCCGAGTATGAAATAACATATACTAGTACTTGAAGGCTTCAAGACAAAACGCAAATTCGACTACTAGACGTCCAAAGACCGTTGAAACGTAAGCGACAGTGTGAAATGCTACCAACCCACAAATTCAGATCTCTATTTTCCAAGAGCCTCTGCAAATATCTCATAGATTATCAAATTAAATTGATAAACCGCTATCTCATGCACGCGAACAGCATATTATAAAGACAAGTACATATACATCGATCACCTTCAGCCAATGTGATACCCCAATCCAGAGAACAAGAATCCCAAATGACAAGAAATCATTGTAAGAAAGTCTTACAAATGAAGACCAATGCATGAAGATCCCAAAACTTCCAGCCGACTTTGGCCATTCCACGCCCCTGGACCATGGAATACGTATGGTAACACAGGTACAAGAATCTATTGTGAAACTCGGTTTGCATGGGGTAAGTCAGTCATGGCATGGAATGACATGCGAGGTTCCAGAATGAGATTATTTGGCCTATTGAAGTTTGGTAAGTATCATGCACTAGGATCAAGTAGATAGGGATTATGAATATTGAAACCTGGTAGCTGTTTAATGGTTTAATTGACATCACTTTTGCTTTTGTTTTTCTTGTGTGCTGATCAAATTTATATTGTGCAAATCCCCGATTTATGTTACGCGGTATCAGTTTCCATCCGCTTATATATATTTTATATCCATTCATAAACCTCGGATATTACTCTCCGTAGTTGTGCTCCGTAACTCCATAAGACTCTCTCACTTCGCCCGGAGGTTATATCGTCCCGCACGCGCACAGTACACCATTTCAATGAAATTGGCGCTTTTAGACCTGACATGTGTAATATATATCCTGTCTAGTGTGAGTAGTGATTTTCGTCTTTGGAAGTTTCGACAGAAGAGTATGAGGAAGTAACAGTTCTTCTGACATGTATGTGCTAAATGAGGAATGGCGTAGTGAGAAGAGCTGTTTCTGCTGCGAAGGACTGGAAAAAATTGTAGAGGACTGGCGGTCTTGTTTGTGCAGTAAGATGTATTTTGTACCAGGTGGGTAATCGGTAAGTGGAGAGTTCGTATAGCATATAGATTGGATTGATTAATCATGCACGAAAATAAGGCGAGGCTCATGGAGTGCAACCATCCAGAACCTGCTTTGCTGGCGACAGAAGACTCAATGGAACATCCCCGAGTCGAATGCAAAGTATCATCCGTCAACGTGTTTACCGTTTCCACAGGAGTCCTTCGTCTAAGGGTTGAAGGTACACTGCATTCTGCATTGAGCCTTCGTGGCAGGGATTCCCACACTTTTCTTCGAACTAGTAACACGAGATTTATATTGTATGTCGTTCGTTACAAATCCATCGTTGTCAACTTTACCATCTTTCATCCCACGCTGTGCTTGTAGATCAGATGGATCGCAAGGTCAGCTGTGAGAGCATAAGTGGAACTATGAGTATCCAATGACAAGGTCCAACTTGATACTTCAAACACACATTTTTCGTTTTTAACAGTTGATATCGTGTATAGAAGCATTGATGGCGAAAGAAGGTAACCCCAAAACGAGTTCATCTCCCAGTGTTTCCGAGATCAAGAGATGTTATGGTCAGATGATATGCTCTTCAGAGCCAAAGTAACTCAAGACAGGTATGCACTGTGTGCATCTTGACGGCATATACATTTATCGCATCTGAAATCCAGAGCCCAGGAGCTTTCTGGGTATGACGATTAACCATCTTGGCCAATTGATAAAGGCTCGGATACAAATGACAGCCTGGTAGGTACTGATAGGGTACTGTGTCTTTGAGGCTTTGGAAGGTTACCAGAAGTGACAAGCATACAGATGTATCGCCCTGTATCTGTGCTTGTGCCCGTTTGGAGTTTCTCAAGTACCCCTGTGTTTTCTTTGAATTCTCGAAACCATGTGCAAGAACAGGAAAACCAAACCATAAATAATTTGCCCCGTGAATGTATACAACAACCCTCCCTCCTGGCAATTTTTAGGCTGAGTTCCAAACACTTTGAAAACGACCAATAGAGTACATAGGGGGATCGATTCTAGGAACCAAGATTGAATAGAGCGGGGTAGTCCCGATGTTACACACAAACCAGCCAGCCATTCATTCTCATCTTCGGCGGCGTACAGATCAAGCTTTCTGGAGATTACTGTAGGAAGGCCATTCAATCCAGCAACCCGGCGGGAGGGACCAATGAATTTCGATAATCACGGTTACCCAATTTTTTACCGGACGAACCCATCTTGAGCCGTCGGGGCTACGGCATTCTGGTAAATTGTAATACCGAGATCTGTGGAAAGAAAATCATGTTTCTCATCCTAGATGACCGGAGGGTTTCTTCTAGAATGGGGGCGGAGGGTATTTCAACGGCTGTCATTGTTATGTTCTGATCCGTTGAAAATTTTCTGTATTCCCCTTAATGCACGGAGGAGGCCCTGTTCGTTTCAGTTACGACAAGCTAAAAGAGAGTATGAGCAAACTGGAGAACACCATTTTTCCTTATCCACAAAATACCTTGGTGATCAGCAAGAAAGGAAGAATATGGGCCTCCAAGTCGGATGCATGGCCAATAACCATGTTTCTGGAGATGTAATGGTTTTGCGAGCTCTGTTTAGCTTAGTAGTGGCAGCATCGTTGCAATGTAACAGGATCCTCTTACCGAAAAATAACTATCTCGGTTCATTGCGAGTAAGGTAACATATACTAACGCTAATCCTCCGAATCTCCATATTGCTGTAAGTACCTTAGCTAACCAAAATTTTATCAGGATACTGGAATTGCAAGTTTCGAAAAATTAGAATTCATGAATGTAGGTAATTATGTTCCAGGTGGTGCCTGAAGAATTTTGTTGAGTGAGTGCGGGACGTGGTGCAGAATTGACCAGGCTCTGCTTCCGATAAAGATTCTCTTTTCTTCAATTTCTTGTATAGTTTAGGCCTCAGGGATGCTGAACACTGCATGAGAGTGACCAGACAGCATTCTTCTTGCTAGATATATGTTGTGATTATTATCTGGACGCTGCAGACCTTGGTTGTTGGCAATGACCTTCTATGCACCCATTTTTTCTTATTCAAAAAAGGAATAATGCTACTGATTAAGTTCAGTAATGGCCTGATTATTCCCTGCTTCGATAACTCTTTGTACCAAATTAAAATTCGTTGATCGTTCGATAGTTTTGGGAAAGATCCGTTGCTGGGGTTGCTAGAAGATAGAATACCTCGGCATAAGTTTCCTCTTAAAGCAATTTAAACTCTGACTCTGTATAACATGAGCTGAGAGAAAAGGAATCAAGATATTACACCATCATAGATGCATACCTCCATAGTAATAGGCAACAAAAGTCACAATAACTGAGTCTGTGAGGCAGCGTGAGCGGCGAGCGCAGCAGATCTACATCGTATTGAATCATTTTGGTAGGTTCATGACCTTGGCTCAAGTCTCTATAACGAATGATCGAAATCCACGATAACCTAAGAGAAGAGATAATGAAGAAGCAACAATGACAGGATATGCCCTGAAAGACCTCTCATGTCTCTCGGAGTCTGTTTGTTAGTCGGCCAATTGATAGTGAATATGTATATGTCACCCTCTTCCGTGAAACGTGACACTAAAGCTCCGAAGCGGGAAGAGTACATGCACAGTGAAGATGATGCTTTTTCCATGAAGCCTTGAGTAAGGTCACCATCATATACGCTTGCCATCCTCCCAATGGACGTAACATCAAGGGAGTGGACAACTAGAAGAACGTTCCTCTGGATAGATGGCTTTCTTGCACGACCTTGCGCAACAGATAGAGTGATGATATACTGGCGGTGTGGTGGTAAAAAGAGATGAGAGAAGAGGGGGAGGAGTAAAATGAGTAGCACCAGAAGCAATGGTAGCGGATGGTAGCGAATAGGTGGGTATTGGTTAATGATTAGATGCATTGTGGATGAACAGCTCGGGGGTTTGCGCCATGGATCATAATCGTAATTCCTAGCTTTTTAACACCACCGCCCACCACTACCACCCACCACTACCACCTACCACTGTCTGTGAGTGCATCACTGGCATTGTGTTGGTATCTAGGTACTCAAGGTACTCTATATACTTTGCAGCTTTGCTGTATGTCGGAAAGAATTGATTGGGCTAGTCGGTCAACTTTTCCTTGTAATGAACTAGCCCAGTTTTGTGTTATTGAGTATGTAAAAACATCCCGTGAGAACCATGTAAAACTCCAATGAAAGTCGACGAGCCTCTACGTGGAGTAAGAGTCGTAAGTATGATGACGATTTGAAGAGGGAGGAACAGTCGATATCTCTTTCTCTCCATGCACCTTCCTCTGATAAAACCGAGTTGCCATTCTCAAAGGATTTTTCAAGTATTGTAGAGTAGTGCAGATATGTCATTATCAATTCTAATGCTAATAGTGCATAGTGCACGGATCGAAGAACGGGAACTAGAACTTTAGCGGCACCTTCAACATCCACTCCCAAATGCAACTAAAATGTTACAATCCCGGAGATGTTTCGAACCGTCAAACATCACAGCTGTGCCCCTCAAGCCCTGTCAATGACAAGACCAGAAAAGACCGCAAAAGCTCAAGTTCATCAACCTAGCTGGCTAGGTTTAACCAAAAAAAGAATCAACCCCTTGCCTGACACTTTATCCGCATGCTCAAAAGCACGGAAGGTCGGGCTTGCTAAATTATGCTGCAATAGAAGTCGTCCGCCAGTCATTCATCGCAATTCAAGACACATTCACCAAACATACCACACCTTATCCCGCAAAGTAGGAGTCTCAACCAACCAAAAGGCTATCCATATAACAGGTCGCACTCTCAATATCACTCACCCGGTTCCTGGGACTTCCACAGCTTCCTTGAAGCCTCCAGCCATTACCATGCTTCCTGTCACTCCAGGGTTGTCCTCCATTGGAGTTTCTATATCTCCCCCCAGCTTTCCCCGCGACTATCAATGAAGAACTGCTCTTTTTCCTTTCTATCATTATTGTACTTTGAAGTTACACATACATTAAATTTGGTTCCAACCCTCATTCATGCACTCGCAATCAGATTTCGAGCAATCAAACAAATATCTTGTACTTCGCCCTCCTCGGCCACCCATATATAGCACCACATCTCTGGTTGAGCAATTACTATCATCGTTTTATTTTGTATCTCGAGACATTAATGATACTTAAAGGTAGCAATCCTTCCACATCTCTATCGTCAATGGTTAAGCTCTAATGCGTTAAATACTTACTAGTAGCCTATGCAGATACCTCTACCCGACAACACTCAATTGAACGTCTATAATATCACGATATATTTGACAATCTCCTACAATATGTACCATTCAAATCACGACGCGCTGCCAATTCATCAGCCATCTGATGGTAGAAGCATCAGCTATGGACGAGAGCCGCTACCCTACCACGACAATGGCGACGACAGGGCGCAAATGCCAAACTTCAATCCTCCCAGACTTCCTCCCATATCTTCATTGCTATCCTCTTTACCACCGGAACAAGTTGAGGAGGGTCAGACATTCGAGAGCTCATATCGCCCGCTATCACAAGGACCACGTTCTCCAGTGGCATTGAATAGACCAATGTACCTACATCAGCAACAACGTAGTCCTCGGGAGCTTGAACGTACTTTCAAGCACTCCCAAAGCCCGCTATCTCCAGACTCGACATGTCCGCCAACACCCATGTCAGATACATTCGCGACTAGGGAAGGATCTGTTGCAGCTCATCACCATGGCCCGTTTGCCCCTCCTAGGTATGTTATTCGGTGTCCATTGTCAATGGATGAAGGCTCATTGTACTCCAAGGGCTCCGCCACCACTCCTCCCTCAGCCAGAATGTAGACTGGTCGTCATGCAACAGCCAATATCAGCACGAGCTTGTGGATATGGAGACAAGGACCGTCGAATGATAGATCCGCCACCAATCCTGACACTCGAAGTTTTCGATAAGGATACAGGTCAGGCCGTTGATCCGAAAGAGAGAAAGAGAGTCTTGAATAAATACATGCCGATAGTGCATTGCACACTATGGAATCCCTACACGAATTGCGAAGATGACAAGATCGAGGGAAGCAGTGACCGTAGAAACCAGAGGAGGATGGTAGGAACGATGGTGTGTAACGGTTTTAAAGCACTAGATCCTCATGGCGATGAACGATTCTTCTTCACCTTTGCCGACTTGTCTGTTCGATTCCCGGGTGATTATCAATTGAAGTTCAGATTAACGTTGATCGACCCAGCTGCAATGGGAAAAGGTCAAAGGAACGAGATCATGAGTCCATTGTTAAGTAATATCTTCAAGGTACACAATGCCAAAGACTTTGAGGGTATGAGGCCGAGCTCAGATTTGGCAAAATCTCTTGTCAGCCAAGGCTATCCCAATATCCTCAAGATCAAGAAAGGGAATGCGAAAACAATTGCAATGGTTGGCCAAGGGGACGACGAAGATGACGATGATGAGATGGGAGGAATGTAAGCGAGGAACGCACGTGAAGCCAGTTCTAGCTGAGCATAATGATAAGGAGTCAGCCAAAGTCTAGTGAATGGCTGCTTTGATAGTGAGGGCGAAGACTTACGGGCTTTGGTTTTTGCATTGGATTCATTGTTGATCCGTTGAAAGCGGGAGTTAGCGTCTCAAAATGGTTGCTCTTTTGGTGAAGAGATTAGGACAACACTATGAATTTATGAATTTATGAGGAGCAAGAGCAAGAGCAAGAGCAACAACTTTGGTATTGAGCCATACTGGTAATTGTACTGGCTGTTTGGTGAAAACTCTGGTATCATGATCAAACCTCACCCCAAGTTCTGCATTTTACAAATTGTTATTGTGGCAGTGGAAGATATATCAATGAATATAGATAAATTTTAAACATCGAATATCAAATATCAATTGGAGATGGTATATCACAATTTGTTCCTATTCCTTACTTTTTTTCTCCTATTCTTCAATTAGCTCTAGCTATTCATCTAGCTACCTACCTATATATCTAAATGGATCTAGGCAACTTCGAATCCTTCCCCTACTACAATAGTAATAATAAGAAACGATTGATTTCTCTAGGAATAGCCCCCTATACATTCCATATTACTCTTCACATCAACAATAATCTTGAAAATGGGGTCTTGGAAACAGATTTCTAATTATTTGTCTATCCAACTACTTCGATATCTGAGTACGTTGATCTAGACAATTCTGAACGCATGATCCAACTCATGATCCACACTATCATATTGATTGTGACCTCCATAGCTCCCTCGAGCTTGGTATGGCTATCGATTTGCCTGTTTTACTGCTGGACTATGCGAAAATATGAATAACAATAAGTGCAAGCAACTTCTAATCCTTTGACCAATGGAAGAGAATGCAACAATAATATCAAAACCAGGCAGTGTGCGCCACACAAGGCTGAAAAGGCTCAGAATGATCAGCCACAAACATTGACCCCGCCAATAAATTTCGAGTCCGTCAAGCTGATCTAATCCAAGATAGGCTTAGCATGCGATAGGCTCTGGGACCCCACCACCAAAAACTTTAAACTTTCGATTGAGATTTTCCTTTTCCTTTCCTCCTTCCCTCTGGCATAAGCCAGGAAGGGTACCATAAATTTCGTCAAGTTTGTCAAGATGAAGTACGTTCTTGTATCTGGAGGTATGTATAAGAATGAGTCATGTTTTTGGCTTTTGTTACAAGAAAAAACGAGATTTAACATGGTTTTTAGGTGTCATTTCCGGCATTGGAAAGGGCGTTATCGGTATGTTACCACATTTTGGGGAATGACGACAAAGAGACATGAAAGATACAAAATGAGTAGTATACTGATGAAGTGGTTGCGCAACAGCCTCTTCCACCGGCTTGTTACTTAAGACAATCGGATTGAAGATATGTTCCCGAACAACCAAAAAATCAGGCAGAATCTTTAGGCTAACTTCGAAAGAACGTCACATCCATTAAAATCGATCCTTACATGAATGTCGATGCCGGAACTATGAACCCGCTTGAGTGCGTCTAATATGTCTGTCTACGAAATCTGGGACTGAGCTAATGGGCGAGTGTGTAGGCATGGAGAGGTCTTTGTTCTCGATGACGGAGGAGAGGTCGATCTCGATCTTGGAAACTACGAGCGCTATCTCAATATCACCCTTACTCGCGAAAATAATATCACCACGGGCAAAGTCTACCAGCATGTCATCGAGCGTGAACGTAGAGGCGATTATCTCGGAAAGACTGTCCAAGTTGTGCCACATCTGACCGATGCAATCCAAGACTGGATCGAGAGAGTCGCGCGAATTCCTGTCGACGACACAAAGGAGACTCCGGATGTTTGCATCATTGAGTTGGGTGGTACAGTTGGAGATATTGAGAGTGCTCCATTCATTGAGGCTATGAGACAATTGAAGAGAAGAGCTGGAAAAGGCAACTTCTTGCAAATTCATGTCTCTTTGGTCCCTGTTATTCAAGGCGAGCAGAAGACAAAGCCGACTCAACAAGCCATCAGAGATGTTGGTAGAGCTGGATTGGTCCCAGATTTGGTAAATCCCTCAGCTGAAATTCCTGAATTTTTCGTGGCTAATTATTCTAGATTGCTTGCCGATGCGATGTTCCACTCGAGAAAAGTACCATCGAGAAGATCGCGATGTTCTGTCAAGTTGAAGGCGAACAAGTCGTTGGTGTACACAACGTTAAATCTACTTACCATGTTCCTTTACTTCTCGAGCAGCAAGGCCTTATCTCTACACTGAACAAAATTCTCAACCTCGACGAAATCTCCATGGCGAAGTCTGCTGTTGAAAAAGGACAGCGAACATGGACCGAATGGAAGTCCCTCACAAGCCAACAAGAGCGTTCATTTGATGATGTTTCCATTGTTCTTGTTGGTAAATATACCAAACTCCACGACTCGTACCTTAGTGTCATCAAATCACTGGAACATTCAGCGATGCGATGCGGCAAGAAGCTTAAATTGATCTGGGTTGAAGCTGAGCACCTCGAGGATGATGCCAAGCCAACCGAGTTTCACAAGGCGTGGCATGAGGTCTGCACTGCAGATGGTATTCTCGTTCCTGGAGGATTCGGTGACCGTGGAACAGAGGGTATGATTGCAGCTGCAAAGTGGGCACGTACCAACAAGACGCCCTACTTGGGAATCTGTTTGGGTATGCAAATTGCCGTTATTGAATTTGCTCGTAATGTCTGTGGCATCACTTCTGCTAATTCAGTGGAGCTTAATGCAAACGCAACCGATAAAGTTATTATCTACATGCCAGAGATTGACAAGGTAAATCTTGGTGGAACTATGCGTCTCGGATTACGCCCTACGGAATTCCAGCCCGGATCTGAATGGTCTCGTCTCCGTAAGCTCTATGGCGATAAAACCGAAGTCCACGAACGTCATCGTCATCGATATGAAGTCAACCCAGAGTATGTTGACCGATTACACGATGGTGGTCTTGAATTCGTCGGAAAGGATGACAAGGGTGAGAGAATGGAAATCGTTGAGATCAAGGATCATCCTTGGTATGTCGGTGTACAATTCCATCCGGAATACCTCTCCCGAGTCTTGGCTCCAAGTAAATCATACTTGGGATTTGTAGCAGCAGCAGCGGGATGTTTGGAAAAGATCACGGAGGATTGTTTGAAAGCTGAGTTGGACAACAGCGTCAATGGGGATTTGTCAAATGGAATCAATGGTGTTACGATCTAAGGAAACTGGGACGGAAGGGACTTTTGCATTGGGTTTGGCTGGATGGAAGAATCATAATGTGCCCTTATGTTTGGCTATTTTATAGAAAAATATTCGAAATGGCGGATACATTTCATGGCGTTATCATGGCTGTAATTATACTGGACAAATGAGACATCTAAATGTCATACCATTTCTCTCTCCTCGCTGACAGTAAAGTGATACGCACAGTTCGGTCCAAAGGATTTGCCCGCAGATAAGTGTCTGGGTACCTCAAGCTTACTAATTTTGTGGAAAATGTGGATTCTTTCACAGGTTATTGCGATTGGGAGCAGGCATTCATCTCATACGTACAAATATCGAGGCGCCAAATAGGAGAGAATTTCATAAGTGATTCGAATCAGAGATATCCAATTGAGCTGGATCATGTCGGCCATTTACAACTATTTGATGATATGATTTTCGACAGCGTCTTATCAATTTTCCCAAGATGTTAATTCCATTTTCCCTCTCTCTAGTCATAGCAAAATTAGGAGGCAAAACAATTCTATGCTGTCACATCCTACCCAATCCTAAGTATCTCCCTCTTTCCCGTCAGCCTGCCTAAAATCGTAAACAAAAATTTCAATTTCACGAATCGCTGCTCTCTCCTCCTCATCCTCAAATTCCCTAAAAACCGATAAATGATCTTTTCCCATCAACTTCATCTGTTTTACCGGAATCCCTGTCTCCTTCTCGGTCAACATTTCTTTCATCTCATATATCGTTGTCGTAGTCAATAATCCGGTCAAATATATAATGCCTTTTAGAAATTCCTCTTTGCCCTTGTACTCAATAACGGTGCAAAATAAAATCGAATCCTTGAGTTCAGGGATCGCAAGGGCACGGAGTAGAAAGGGCTTGTCGACATCTTCTTGTAAACCAAGGGGGAACTCGGGCCAAACGACTTTTTCGGAAGATTTTTTCCGGGACGCTCTTCTTCTTCCTGCTCCACCTATTACAATTCCTCCTCCGATATCTATAGATTCCATAGAAGACTGATTTCCAAAGCGGGGCCTGTCTTGTCCTTCGCCTGATGCGCTTGTAATCCTTATGCTTTCGAAATCTCCAAAATCTCCGACACCCCCAAAATCTCCACTCACATACCCGGCTGGTCTTGTTGGCCCTCTCATATATTCGGGAGTTTCCCTAAGGGACTCTGGTTTCATGTGTTCAGGTGTAGACTCAAAGTGTCTCAAATAACTTGGCGTGGTGTCACCTTCATATGAGAAATTTTTAGGTCCCCTTGGGTTGCCTTGATTGTGAGTTGGCCGTTCATTACCTTCATTTATTACAGAAAGTGGGGGTCCTCCATCAGGATTCATGACTCTCAGCGCACCGCGTTGTTGCTGAGAAGGACTGGGAAGGGGACCACCTCTTCTTGAGTTGTCCTGGAGTACTCCATATTTCCAATTTTCTGGAAATGGAGCGGGCACTTTGTATTGTGGTTTTATTCTCTGGCCCCGTGCTCTCCTTGATTCCGACATGTAGTTATTAAAAGATTGTCTGTTTCTCAGGACGAGCTCGCGTACATGAACAGTCTCATAATCGGACATGGTCTCAACAGGATTCTCTCGAGCCCATTTTATGACATCTTCTACCTTTTCATGCTCCACGGTCGCATAAAACAGTTCAAAAAGATCGAGTGGGTAGGTTTCTTCTTCTTCAATCACGGGTATGCCGAGACCTCCTCCTGGCTTAGTTGTGATGTCGTTCCATGGGGGTGGAAGCTCTCCGAGGTCGGGTTCGGGGGAATAGGGAGCTGGAAGCAAGGGAGGTACTAATTCTTGATACACTTTCTTAAGTTGTTGCGTCTTTCGGTATAGATCTTCAATATGAATTCGAGCTTCGCCTTGTACGATCAGACAATCCATTACTAATTTGTGTAGGGTGTCACTGTATAACCGATCCTTGCGAACTCTTTCTCTGGCTTCATTTTCAATTCTTCTCTTTGTCTTAGCCATAGCTTTTTGCTCTTCAGGCTGGTCTGGATCTATGTCGGCCTCGGGTTCAAATGGCAGTGCGTCGTACAATCCACTGTAGAAATCTATATCGTCTTGTGTAGCAAGTGTATGTACTCCACCCACTTCTTCATTTAATCCTAGCCAGGTATTCGCTACTTTGTAAAGTTTAAGTGTAAATCTTCCCGGGGGACCAGGCTGTCGGTACCTCTCATCGCCTTCCCATTCCACATTGGCATCAACCGAATATGCAAGTGATGGGTTTCCATCCTGGCACCATTCAGTTGTGTGTATCATTTGCCATATTATCAATCCGAGTTGCCATATGTTCGAGTGAGTTCCATAGCGAAGATTATTGAGGACATTTCCATCGCCTGCTTCGCGCATGGATTTAGGCTATATCTGAGGATTAGTGCACAGGAAAGTGGGACTTGGGAGTGAGGAAGCATGATTGGTTCTGTACATACCACTGGATCCATCCACGGTCTTTCCAACCGACGTTCTCGAGTTCTAAGTTGTTCCTTGCAGAAAAAATTAGTCGCTGTATGTTCAGGAACCAAAGAGTTGACTGACAGGTAATTTATACCTCTCTGTTCCAAGGCGTCTATGTTTGAAATTGTAAAGTAGGTCTTGCTCAAGGGGCACCTCCTTGCTATGCCCATAATCCCCAATCTATTTGATTTAGGTGTTAGGGATACGATAAATGCTAGAGAGTCGTCTTGAAACTGTAAATTAAGAATCGTACCTTCATTATCAATGCTCCTCTATGTTCATCATCTCTGGGACCAGCGCCCATGAAGACTAAGGAATGGTAAACAGATATGAACTTGAATGTGTGTTCGAAGCTTTGACTTACCATTTTGAGCTTTGAAATCAAAATGAACTATCTCATCCCGATCCCATCGGTCTTCCTTAAGATCCTCGTGTCCACAATGCATAGCGTATAAGCCGCGGGCTATACAATGAAAGGTATCCCATATCTCGTATTCATCAAATACAAATCTTCAAAGTCAGTTGATATCATACCATCCAGTACAACAACTTACCTATCAACGAAGCGCTCAAAAATTCTACTTGAGAGGTCTCCCTTCTCACAGTCTTCCAAATATATCCTGTGTACAGGACCTTTTCTATCCGCATACACTGTATTGAGACCTCGATCCTCATATATTCTCCGAAACATCTTCACCAGATGTTGAGAGTTCGTATGACGCAGCAGCTCGTATATTTCCGATTCCTCCCTCAAATCTCCCCAGCCCCCACCTTGCTGTTTCACAACTATACTTTCGAATGGCATTCTTCCCGGCGTGCCCTCCGGAGGTTGGCGATATGTCAATCTCCATTTTCCCGCTGTCCCATTGCCGCCTTCGCCCATGATTTTCACCCCGGTCCATGAGGGCTCAGGACCCATTCTACTTTCCGCAGACCAGAGTGGTTCTGATGCCAACCACGCCTTTCCACGAGCAGTCATTTCTTGTTGAGTTGCATTGTGCATTTTTGGAGGCGCCCGTTCTAGTCGGAACCCAAGACGTAGCTCTGCCTCGTCCCATGTTTCACCGGGTAGTAGTAAAGCCATCTTGATATCAAGCGGTGTAAGTGTCCTGACTTTATATTTATGTTACGTCCTGGAGGATTGACTAAACTATCGGTTTACAACTAGCTATACGTAACAAATACACTAACTTTCGATCACGAAATATTTGATAGCATACCAATATGTTTTCTGTATTACTGAAGATAGTAAATGAATGTTGCTTTGTGGGAGACATGTCCTTTGTCTTCTATGCATGGTGGCTGTTCTTGGATAACAAATAATGCTTCTTTGTATATTTTATTCTTTGGTATGTATTAAGCACAAGGACTTTTTGGAGATAGAAAAGTCAGGTGAAAGAAATATTTTCATAAGAGTACATGGAAAGCTTTGCAGCATAAATCACACTGAAAGCTGGGAGGAACGAAAAAGCTATGTTTTCCTCTCCTGAATTTGTTCGCTAGTTTGCTCACTATTGTTCTCAAGTCCGCAGAGCCCGTTCTTCTCAATGCCGAGGCAATATTCTATTTTTTTTCCAAGCATATTCATCACTAGCTGAAAGGTAGGCCGCTCAGAGTTTCGATGGTCAATCGTTATATATGCAATTAATTTCGAGGTTTAGATTTGAGAGACTTGTGAGGCACTTAATGCAGGTAGGAAAGAGTTCTTCAAAAATAATCATGTCAATATATATGTATATATATATGACTTCAATTCTTAATATGAGAGTATATTTCAAGGTATCTGCTTTCAACCGAAACTTCCTAGTCCCGAATCCCAATACTTGAACTCCAAGAACGATAGTGTCCGCTTCCCATCTCATCTCCTCTTTATTTTCCCAAGGTATATTAACATCTCACTCCACTTCAATCTCTAAACGTGATCTGCACCTTTATCATGCATCTCGTGATGTTCCGTCTCAACAGCCCCATTATGTTCAATTCCCTTTGAGATATCATCGGGAAGGGTACCGAGTGCGCGTTCGCCGAAGAGAAGATCGATTTCTTCGAGGGAGAGTTGTTTAGTTTCTTTGAAGAAGAAAAACACGATGGGGATAGTAACTACTACGTTCCATGCTGTGATAGATCTCATTAGTACATATTCAAGATGAATGACGAAGGGAACCCCAAGAAATCAACTCACCAGCAAACAAGAAATAAAATTTCCAAGTCAGCGACTTCAAAGCTTGAGGCGAAACTTGTGCCCAGAATGTAGCGACAAGCCAGTTACCAATACCAGTTGCGAATGCATTTCCACGAGCACGGATTTGCATAGGCATGACTTCGGACATGTAGACCCAGGAGATGGGGCCCCATGAGAATGAGAAGATAACTGTGACGCAGAAAATGAAGAAGACTCCTCCGATGGAGAGACCGCGCTGTGCATTTTCGGGATCAATTCGACTGTTGATGATAGATTGGCAGACAAGGGCGATGGTGATACCGACGGTTCCCCAAAGAAGTGGCTTGCGACGTCCTACTCGGTCAATCATGAAGGTGATGAAGATGAGATCTGGTGTTTGTTATTAGTTGCTGTAGTATTTTATCTTGGGCGGTGAAAATTTTTACTTACTGCCTAAAGGTCCCATGCAGTTGTAAATTCCAGAGACGAGCAATGCTCTGTTTCCAGTGATTCCCAACGCCTTGTACATAGTATTTTGGTAGTAACCGATAACGTCTATCTCATGTCAGCAACCGTGTATTCCCTGTATTCCCTTCAAACTTACTAATTCCAGTGAATTGAGTAAATGCTTGAACAGCAACTCCATGACCCAATCTTGTTCTCCATTGTGGTACTGTAAACATGACTCTCCACCCTGGTACCGTAATTGCTTTTTCTGCCGCAATTGTTTCCTTGATCTCGTTGAACTCTTTGACGATGAATTCATCATTCGAACCGTTGAAATGCAACTTTCTGAGGATAGCCAATGCCTGGTCTTCACGATCGGTTTCCATGAGATGACGAGGCGATTCGGGGAAGAAGAGAATGCCAGAAGCGAGGATAATGCAAGGAATCATTTGTACAGCGAGTGGTACTCGCCATTGAACAGGACTATCCTTTGTAACACCACAGCCATATCCTACCCAAGTTGATCTTGTATCACGTCAGTACCCCCTCTCAAAGTTCTAGAGAAAGAAACAACATACACAATAAAACCCACTCCAATCATCTGTTGACTCAATCCCACAATCAATCCTCTAATTTTCGGATCCGCACACTCAGCATTGTAAACTGGTACAGCCATACTAAGCAAACCGACCGCCCAGCCTGTAAAGATACGACCAACGAGAATCATGGCCAGATTCTGTGCAGCAGTTTGTAATACTGCTCCAACGAGACAGATCAATGCACCCATGAAGATAGTAATCTTTCGTCCATATCGATCCATAGTAAGACCGCCCTGAAGGGCACCAAACACAGCACCACCATTAAAGGTTGAGTTGATGGCACCGATAATAGAAGAATCTTGCGTAGTGTTGAAGAAGGTGAGGAAGTTTTGAGAGGCTATCACATCTGTCATAACACCTGCATCGTAACCAAAAAGAAACGATCTATTATTGAGAAGTGGTTAGAAACCTCCACATCGCTTGAGAAAACATGTCAACAAAAATCTCAAACATACCCAGTAGATGCAAACACCGCCAACGAGAGATTGAAAACCTTTCCCATCTTGTCGTCCTTGTTCCCTTGGAACTAGTCAATCGTGAAGCTCAAAGACAACGACGAGAAGAAAAAGTTTCAAGAATAAAATTCTTGGCAAGTACAACGTTGAGTGGCATGGTACTATATCTATATATGAAGAGTGCAAGACGACCCTGTCATGCCATTCACTCAATTGGTACGTCTAGGGAGCATGTGCACTGCACCGGATAAAACGAACCTCTGTGTTGGAACATGGATAATTGGAACTACTTGTCTGTTTCCCATTTACGCCTATTTCCTCACCATACAACGAGTATCTATGCCCATCTATCACCCCGATTCCCCAGCCAGAGGAAGGAAAACCATGTCGAATCCGCATCTGCACATCCGAGGATATAATCCAGTCCGTATGCTGACGCCCATCTATTGGTGGAAATTTTGTGCTGTTCATCACGAAGCGAGAAGGCTGGTGATATTTGTATTTAGCCTAATTATCCTCTCCACATTTTCACAGGACAGGGGTAATCTTCACTTACCCTGCCGAACCATAGACGCCTGCTAATATGTTCAACCCCATGGAGTAAGCCTCAATGCGGGGTTTTCCCAAGGTAAGATTTACCAACCGCTTGGCCAATTGGCTCCGCTCCATCTTAGTTCAGAAAACATCGGATCATCTTCTTCCATGGATGCAAAGAGCTTAATGCATCGCGAGTACATGAGTACGTTTACAATTACCCGGGCTCGAACCATTTCTCAGATGTACTGTGTTTGCCACTACTAGGTACTTATTAACGCGAGGTACGCACGAGACCAAGAACGTTGTTTGTTCACCGATCTTATGAGTCAAGGACTTTTCAATCCCTGGGACAGACGAGTCGAGAACTGCTGTGACCTGGGGGCAAAACACCATTATGTCGCGTTTTCGTTGCATTGTTGTATCAACACTAAGGTTTTGTCTTTCTCCGACCATCGAATGAACAATCCCAGAGCCACGACAATCATGAGGCAAAACCTAAAAGATCAACCATTACTTCTACAGACTCTACAATAGACCAATCAAATCGACACTTCAGAACCGGTAGGCTGATTATGCAGTCGAACACTTTGGGTGCTTGTAGGTGGTGTTTGATACGTTGGTGATTCGCGAATACACGTTCGAGACCTCCTAAACATTGCATATACAAATATGCATGCGGAAAACTTTATCAAATGGACGAAACTCTGATCCTCTCTGAGCTTCGTCTCAGTAACCAGAATTCTCAATTCGAACAGTCTTTTATTATTGGTGCCGCAATAAGATGACGAGAGGAGAGACCAGTTGATTAAAGTTTCTTCCCATCTCAACCAGCCAGGCAAAACAATGTATGCCCTTATGTCCTAGACTAATATTGCGAGTACAACAAATCCTCATTCGATTTCATTGAACTGAAATTGTTATTCCATTCAAAAAATTAAGTCAAATCACTTCTAATGCTAAAGATTAGATCATTTCTGCTCTCTCTTCCTCGTATTGTCTTCGTTCAGCAAGACACTTTCGCTCCCCTTGAAATTCGCTTCCCGTAAATGCCACATATAATCAATCAGCTCAATGATATTATCCAACGCCATGCCAGTCACAATGCATTCAACTACAAACGCTACCAGTTCCTCCAAGAAACTGTCGAGCATGCATACCCATTCCACCTACTAATATATACCCTGTGTACGATATTGGAAAGTATCGTATCTATCCAATTTCAATTAGCATTCATCCACGATCAAGAAAAGGACGGAAAATCGTACAATCGGGTATAATAACTCCCCAAAGACTTTCCAATCAGGTCTGTCTCCACAAACGTCTCTGCTTCATCGGCGCTCATCTGCAGCTGAAACCTCTGCCTCAGACTATTTGTTGCTTGAGCGACTCCATACGAATAACAAGGCATCTTTGATTCTCGTCCCATCATACTAACGAGATCAATAAGATGATCTGCTGATCTACGTAATGCTACACTTTGTTAGACTTGAATGGCCTATGAATATCCTGAAAAACATACCTTGGAAAGCTTGTTTGCATAGCTTTTTGTAATCGTCAAATGCAGGTGATCCAACACCTCCTAGGACATCAACATAATCCTGCGTTAATTTGAAAGGGGCAGCTTCGAAACCAACCGACCCAGGAGAGTTGGAAAGCATAAAGCCGAAGTCGATGTGAATAATATGCCCTTCGTTATCAATGAGAACATTACCATTATGTCGATCTTTCAATTGTAAAATGTAAGAGATAATGCTATAAGCCGCGAGTGATCTTTTGAACGCGTCTTCTGCAGCTTTGTATGCATCACTGTCGGGTGGCCCAAAGGTCTTCACGAAGTGATCTTTCAACGTGGCAATTCTCCTTCGAGGGTTTTGTCCTGCTTCAATCGTGGCAAGTGTGAGACTACGCTTTAACGAATGTAAGGATACACCGTTCGTGATTGTCTCTATCAGACCAGATGACTCCCCAGTGACCAAAATTCTCATTCGCTTGACCCAAACAGGAGTTCCTGCATCCTGCCAGATTTTATCGCAGCATTGGATGAGCTGACATGCAAATGCTTCTTGTCGTAAATCAGCACCTGTTTTTACGATAACACTCAAAACATCCCAATTCTTCATCCACCCATATGGCGAGGACTTCCTGATACGTTCCTTCTTAACGTTCCACGCTTCTCCAAATGTTGCAGCACTTGGATCGTCTCTATCTCCCTTTCTTTGAACACCACCAGTCTTTTGATCGTTCTCCATTCGAGCTGCTCCAGCTCCAACATTAATAACAGCATCCGGATCAGTTGGTGATTCTTCTTCGATATCTTCTGGTGCAACATTTGCTGCTGCCGCGTTCGCTTTTTCCATGATCATGTCAAAAGTCTGTGATTGCACATTGTCTTCTGAGTCGTAGTTTTGTTCTTCAAGACTCTGTATACTGGCGATAATTTTATGACGAATTGCATCAACCTCATGCTTGGGTCTTTTCCCACTCGTCGAATTGAGCTGCGTAAGCATTTGTGTAGCAGTCCTGATATGTGTTGTTAAGGTAGAAAAGTCCGGTTGATCCTTCTCTCCTGATCGACCTGCTCCAGGAATGGTCATCTTCCTTCTCGGCGTAGGACTGATGGATCTAGACGTTGATGTTCCGGATGTCCTAGGTGTTGCAACACTGGATAAGCTCGATAAAGTCGTTGTACCGCTTGATTTGCGCGTAGGACGCGAGGTCGTGACATTCTCCTTATAGGTTGGGGTGTGTACGTCCTCCTCGTCGTGATCTGTTTCTTTGATTAATGGTGAGCTGCCCAAATCGCCACTGATTGGCTCAAAAACACTATCGGGGGTATTATCCGTACTTTTGATGATGTGACTACCGTATGATCGTCCAGATTCCGAGAGGTCAAATCTTCGTCTCTTGTGGGTTCCTTCCTCTGACACTAATCGGCTCAACAAACGTTCATTGTCTAGAGTTTCCGGGTTGAAGGAGAAGTCATCCCGAAGTACTTCTACCATCAATAGATATGGCACTTTTTCGGCGCTATTCAATACTGTCGCTTCCGCTGGGTTCAGACGAACAATACGGTGATGTTTACTTTTGCTAGGAATTCCGTCCACGAGAGTGGCGGGACAAATAACTGGTATATCAACTTCAGCTGGTAAATCCTGAGCAATAAGTGCAAGTTCAGCACGCAATGCACTAAGACGCGCTGGCTTTGGGACGATAACTAAACGATTTGATATGTCCTCCAGAGCCGTTAAAAATTGGGTCTCAGAACGAAAATAGTTTTGCCTTAGTAGTTTGACTTTCTGCTTGTCAGTTAATGATGCTGGAGTCACGATTTTCCCCCCATGTGAATGCTGAGAGTATCTTTTGCTGATAGGTTCAGTCAGTCTCGTTGGAAGACCAGCTGTAACGGGTGTTGCTGGTCTACTAGGTAGATTTGGATTTCTTAATTCTGGAAGAGATGCCGAGCTTGAATTTCGAGGGTCCAATGCTTTGAGGTCTAAATGCGAAGGCCGTATTTGTTCGAGTGGTACCTTTCGGCTAGATTTTGATGAGGTGGGTCTTGTTAAGGAGTTCGATCGAGCCAGATCTGGTGGGGCTTCAGAGGGTCCAGCACTATTCAGACCACCACTGCCTGGGGCGCTGGCAATCTTTGCGGCTTCTCTCCTCTGCTTTGTTCGTGTAGATCCCGGTGTCGTTGTATGACTTCGAACAATCTTTTGTGTCTGCATCTGACTGGTATCTGCGACCACATTTCCTGTACTTTGAGGTTTCCGTGCCTGTGAAATAGCCAATGGTCCAGCCCATTTTGGTAGAAAGGGAACTGCAATACTCGCTAGGACGAAACTTGCTAGAACAGTAACAGGTAAGACATTCTCACTGATCTTCTTCGTTGGAGTCTCCGATACCCCGAATACGATATGCTGGACCTTATTATATATTCGTCTGCATGTTTTGAAAGCTTCGGATTGAGGATTCGCAGAAAGATCGTGGAGATATGTTTGGAACAACCAGAAGGTCTGCGATTCCAGTTAGTGATTTGTCCAATCTTGTATGTCCTGTCTCCAAACACACCAACAATGCAGCATTGACCGATTCCTCGCACAAGTCCAGAATGAATTCCTCCAGAGCCACCGACTCATTATCGACACTAATAATTAGGTGACATAGCTGCGGGAGGAAGAACTCAATCTCCTCATAGCTGAATTGTCGCAACTTCGAGCAAAGAACATAATGTATCCCGACATGGTCTGCATACCGTCTGCCAACTCAAGCAATCAGTAAAGGGAGTCTGCGATTGAATGGAAAGGGGTAATTGGCATACGAAAGATAGGCTACGGAGAGGAATGGATTCTGATTGAAAACATCGGACTCGATAAATCGCTTTAACAAATCCCAAGACATTTGGTGACTCGGGATCAGCTCCTCAGTTTGCCTAATTCTTGGTTTATAGAAAAGGGTTTAAAGATCAAGGGGGATTTGAGGCGCAATGCCTCTAATAATCTCGGCATTAACAGATTATAAGTATTGTAGTTATCATGACTATGTGAGCCAGAAAATGAGTGTGAGAAAGGTACAATTAATGAGGAAGTATGTATGTATATGTATGTGCAAGAATGAATCGTTTGTTGTCAAATCAATTTCGTCGTCTTGAGCTTGATTGACCGGTATCTAATTGTATCCTTTCGTATTAAGGTTTGAAAGTGGCAGAATTGGAGAAATGTAAAAGCGGCCAGAAAAGTGGAGTGAATAATTTCTAAGGACAGCAAGGCGACAGCCTTGAAGGAAAGTCGAGAACAGCCTCACCGGGAGATTTCGAAGGGTTCTATCAGTCCCGCCCGTTTAAGATAACCGAGAGCCCTCTTATCCACTTGTCTCAGCCTTCTCTTGTGTTTTGTCTTAGCATATAACGGTTTTCATCTCGTCGTCGATCCTTCAAATATCATTGATTTCATGTAGAATGATTTCTTGTTTATTTCGAAATCAAGTAATTGCGAATCCAATTGTTCTCGATTATCATTTGATGAGATAGTACCCGCAATCAATTTAACGCCAAATATCATCTACTTGCAGCCAAAGGAAAGTATAGATCATCTCAAGTGTACAACACCATATTCACTCTGTATGATATCGATCTCTGAATCGATTAAAACAGTCTATTGATGATTGCTCCCTTGTACATTTCGAAAACATGTCTCCTGAAGCTTGTCTGAAGTTTACCGGCTCGGTATCCCCTCGTAGTGATCCTATGTAATCGATTATACCCATTTCGTTTCTTAGTAGTTGATCATATGACTCGGTTGCAGTTCTTCGGAATATGCTTCAAGTGAAATTCTAGCTGCAGTACTTTCTTCTGGAAAGGACTGACTATATTGATGCAATGCCACTACTTGCGTGGCGTCACAAGTGTGAACTCATCCCGTCAATAGTGGTTATTCAATTTCCTTTGATTCGTATGGATACGCTTCGAGTGAGCATCTGGGTTTAAAACTGTATCAATTAGACATGAGGCGCAAGAATCAAGGCACAGGATTAAATTACAAGTCTAAAGTTTCTTTGTAGAGCAAGAGATCCTCCAACCCAAGCAGCTTCTCAATTAATGGGTGGCTATAATCATCCTCACTGGTCCCATTCATATCCAAAACCCGTAGAAAGAATGGGCAAATATTCCGAATCTACCGACTGAGGAGTTACGTGCATTTCCGGAATCAAAGACAGTCAAGATTAAAGTACTCGGTCTGTTAATGCACTCTCAGATTCCTCTTTCATGATTCCTACCCCTGATTATTCGTCTGTCACATTAAAATGTTCTAGCACACATCTATCACCCCCAGATTCCATTATCCCGCCATTTCCTCCCTCCCTCACACTTTGGTACCGCTTCTCCCTCCTCGATGAAACATTCCCAAACCCCAGTCTCCCCCCTGAATTCAAAACCGACCGATGTCCTTCCCAACATCTCCACCTCCACTCCCTCCCTCCATCCACTCACCTCCATCCCCACCACAACTCTCAACCTATTAATCGCATTTTCCCCGACCCTTTCTCTTTCCCCATTCATCCACTCAAACAATCTCCTCGTCCTCTTCTCCAACTCTTCTTCTTCCCTCTCACATCTTTCTACTTCCAACACATCCGCTTTGTTCCCTGACTCACTATAATTTACTACCCTCATCTCTACTCCTGATCTTTCGTAAGTCCCTGATCTTGCAACAAGTTTTATTTGATGCCTCCAGCATTCAGGTGCTGGAACATGGAATTCCACGCTCTTCAACCGAGGTAGTTGAGTAAAAGGAGCGAAAGCTTTATACATCTCTTCATCTGAAATTTCCGGATCAATTCCATCGATCTTCAAATTAGTATTCTCGGAGTTTGAGAAATTGGAACCGGAGAGTGACGGCATCTCAATCGCGAGATCTTCAATTAATGGCAAAGTAAGAACAGAAGCCAGTCTGGGGATCTGCTTTGGTAGTTGTGAGCCTGATCCCCAAGAGGGAAATTGTATCCCATCGTACAAGTGAAGCTTTGTGAGATTCGTATGTCGTAATAAGGCACCCAGCAATTTCTCCGTAGCTTTATATTCAGTTGTCGCATTGTTGCAGTTCATCATCTTCGGGAATGGAATATCACGGATCAAAAGAGATGTAAGACTTGTCCCGTTACTCGCTATATCCTCCAGAAAATCCACTACTGTTTCCCATTCCGATTTTACGTCATATTCCCATGGACTTTGCATTCCGTCGACTTTCAGCTCTTTCAATGCAGTTAACGCACCCGCGATCCCCAATTCCTGGATCGCGACCGGACTAGGAAATTTCATATGCAAAGTCTTCAATTTGGACCAATCCATAACTTTTAACCACACATCCAAATTCGACATCCCGTCAGGAAAAGGTAGTCGCTCAAGCGGTATATGACGAACAGCGCCCCACGTAGAACTCAAATGAGACTCTCCCATCCAATCAATATACCACATTGGCAGTTTATTCCAAGGAAACTTGAGACGTGTCCGCCAATCGATTTCGGGCGTTTCCAAATTCTCATACCATCCACTTCCTCCATCAGGCGATTCCTCAAAATCATATCCTCCGACGACCAATTTTTCCAGCGGGGGAAATTTTGTCGATGTCATATTTTCCTGATCGGTATTGAATTCGCTCGAAAGGAAAGGAAACGCCTCAACCTGATTACCAAACTCGCATCCATGGTACGAAAATCCCAACTGCAATTCCCGCATATTCGGCGGATTAGAGCGTAGAATCTCGAAAAGAATCCGCATCGAAGCTGGATTTGAAAAGTAGGAATGCATAATGTCGGCATCGAGGGAATATAATAATGGAGAACCAAGGATCGAACGCGCATCTTCTTGTAGACGATTTGTCATGGCGATGGAATCCTCTGAAACCTCGTCATAATATTGTTCGGGATCTCTCGTGCGGGGAAGGCGGTGTAAGTAAATACGGATATCTGGATTCGTTGCACTGAGATTGGAGAGTATCTCGGGGGAAATAGCTTTAGAAATTTTCCAATGCAGTACGGAGAGATTGGGAAGATTGACAAGGAGATGTGTAATACCGGTCCAATTTGCGCTTTGGGTGTATGTTTCATGGTAACCTGTAATATTGAATGTTTGGATTGCTTTTCTGTATTCGACGGATGCGGGATGATTGAAAAATTGAAGTAATTCGTTGGAATCTAGTGCATCACCTGGGCTCTCAAAATCGACGTGAAGGTTCTGGTAGACCTCTGGCGATTTTGGCGTGAATACTCTCGGTGAAGAAATGTAGATTCCGTCTGACAGACCCATATCCGATTCTCCAAAGTCTGTCAATTCTTCTTCAAGTGCCATCAGGTCGTCTTGTTCATCAAAAGCCTCTTGGGCCATCGTTTGTATGATCAAAAAGAACAAACCTACGAGCAACAGGATGGTTGAACGTGAAAACTTATAACCACACGGAGAAGCCATATCAAATATGAATAACAGTGAGCAGCTTGATCATCATCGCGCGGATACTTTCGGTATTTATAGATGTTTCTTTCATCATGTCATCCTTTTAGGCAACTATGCCCCATGATTTGGGTATTATGTGTCCTCAAACCGACATCAGTATGTGTGTTCTCACAACCCCGCATCGCAATCCCATTCAATCCATTTTTGCCTTGAGAAATCTATGAAGGAATAGAAACAATAATGTTCATCAATCAAACCATTATACGTATCTTACTCTGCGTACTCTACAAACTAGCCCATTAAAACCCAGAACGATAACGCAAATCACGAAATGGGGTGCTGACCAATCTCACGCTACCCGCAAATTCGAAGCACATTCATCAGAACCACTCCACCACTTCCACCCCTCGCAAGAACTCAGTTATGTCATCACGTGATTACTTTCAAAATCTCTGCTCTCATTATTTGAGTCTGATAAATGAATGGATGAGTTTATGAGCTTACAGAAAACATGAACGATCATCGAAGAAACGTTGCTTGATACTAGTTGTTGCAGATAGATTTATCAATCACAACTTCATATACCAAACCCAGTACTTCCCAACACACAGATAGATTCATTTACAACTCCATCTGAACGTCGCCACTAAGGGTATCAAGACGCTCATATGAATTACACTCAGAGGACATTTTCGCATCAAACTCTCAAACTTGTATCTATATCTCGCGCCACCGTGGCGAGATTCTCGTGAAGAATCAGCAATCCCCTCAATTCCATCTGATACGTCGCCTAAAACAGCGTGAGAGCGCCGGCTAGAATTTGATTTTGATTTAGATATGCGACTCGATGAACGAGATGGTATTTCATCCACAACTATTTCGGGGTCTGGGTAGCTTAAACTCTAACTCCTCTTGAGAGAATCCTGAGTCCTAACGGCTTATTTAGTTACAACCGTATGATCAACTATACTCTACCCCTAGCACCCCCGCATTGCCTTCATTATACCAATCTCAACCATGCTAATCTCAACCATCTTCGATGTTCTACTCATCACCCTATCAGACACTCTCGAGAAACCTCGTACATTTCGATAGTGAATCACCTGATCCACATATTTCGGATGATGAAAACTTTACATCTCAGATCCAACATCTGTATGCATAACAGAAACAGGAATATCACAGAAAATGGTCACAGTACTCTCCTTCCCTTCATTCACAACCATCCACAACCATCCACAACCATCCACAACCATCCACAACCATCCACAACCGATGCCCACCTACCCAGACAAAAAACTCAATGTAAATCACTCATCCCACTGTCCGCCCAGCCCAATCCAAATCAAATCAAATCAATCCAAATCAAGCAAAACCAAGCAAGATCATAATCACAACTCCATCCTCATTAATACAAGTCAATCCGACTTCCCTCTCCCCTCTCCCCACATCTTCGGATTGTATCCTGCTCGTCTAGAATCCATCCATCTACTTCAGCATCCCCACACTTTCTCAAACGAGTGCTCGATCATAAATCTCCATTTCAACCATCAACATATCCATTCATCCACCAAACGCACCCTACTTCGGGGGTTTTCCCCGCCACGGATTATGAGTAGCTACCGAGTTCACTGTGAAGAGCTATACTCCTCACTGGTGACTTCCCTAGCTAGCTACCCTCAACCCAATATAAACGCGCTTGCATCTTATCTATTTACTTGGCCCCATGGATATGACCAGAGTTGCTGGACACAAGAGAAAAGAAAATCATCTGAGCATCCGTGGACCATGCGGAAAGCAATAAAGACGAAGAAGATAACTAGTAAAACAATTTGAAAGCTACAATGAAATGATACACGCGAGTATAGTAATCCGACTGAAAGGAATCTCGATCTTGTATCTCTCATTCCAGAAACTTCAAAGATGCTTAATTAAAACGAGGCACTGAATGCTAGACAGGTATGAGAAGAAGATTGAAATCCGAACTGAAAAAATCATCATCATCATCAAGAAACTCAACGACCCATACTCATCCCATCCCATCCCATCCCACCTACACACCTGTCCCACCACAAAAATCTCGCACCCACCCGCTCCCAAGATATAAAAAACAACCATCCCAGCTCCAAGCCCAGCCTACCAAGACAAGACCCCTCACCAAGCCCCATATCACACACGGCAACCTAACCTACCAGCCCATCAAGCACCAAGCAATAAACGAAACCGATGTAACTATACAAGGATGTATGCTATAGCATACTGCGAATCATCGTAAATCAGCACACCTCATCGATAGATGAGGCTGAAGATCAGGAAACAGAGAGAGCGCGGAATTATTGTGGTTCATGCGTTGCATCTATTCATTAGGTAGTAGCATATCATCGCAAGTAATAGATCTGGATTCTGAGGCTTTAGAAATACCGTGGTAACGATACTTACTTGTGTGTACAGGGATGTAGCATCAGAATTAGAATTAGAATTCTATGGTATTTGTTTTGCTCAAGAGAGATCTGTACTATACTCCATACTGTGACTCTCATTCACGGTATGAAACTATTGAAAAGAACTGAGATCTGTGAACCTAAATAGGGCGTGGAGTGGAAATATACTAGGTAGATGTCGAGATGTTGAGAAAATACTTAGTAAATGGCGCATGTAGTACGATACGATACGACACGATACGATACCTCCCCATCAACCACCATTCATCTTCATCTCGTGTGATTCCGATGCGAGGATTGTCCAGTCCGACCTACCGAGGGAACTATATTTGTCATTTGTCATTTGCATTTGGTACTGGATATCCATCCACACACACACACACATACATACACATAATGTAAAGCAAATACAAGGACGCGGCGGTGAACTATCACTACCTACCTAGCATACCACGAATGATCACATTCCTTCCCATTATCGATAATGCGAAATATGATTAATTGGAATTTGAGGAGGATAGGATGGGATAGGATGGGATGGGGTTGGGATGGGTTGGTGTAACATCGCTTTTGGGATGGGAACGTGAGGTTTTATGTATGGAGGAGGATCCACTTGTTGATTGTAACATTGGGGGTCTTGGGAGAATGAGGATGGGGATGGATTGATGGATTGATGGATTGATTGATTGAATGATTGATGGATGGATTGATTGATTGATTGAATGGATCAACTACTGATGTGCAAAGATAGTGGATAGCAAATCGGATTATTACAATTAGGGATTGTATTCTACATTGGTCGATCCTATTACCGTGGAATTTCCAATGACTCGAGAGTTGCGCCTTATCATTTATGGAGAGAATGTACATGCATAGGTAGGTACATAACGATAGACGTGAATGTGGCTCGAGGGTGGGACTCTGAATTGAAATGATTTGGAAATGTCCAAAGGAGTGTTCGACATGGACTCAAGTTTGGATGAGTGAGACACTGTGATGACCATAGACCAATGAATAGAAGATTTACAGTCATCGCTTCCTTTGCGATTAAAGTATCCTTGTTTCTGTCTCGTGCCCGTTCTGATTGCTGTGCTTGCCATGTCTGCTTATGATTTCTCGGGATTAATATTTCTGTTTCGTTTATTGGATTGAGAAAAGTTCGGGACAGTGGTGAGAACTGGTGGACCTTCCGTGTTCTGGTGCTGCAGTCAGAACTTTAGATACGAGTCCACTCTGTTCATTTCCTATAAGAGAACGAGGGCCTCGTACTGATGGGATAATTATATCTATCTATACCTATTCTACTACCTACCTACTAGGTATATAAGGAAAGCCAATTCCGAGGATGCTACGGAGTACGGCAAGGCAAGTCTTGAAAAATAAAACACGAAATACCGAGCAGACCAAACGAAATGCTTAAATTGAGTTCTGACGCGGACTAAATGTATACTATCGATTAGATCGATATCTAACATCCAATCCATCAAGGAATCTTAGACCATTCAATTCATAGTCAACAGAGCTTCATTCTTATACGAACGAAGCAAACGGACTGCAGAGAAAGAAACATATTCTGGTCATTCTTCGGACAGATACAGAATTGCCAGATGGCAATCATGAGGCAGGGGAAGGGGAGGAGAAATAATTCATCGGCTGCAACCACCACTACAACAACAAGCACACAAGGGGAAGGTTGAAAATAGGGCCGGATTGTGATGATTGATGTGGTACCAGGAATTCGGGCGAGAATTAACGGTGTGATGGGTAGTGTAAGTATTGGGATGGGATTGGATGGAGCGGTGATGAGACGATAGACGATAGACGATAAACGATGAGACAAGCTGTATTTTATTCTTCTTCACCTCTGGAAATCTAGATCGGTAAGATACATCAGTTCAATCAATTGGGGTTTGTTAGATGGAGTCCATAGAACGATGATGAGACGTATCTATTAGTTGCTCTATCTGGAATTTATCGATCCTAGACTAGATAGGCGATAGCATACTATATTTTATTTTCAATCAGTTGGGTTTGGGTACCGTGATATTGATTACTGCGTTCTCCACTATTTTGTTTCCTCGCGGTGTTGATACTCGAGAAACTGGTATCGAGGTTGACATTGATATCACGACTGATACCGATACCAAAGATCAAGATCAAATGAACATCGGGTCCTATCTGAAACCCATCCCAAGTTATCCAATCCATTGCAAAGAGTGGAAAGGTATACTGCAGGTTCTTCTTCTTCTTCTTCTCCTCCTCCTTCTTCTTCCTTCCTCCCTTTCAATATCAATATCATACGTTACATGGAATGATCAGCATCTTCAAATGGGTGGTAAGATGAACTATCCAACCCCCATTCCATGTAGTATGCCATGCAACCATCCGCTTGAGGGTTAAACCCAGATGTTCTTTTATGCAGCCAAGAATTCACTCAAAGGTCAAATCCCATGGATCCACTGGAACCCTTGCCCCGCATTTTCATCCATACGG